TTACATTAAATAAGAAATCTGTTCTGTGCATAGTCAATGATTATACCCAACAATACGGCACGACACACAATGTTGAAAATGTTGCATGACCGAAGAAAATGAAAACCCTTCTTTATTGAGGCGAACTTAGGACCTTGATCCTTTCTTACAGTTAACCTCTAAAAAAAAATAATAATAGGCCTAACAACTAAATATTAACAAAAAATAAACCTAAAAAAATAACCGATGCATGATAATTTATGGTCATGACGTCACGCTTGTTTACATGAGACAATGTATAATTTTGAGACTATTTGTGAGGGATCCAGGGTAGTTAGTCGTTAGTGTGGTTGTCAAAAGATTCAAACATTTTATTGAAAGTCTCAAGTCTCGTATTGTAAGGTTCATCTGTATTACTGAGACTGAGAAACTGAAAACTATTATAAACAGACTGAGGTGCATTACTAAAACTCGGGTAATCGGGTAAAAGCAACTCAAAATCGGGTAAGATTCGGGTAGGCCTACTAAGATTCGGGTCCGTTATTTTGAGATTCTGTTGTAGTAATTTAGAGAGATTTGTGAGTATTTTTGGGGGATTCTAGTACATTTTGGAGATTGGTGTCTATTTTAAAATATGGACTTGAGTCGATATTTTAAGAGACTCGCGTCTAATATTAATATATTAAGGTAATTAATTGAGTAACTTACGTTGAATAAGGTATAATTAATTATATATTACTGCGAGGCACTATATTACCAATATACTGTGTTCTCTTATTGAAAGCCTTCTGATTATTGAGGGAAACACTTTTGATATTGAAATCCGGTCTATTATGGCAAACATGTGGATTATTAAGACCCAGGTCTATTACTGTGGAGGTGGAATGTACCGTCAAATGATGGACGATCCTAGCCCAGACTGTCAGGATTTAATTGCATTCCAAATTCTTTATTAAGCGTCAATTCTTCTTCGTTTTAATGAAGACTATTAAATCGTATTCGTAAAATAGCTTCGTTTGGATTAAATAGCCACAGTTTATTCTCTTTTTATTGTTTTTGCAAGTACTGTAATTTGAACGTCTTTAAACTGTAAACTTCAATGGGTTGTGACACAAGCGTTTTACTATTTATTTTCGGGACTACATAATAAAACATAATCAAACAAGTACATCAAATCAAATCACATCAGTTTCATTTTCAAAATATATATAATTAGTCATTTTGAATTATTAATTTTTATCCATGATTGTAAAAATGACAGTTTGAATTTGGTGTATGCACATTAATCCGCTTGTCATTGATGTTTTAATGATGAGCAAACTTCAATGATGGCTCGATTAAACCAATGTCCTACTAATATTATAAATGAGTAAGTTTGGATGTATGGATGTATGTTTGTGACAAGTAAACGCATTAACCACTGGACGGATTTTGCTGAAATTTGGCATGATGATAGCTCACATTCCCGAATAACATATAGGCATATTCTTATCTCAAAAATCCTTTCGGGCTCCGCCCCAGTGGCTCTATAGTTCCCCACGTTAACCTTATGAGTATTCATATTAAAAGGGAATTAAAGAATTTAGTCAGCTGTTTCAACTAAAAAGTTGGTTCTATGATATGCAAAAGCATTAAAAACTTACAAGGATTACCAACAGTGTGCAGCACTATTATTTTTTTTATTTATGACAACAGCTTATTTGCAACCAAAAGGTGAGTGAGCGTAGCGAACGAACTTCAACCTGGAGGCGAGTTAGCGTAGTGAACGAGCTAACCTGAAGGCAAGTGAGCGCAGAGAACGAGCTCCAACCTAAAGGTGAGTGAGCGTAGCGAACGAACTTCAACCAGGACGTGATTGAGCCATGCGAACGAGCTCACTTATGAAGTAAAACGAGGCAAAGCCCGCGGGTACAGCTAGTCTTTTATATTTTACAACTGACAACATCATCAACATTATATAATGTCAACTCCGCGAAAAAATATCTACATTCATTGGCTTTTATACCAGAGTAGAGTAGACATTAAAACTTCTAAATACGCCAAAGCTAATTTTATTTTCAAATAGAGCTTAGCTCACTAAGTGTGAGCACGCCAAATCTGTATTTTTTTTCGTTTTTGTATTAGGATTATTTTATAGTAGCCTATTTGAAATTTTATTATTTTCAATGAGTTTACTTTTTAGGTAGGCTTGGTAAAAAAAAGTACAAAAGAAATCGGCAATTGGCAACAGTGGGGGCTGAATTCGACTACGTTTCTGCATTTTACCTGTTTACAATAGGAGTGAAATGGCTACTTGACTTGAGTTTAAATCGTGACAAAACGGTGATTGCTTCGTCTACTAGATACTAGTAGATTTCCATGCAAAGTTAAATTAATCTGTTTAACATCGATATTTCAATGATAAACTTATAGCATTATTAGAATGTAATCGATAAAATATTGAGGATTACCTGAAATAAAATGGGACATTCACTCATATTCTGCAGCAATAAGATGCGGGATTATACCCAAGCGGTTTACTAGGAAATGAGTTTGCTCTGGGTATTAGCAAATATTGCGACGAATATTGCTACAAAAATCTGTATTTCCCATATTTTGAAGCTACATCCTCCCCAATCGCTTAAAATCTCTTTCTTATTAGTTTTCGACTTCCGTAAGAAGACTTACAATAGTTGCTTTTTTTGCAATGTTTGAAATATATAATCTGCCTAATTTGTGTTCCCACTAATAATATGTATATATTGGCTAGTGTTTAAGCTACCTAGATTAAAACGTTTGTCTCAAAACTGCAGTTTACTTGGTCATACTTCGCAAACTAAAATCTTATGATAAGCATGGTTGACTATAGGAAAATATATTTTTTCACTACAGTATTTTGTTCCCGTAAATGAGTGTCAGTTAGTTTGGATAACGTATTGTTTCCTGCTACCTATTCTTGTTTACAGTGAGAAAACCAAACTCGTGTCACAAAACAAGTTTCCCCAAGCTATAACTTGCTGCTTTGTTGACGGATTGTGAAAGAAACCGACAAAAGGCTTTCAATAAGAAGTGGCGGGGATTATTGTGTAAACATTTGTGGTATCGCTGCCACTTTTCTAAGAAAGGTCCTCAGAATTGGATTTTTTATTGAGCCACTAAAGAAGAAAACAAACTCTTTGTTCAAATAGAGAGGGATTGGTGTTGTATGGTTTCTTAGAATCGAAAATCAAACTTTTAGGGATTCTCGAGCTATGTTTTGCCTTTAACCTTTAATAACAACGACTGCCACAAAGGAATATATATAAAAACAATATATATAAAACAGGAATATATATAAAACAGTAATCGAGAACTTATTTTCAAGAAACAACGTGTTGAGATGATACAACGAAAACATTTTAAATACTCCTTTACATTAGATTGCTAAAACAAATTACCTGTATTAGCTGTTTTATTAACTGCAGCTACAAAAAGGTATTGACAATAACATGGGTACTTTAAAAGGCTGTAGGGCAGAAACTGGATTTTTCCCAGCCTTGTGACCAACTCCAATCAATTTCTTGTCGCCAAATACCCCATGATAAACAAAAACGTTCAAAATCCTCGGACGAAAATTCAAGTTTGTCCATACACACGCTTGTTTTAGGTTATAGAATTTATTCAAACTATTTTCAATATTCACAACTTATAATACACAAAAGACGCAATACTCGCTAAGTTGAAATACAACACTTAAAAATTGAACTGATATTTGTCGACTGATCGGAAATGAATGTTTGCGGAGCTCTTATACGTTTGTTGTTGAAATTATAAAGGTACACAATCAGGGCTGTAAACGCAATGGTAAATGTAAGGTAGGTCTATATTCATACCGTTCTGTATACATTTTATAATTTTAGTGGTTTTAAATTAGCAACGCACATTTAATAATCCCATATCAAGTTAAAGTAACTGAATGAGACAAAAAGTTATTATTTTATTTTATTTTATTATTTCATTATTATTTATAATTATTATTATTTTATTTGTTATAATTTAATAAAATTATAACAAAAAGTTATAATTTTATTTAGAATGTAAAATTAATATAGCATATATTATTTAACGTGTTATTTTTGGCATGATCATTCCTTTCTTTTTACTTTGGTTGATTGTGGTTCCGTAACATTCGAATGCGTTGATCCATGTAAACGTTTCAAGTTGGAGCAAAACTGGTTGGAATTCGACTTATTGATCATTTTGAGTCATAGATTAAATGGAAGATCATAGATTAAATAGAATAAAAAACAAATTTCTACTTGTTTTCATTTATATTTTTTCTTATTTGTTTTGAAGACATTGCGTAACGTCCTGAGGATGGATATGACGCTTTGGCTACTTGACCAACCACTATAAAATTAAATCATAACTCTTAATTAATTTTACTTTATTAGAATATGAATATCTAATTGTACTTAACTTAAAACGAATAACGCTAATAAAGTGAAAATGTAACATAGTGAAAAGTGTACTATGAGAAGTGGGTTTTTCGTCTTCATACCATTGACTTTGGTTACTACAAATATTATTTTCGCCCTATTGCTACACTTAGAAGCTTGTTAATTTTTTGTATTGCTGTATGTCATTTTTGCCTTATTCTTGAAATCTTCTTGTGTCGAGGTTTTTTTCTCACTACTTATGTACTGAACTAGTTAGCTGTCACACAGAAATCTTGTTTTCCTGTAAAAATGGTGTATCCGTTTATAAAGCAATAAATTGTTTGGTGTTTGTCTTAGACTACGTCCAGTAACGTTGGAATGCGTTGTAGTCGATCAAATTTAAATTACAAACATAGATTAACCCATAGACTAACCACCGCAATGTACCATGATCACTAAGTGTGAAATCCATAATTTAATTATAATTTTTCTTCATCTTTAATCCACGCCTAAAAGACGCAGAGCAATGTATCTGCGTAGTTCATTCTTCAAGCCTTCATTTGGAAAAGCAATTCAGGAAAAAACTAGCAAATGTCAAAATGACAACAACAAAGTAATATAACCTCAAACTTAACCAAACCAAAGTGTACAACACAATATTATTTCAATACACTTTAAAATGTATAAAAATAACCTATTTCACAACTTATAATAAGTGACACAGTATAGTGCTGATAAGTTTATCCAGGAAGAGTAGTAATTTAAGTTAAGTTTAAAAGTTGAGTTGAGGTTGCAAAACATGAGCTTGAGTGGAAAGGCTAGGGCGAAATCTAAGAGCCAAAATGAAAGGACAAAGAAATATCAACCTAGGTCAGTAAGATTTTGTACCATGTAATATAAATACAATCATATTTTCAGAAAACCTAAACTGTGATTAGGAAATACTATTCCAAATAAAGATCGTGAAGTACAGCCTTAGGTTACAGCGTAACTTAATGGTCTCATTGCGGTTTTCTTAAGATTTAAGTTAATTTCTATAGCCGAGCATGGTTCATTTAGGGCTTATGCTGCATTTACACCGGAGTTAGGAACACGTTTTTACAACTAAAATAATGTTTCTAAGAAGCCATGAAACACTAGCCTAGGCCTAACTTTTGGAAAAACCATTTTGATGTTGGATAGGCTACAGTTTTTTAATGTTTACAACAGAAATGTTAAGTATTTCTCACCACCAAAAAATGGTAAAGACCAAACACGAGGAAACATTTGTTTTGGAACTAAGTTAGTCTCTCTGTATGTTTCTGTACTTTTACGCTGTTTACAACACTTCCCCGCCATCCCTCGCGCCTACCCACCACCACGACACTATCTCGTGAAGCACAGACCTGGTGTTCTAGGGAACAGTGATTAAATTGTTTCCAAAAAAATCAAATGTGTTGTAAACTTTTGTTTTAGAAACAAGTGTTACCAACAAAGAGTTCCAAACTCCGGTGTAAATGCGGCTTTACGTACTTCAGTGCTGCCAACATGTAACTTAAAGGAATTTTCCTCTTTGACAGTGGTTATTTATTCAACATAGGTACCTAGGCTAATTAATAAAGTTGATGAAACGTCTAGCCTACTAATGCCTAAAAACTTAATCTTTTGTATATTGTATAACTTAGTCTTGAAGTTATTAAAAAATTTTTGTAGCAAAGTATCTCCATCTCACGGTAACTTACTTGTTCAATATGCACCTAGGCCTACAACTAAGGCTTAATAAGTTTTTCATCAGTAAGTTATTATAGGCCTAACTTACATTTAATTATATACTGTACTTACTTAATCGACTATACGGTAGACTCCCTCTTATCCTGTTTAAAAATCTTAGAATTCACACCATTTTTGGATTATACATAAATGAAATTCTAAATTGGATACATAACACTAAGGAAAATTTGTCAGATGTAGTCAAATTTACACATAATTATAATACAAGGAATAAATATAATTTCAGATTACCACATCACAAATTGACGACTTTTAGGAACAGCCCTCAATATATGGGACTTAGATTGTACAATGAATTACCCCTGTATCTTAAAACTTTAAATGCTACTCAATTCAAAGATAAAATAAAAGATAAAATAATTGAGAAAGCCTACTATTCACTTGACGAATTTTTGGAGAACCCTATAATGTAGATAAAAATTTTCTGATATCCTACATGAGTTTATTTTAATTATTTTAACTATTAATTTTATTATAAAATACATCACTATGACAAAACACCTGTTCTTATGTATGAAATGTACTTTATAAAGAACGTATTGTGTAAATAAAATATGTCTTATGTCTTATGTCTTATCCGAACTCCTCGGGACCGAGGCCAGTCCGCGTAACGGGTTTTCCGGTTAAACCGACGTCCCCAAATACTCGTTATGTAACTCAAATATTTGACTTAAATTTAGGAGAGCATTGCGTTTAGACACGTGATCACTGATCTAAAATCTTTCCCACGAGAGCAGTCGTTTCAGTACAGCCCACTTCCTGCCGATCTAGTTCGGTTAAACCGATGTGCTAATAAAAATAGTCCGGTTAAAGAGATGTGATTTCCGCCAAGTGTTGTGCGGTTAAACGGATGTCCGGTTAAAAGTTGTCCGGATAAGAGGGAGTATACTGTATTGATCTCACATTACAGGGTTGATGCTATCAAAGTCTCAGTCGAGAGAAAGAAAAAGTGTAATGACAAAGCGCTGAAAATAGTCATGGACTTTTCCGACGGGACCGTCTCAGAAAAAATTTTGTTGGATAACGTAAGTTATAAAAATATTATTTAAACAAGGATAAGTTAACTTAATGCAATATGTAACTACTCCCTTCCATTATTGGTAATGCTGCAACATTAACTTAATGGACTGTACAAATAATTACATAGACTTTTGATGTAGGCATAGATAAGTCTTAGTTGTGAAAAAGTATTTATCTGTAGGCCTAGACTGTCTATCAGACATCAAAGCTTGCCATTGGTCTCTAAGTCACTTCATGTAAAAAAAATGTATATATTATTAAATGGAATTGGCCTCAGAAAGAAGTTTTAGCGTAGCACGCACAGCTAAATCCCTCCTCTATTTCTTAGTATAGAACATTGGTAGCCTACCCACAGAGAAGTAAGATAGAGAGTAAACATTCAACGGTAGGCTACACTTAAGTCGTGTCTAGCACCCAGTCGCTTGTGTCTAGTGCAAATTCTATTGTTTGTCCTCTTGCGCTCTCCTCTCCCCCCTCATCTCACGTACTACAGCGCTCACGCTATAGGAAGAGCCTGTGCGCTATAACTGCTGTTGTAAACAATAGCCGTCCTTGCTTGGTACCGGTACTAGTATATTTCTGCCCCACCATTCCAGAGCTAAAAGTGCACAGTTGTTCCATAAGCATGTTTCCTTTGTATCTTGATTCTCTGTGGCCTAGCTTATTTGGTTGATCTTTCTAAAATAACTTACTAGGGGTATATAAATTATATGTCTACCAGCAATAACGTCTGGTTGGATTCTTAAAAAATGTCTTCCTTGCTAGATGTTACAAAACAGCAGTTCCCGCATTAACAACTTGCTTGTTGTCAAGGTAAAAAATGAAGTAGCACCAAAACTTAAATTTTAGAAACTTAGGAATTGGAGGTGTGGAAGATTGTGGTAGCCTATTCTAATTATGATTCCTTTTGCAGCTACAATTTATAAACCAAGAATATTACCAAGATATCGTAGAAGAACGAGCCATCAATAAGTTATGTGGTTATCCGCTTTGTTCTAATGCGTTGAAGAACATACCATCAAAGCAATATCACATTTCAACCACTCTAAATAAGGTGTTTGATATCACAGATAGAAAGGTAAGTTAATTTCTCAATCCTACCGTTCATTAACACTTGATATAACCCTTTTTAGACCGTTGGATTTGTAAATATTTGTCTCTATCTATGGTGAACTTGAGTTTAACCAACTCGATTTTATTTTACAGCCGAAGCATGTTTAAATAACTTACTACTTGATTTCAGAACTTCTGCAGCAACTTATGCTACAAAGCCTCGAGGTTTCTGAAAGACCAGATCTCGACAAGTCCACTATGGCTCAGAGAAGAAGAATCTCAATCTTTTACTCTTATCTCACTTCAGTCTACACAGTAAGTAATTTCCGTGCAAGATTTGTGAAATTTGGAAATTGCCTTTTGCTCGATTTAGTAAAATTGTCCACAATTCCATTCTATTCAAATATTGTAGTTACGAGTTTGGAATAGGCTAATTTTTAATAAATATCTAACAGGAAGTAACGCTTATATTACTATGGTATCATAAAAAAAATAAAAAATCTAATAGATACTGTAGCTGTAGATTACTGTAGCTTATTTATTTCCTGCTTGAAGTTGTACCTCGTTCAAATGGCCATTGATGAAGTGTCTTCATATTTTGTAAATTAAAATTTTATGAATTAATCCATTTTTCTCATTATTTTTATACAGCAAAAACATTCTCACAGACTTAGGTTAATCAAATAGATGAATAGATTTTAGATAGCCTAATTGCAAAAACACAATTTTAAATACTTATTTTCTGAAAAATTACCCTAAACCCAAACTCATAACTAACTACCGGTACAGTAAACAAACGCTAATTGGTCATGTTTTGGACTTGGGTATTGATGGAATAGGTAGGCTACTGAGACAAAAAACTACTGTTGTCTAAAATACAACCTAACGCCCTAAATAACCTTTTTTATGTCAATAGTAAAAATATCCTGATTTTACGATAATAGTAAAAATATCGCTAAGAACATTTTCATGAATCAGACCAAATACGCTCAACCTTATCGGATCCCCTGTGAACTCTGCTGAACACCTTTAGAAGGCTTATTCAGGAAAGACATAACCGATAGACTAAAGTTGTATTAGTGAATGAGCCGGGTTATCACAGTTTTACCATAGTAAACTAAGATATCTGTCTGTATCCACTAAATGTATACCTGTAATAGCTCTATTACTTGTCTGTACTTTTTGTTTTCCAGTGGCATGACTGGGGATGAGGTGGATCTCGGAATATCTCCCGTGAAGCTGGATTTGGACGATCTTCTGACAACTCCCTCGTCAAAACTGGATGAATCCTCTAACACAGAAGTGGTTAATGATGAATCTCATAGCAAAAACAGTGAAAAAGGCAAAACAAGTGAGGATAAGAACTTAAAATTTGTTGAAGATGAAACTTATTTTGAAAGTCTTGAAAGTAGCGAGTGTGAAAGTTTTAGTTCATGTAAAAGTGATTGCATGGTTGATGGTCAAGATGCAAAGCAGGAAATTTCTTCCGAAACTAAAATTTGCACTGTCACAATATCTGAAACAGATAAGTCAAATGATTCTGTGGATTCTTCCAGAAATAGAGAATGTCTCTCTTACCAAATCAGTAAAATACAAGAGAGTGTAGAAATTATAATTCAAGAAAAAGTTGAAGAAGGAAATAAGCAACTAGTTTCTCAAACGCTAGATAGTAAGGAGCAACCACGTATCAGTGAGTCAAAAACCCATCACAAACACTTGTCGAAAAGAAAATCGTCAAACAGTAAAGCCTCAGTAAATGCAAACCCTTTACAAAATATTGTTTTAAAAATAGAAAAAATACTCAGAGAATGGATATCTCTGGAATCCCTTTGTTTTATTTTGGGTGAGGAGAAAATCAAGGAGGTTTTAGCAGAAAAGAAAACACAAAACTTGCCAGCTTTTACGCAAGATGTCCACTTATACGAACGTTATTTGGCGATATGTAAAAAGCTTAATCTGTTGGAGTTGGAAGAAACAAAAATAGACGCCTCATATAGAGAAGAAGCTAAAAAACCTTTGCCAGATTATGAAGCACTAAAGGAAGAAGCGAGGCAGATGGATATCAAAGTTAAGATGTTTTATAAGGGAGACAAAGTTCAATTTGAGGACCCTGAGGTTCAGAAAGAGGCAGAAATCAAAAGTGAAGCAGCTGATTCGCAGCCAGTTTTGCCACTGGTTGACGTTCATGCACAGAAGGCGTTGAGGAGAAGAATTGTTGTCGATAAGCTAAGAAAAGTGTGAGTAAACAGATTGTTGGCTATACTCAATTTATATAATCAGCTGATTTGCATAACATAGGTTTCAAATAGTTTATTTTTTGGGGTTTTAACTCTGTTGGTATATTTTACATTTTTTTTAATGAAACAGCCTAAATTGTTTAAACCTTTATTTGGATAGCACCTTGAAAGCCACTAGAAAAAATGACATCTGGGTCTGTAATCATTCCACGCAGGGGATCAAACCAACGACCATCTGTTAAATTGTGCATTTGACCGTAATGTCAAATGTAATTAACATAAATCAATTTGTTCTTAAGAAAATTTTAAGGTCAAACCACTACAACAAATTTTTAACAAAAACTTCTGTGATGTGGTTTTGCACACATCGACTTAAATTTCGCCCTACTAATTGTTAGTTTGAAATTATGTAGGCAAGCTACAGCTAAGTTAAATTTAATTTAAAAAAATATAGGTTATAAAAATTGTTATTGGCTTGTAACAGTGAGTACCCATAGGCCTACAACCTCAAAAATGAATCAGACATATTAAAAAATGTTCATTTAGAAGCTAACCAATTTTATAAATCAGATACATCACTGTTCAGGTCATTTTTATACCGTAGCTCATTTTATCCTTCTCCGTCAGTAATTTTACATGAACTGTTTGAAATATCTTTTGTTTTTCATAGATCAATGTTAGTTTGAATGTTGATTACAATTACTTTAAAAAGTCCATTTAATCCCCATTCCCAAACAGTTTTCTTTGAATAACTTTTATTCTTTTCGCTTGAAATCTGATTGCTGGTTCGATCACATACATAGTATATTCTCGACCCAAATGTAACTTGCCCTTTAAAATAAAACACAAAAATCAGATTTGTTCTGATATTTTCTGATTTGTTGCTATCAAATAAAATAAATTTGTTAGATAAATGTTTAGTTTTGACCATTTTTACAGCAAATGTCAAAATGCCAACTGGGTTCAAAAACACACAGAATAGAAAAAAATCCTATCTCTTGGAATTTTGATTATTTTTTATACTATTGATTTAAGTACAATATTATTGTAGGTTGCAAGATCTTCAAAAGAGTTTGGGATTGAGAGGGTTCAATTTGACGGAAGACATTAGAACTCTCGTTGGGACATTGACTCTCTCGGCTCACAACATCACCATGAAGCCTGCCGAGTGGAACCTGGTCTCCATAGCTATCATAAAACTGTGAGTCATGCAGCCTTATTTTTAAATTAATTTTGAGACGCTTTGCTTGATTTCACACATAGACCAATGACTGGGCGCAAGGTTAATAGCCTACATTTTTTTAAATGCTGTGGTTAATTTAAGTTTTGAAAAACTATTCAAACTCAGGTGCAAAATTAGACTAGTAAAAATAGCTAAAAATTTACCTGTACCTAGAAGTAATTGTAATATAATTTCTGCCAATGGATTCTTGTGTAAAAATGACTGAAAAAAACGATGGTGAAAAGTCTACCACTCTACGGAGGTGCGTTGGAGTTGTATGAAAGGTTTTTCAAAATGGCTACCGGAAATATTTATGTTTTTAGCCAATAAGTCCTAAATTATTACAGGTAGCTTAAATAAGTAAATGAGTAAATTTTAAAGAATTATATTGCGCAACTTTTGGTATATAATAAGTTAAGTTAAGGTAAGTACTTACATTCTTACAAGAAAATAATGTTGTCAAACAATTTCAATAATTTATTGTAATTCAGGGAAATTTTTAGTTATGGATTTCAACTTGGCAACAATGATTGTTTTGTTCCAGCTGAGAGTTATAATTGTTGTTGTTAATATTTCAACATGTTTCTAGTTTACTTTCATGAGTTTCATGTTAATCCCCCTTAGTATGACGATTGTAAAATAGAAAAATGATCATCGAAACCTGTTTTATTTGTGAACAAATTATACACTGTTAATACTGTTTAATACTGTTCTATGAAATGGCGACCATACAAATTAGGTATTTTAAGCCAAGTATGAATGGAGATGAGTGTAGGATGAGTGGCGCGATCATGTAGTCTTGTTAGTGACTAAGGCCGAGATTCCTTAGACACAGCTGTTAATAGCCCATACAGCTAATGGCAACTAAGGGACCTACAGTTTATAGTGGAATCCGAACCACATTTTTCCCTTGGTAATTACGAATTGGTCTAATTATCAGGATAGTACTGGGGATAGTCGTAGCACTCACCCGTGTGGACGTTAATCCACACTAGGGAGTATCGCATCCACAGTGCATGCCTATAAATATCCACAATTCGTGACCTCCTAGTAGCTGGATTACAGGACGACGCCACCCGTCCCAGTTGTGAGGTGTCATATCTCACTGAAAAAGGAATTGAGGCAATACACTGACCTGTAAGGTAAGGAAAATAACTGAATTCCATGTAATTGTTGGTCAAAAAGTTCATAAAAAATATAGGGCGCAGTTTATTAATTTAAAGTCTCCATTCAGAAAGCAGGATGATGGAACCAGTTGTTCCCGTTCGACACGTTTTAGTGAAACCTATTTTGATTTCAAAAGTAATTTTTTTTGTGCACAGCTGAATTAAGCCTAACATACAAATAGAGGAAAAAACGAAAGTCAAAATACGTGTTCTAAATGTGTTAGATTTGCCTGATATGAAAGCATGTTATCAAAAACAATGTTTAGTAAACTCTCGAAATCGAAAATCTATACCACAACAACTTAGTGACGTTCCTAAAGCTCTGCCCGGTCGCCCAGGAGATGAAGTACGCCAAAAAGCATTTTAAAAGTCGCAATGTACATGAGAGAAAACTATGAAAAACAATTAACCATCAGTGACATAAAATGAAGAATTTCTTCCTGCATCCTGTTAGTATGAACCTTATTCAGATAAGTTTATGAAACAGAAACTCATATACCATTTTGGGAATGAAATTTTTATTGACACAGTTGGAACTAAGGACATTGTTACTTTTAAAAGTACAGCTTCTTATGTGTTGCAGGAGTATCATAAATCAAAAACTAAAGATGAGACTGAAAAAGAACAAATAAATATAATTTCAGCTGCAGCCACATTTATCCGCAACGAGATTAAAGATATTCCTATTGTTGTGGTACATATAGATTTTCCATTTCGAAAGTTTACTAAACATTGTGTTTGATAACATGCTTTCATAGCAGGCAAATCGAACACATTTAGAAACCGTATTTTGACTTTGTAAGCCCATTACGTTCACTGTACTTTTATAGCACTGTTGTTCTTAAGTTTAGCGTCCGAGCTTCAATCCATTCGTTTTTTCCTCTATTTGTATGTGGCTTAATTCAGCTGTGCACAAAAAAACAATTACTTTTTAAATCAAAATAGGTTTTACTAAAACGTGTCGAACGGGAACAACTGGTATCATCCTTCTGCTTTCTGAATGGATATTATAAATTAATAAACTGCGCCCTATATTTTTTATGAACTTTTTGACCAACAATTACATGGAATTCAGTTATTTTCCTTGCCTTACAGGTCAGTGTATTGCTTCAATTCTTTTTTCAGTGAGATATGACACCTCACAACTGTCGTGTATAATTTGTTCACAAATAAAACAGGTTTTGATATTCATTTTTCTATTTTACAATCGTCATACTAAGGGGGATTAACATGAAACTCATGAAAGTAAACTAGAAACATGTTGAAATATTAACAACAACAATTAGAACTCTCAGTTGGAACAAAACAATCATTGTTGCCAAGTTGAAATCCATAACTAAAAATTTCCCTGAATTACAATAAATTATTGAAATTGTTTGACAACATTATTTTCTTGTAAGAATGTAAGTACTTACCTTAACTTAACTTATTATATACCAAAAGTTGCGCAATATAATTCTTTAAAATTTACTCATTTACTTATTTAAGCTACCTGTAATAATTTAGGACTTATTGGCTAAAAACATAAATATTTCCGGTAGCCATTTTGAAAAACCTTTCATACAAGGCCAACGCACCTCCGTAGAGTGGTAGACTTTTCACCATCGTTTTTTTCAGCCATTTTTACATAAGAATCCGTTGACAGAAATTATATTACAATTACTTCTAGGTTAACCAACAATTTTACTAGTCTAAATGGTAACATTAAAACTATTAAGTGAGCTGTAACCACTTAGCTAGCCTGCATTATGTAGGAGGTTTTCACTTAAGGTATTACTAGTGTACCTGTTGCTCGAATTCGAGCAATTGCGAAGCATTACAGGAGACTCAAAGATTATGGAAATACTCACGATCTACACAACAGTTAGATATAATCAAAATCTTTTGTAAATATCTTATCTTTTTTCAAAAAGCTTATCTTGTTTTTTTAGTGTTTTCTACAAATTTTTCCCTCTCATAGCCGCATTAGGTTGTCTATGACAACAATTATAAATGAAAAAAAAAATGATTTCTTTTTCTTCTACTTGGCTGTGTTCAATGACTTTTTCTATGTTTCCATTGTTTGCAAATCGATTATTTCAATGATTGCTCAAGAAATGTAGAACAGTGTTAATTCAGTTATATTTTTAGCCCATATCAAATTGACCAGGATTTCTCGCTCTTTTCCATTGTAATAATTACACTAACCCAAGTTTCGTCTACAGATGCAATATGCCAACGAATATCACCTACGTACAATCTCCAAGAAGTGGTAAAAAAGGCAGAAACCTTATCCAATAGATATGAGTTAACTCCAAAAGAAATACTTTTAAGAGTTACTGTGATATTTGGATTTTCCACTGATTTGGTAATAGAACATTATATTGCAAAACATGACACTATGCAAAAGAAAATACAATTTAAAATCAGAAAAACCCATTGCAAATACTGTATACTTCATTTTGACAAATTCAATAAATCACAATTTAAATATTAACAGCTGTTTCATTAAAAAGTAGTGTAGAATTATGCATATGGTCGTAACGTAAACAAATCTGAAGAGGCAACTTTAATGGCTTCTGGGGCAGAGCCCCATGGGAATTTACCTCGTTCCTCTTTTGATGGCTCATCTACAGACCAAGACCTTTCTTTAGAGACCCCTACCAAGTTTCTACGCCCAGCCGTTCTCTCAAATTAGCTGTGACAAAAACCCCGTTTTCCTCCATAAGAATAACATGGGATGGGAATTTAAAGGCCACTGCCCTCAGAAAAACCCATTGCAAATACTGTATACTTCATTTTGACAAATTCAATAAATCACAATTTAAATATTAACAGCTGTTTCATTAAAAAGTAGTGTAGAATTATGCATATGGTCGTAACGTAAACAAATCTGAAGAGGCAACTTTAATGGCTTCTGGGGCAGAGCCCCATGGGAATTCTCCATGTTTCTCTTTTGATGGCTCATCTACAGACCAAGACCTTTCTTTAGACACCTCTACCGAGTTTCTACGCCCAGCCGTTCTCTCAAAATAGCTATGACAAAGAAAAACAGTTTCAAATTAATATATAGATTGTTAAATAAATTATCCTGGCTAAAAAAAACAGCTGATCTTAGTCACTAACAAAGCTACACAAATAAGCTCGACCTTCTACACTCATCCAGTCATATTCAGCTTAAAATGCACACTTTGTGCGTCGCTGTTTTAAACTAATTATAATGTTTTCTCAGGTTATCGCTGCGAGACGAGACACTGTCGCAAGCTCTCACCTCCAGCACTGCCAATAAACACCTAACCTTGCTACTGATGAGTTTCTCATTAGATCCAGCCTATCTGGACCGTCTCATGGTGTGGCTGACTGATGTTGAGGCTGTGCTTCAAAAAACTTAAGGATAAACGAAAAAGCTCTGAGGGTTGTGTATTTTTAGAAAAATCCCATGTTGACTGACATAGAAATGTTTGAAAAGGTACAGATTTACGAGCTTACCTTGGAAATTAGTACAGGGACTTGCGTATTCACAAAAATTATCAAGTAACACTGATTTTGGTCTTATTATAGAACTTATTCAGATAATAGATTGTTGAGGAGGGATGAGATATTTTTCATCGATGTTTTCTGAAGAATTTCTTCACAACACAGAAATGTGACATTTATGCATACCAGAAGGCCCTGGATTGTAATTTTCCTGAGTAAGATAGCTGAACTGTATCCCTTCCAAATAAGTTGTTCGTTTGCAGTTTTCAAAATCACAAGAAAAGGACAAACTGTAGTACTAAACTTATTTGAAAAGCTGTAATTATTTTTTTAACTGTAGAATCGGTGATAAAGTTATAGTTTTTTATCTCAATTAAATTAACAACGTTTTTATAAGTAATAGATGTTGACAGAACTTTAAATTAATTTCTAAGTACAACTTTCATTTGACTAAACTATGAATACTGACCATTTGATGATTTTACGTTCTTGTGATTTATAATCTGTTATTTAGGCCATTTTTAAAGTTGCCTTCAAAAGCAACAATTGTTTTATGTCTTTCTAACCTTAATCCAACCCGTGAAAACTATAAGAACATTTTGGGCTCTTTGATACTGTACCTTGATTAGGTACCGGATAAAAAACTGTGATAATTATATCTTTGACTGAATCAAAAATTTTAACTGTGGATCCGTGGTTTCGTATTTGTTCTTTAGGGTGTGTCATATTGAAATCTAAAACTATTTACCACTGGTACTTAGTAATAGTTTAGATAAGTAGGTGATCATGTATATTCGAGGTTTAAATAAAACACTTTGTATTATTCAGCCTATTTATTAACAGTTACTTATATGATTCCATCACATATTTTCTTTAACAGGTACATGATTGACCTTGATTACACTTGCATAATACTTCAGGTACTTTGTTTGTTGCATTATCAAGTGGTTTTGAGTTTTAAGAATTAATATAACTACCAATAAAATAGTAAATAACACAAATAAAATACAGTAGAACCTTGATAGCAAGACTCTCATGCGGATTGTAAAATAAGACTTGTTATCAAAGTTGACTTCTTATCGAGGTTTGTAATAGCATGTGATTTGGGGTAAAATAGTTTTAAGAGGATTTGAAAATGACACTTGTCATCAAGAGCGACTTGTTATTGAGGGTCTTCTTATCAAGGTTCCACTGTATGTACAATAAACTCCCGCGGTCAGATTCGTTTGGTTCAGCCTTTGATGGTTCGTAGCCATCAGCGGTTGGCATCACTGTTTACAGCAACGTAAACAAGTCACAATGTTTTCCAGTGCCGTACAGTATTTACAATGTTATTGATGTGTCCCTTTATTTTTTTAGAAAAGTAATGCATTATATTAAAGCCTAAAAATTGTTTTGAAAAATTTGTTTACTAACTTCTGATGGTTTTGAATCTGTTGTTAGTTTGGACAAGATTTTGGTCCCGAAATATTCAAACGAGCAGGAGTATACTGTAAGAATTAAAGAGTAAAAAATAATTCCTGGAGTATTTTTGTGAAAACTGGAGCTTAAGAACTAAAGTTATCGAATTAAGATAGCGTAGCCGACTATGGATGATTTTTTGTAAAAAAAGTTAGAAACTAATTAATGTTTGTTGTATATTGTTTGATCAGCCTCTGTATAAGGACTGACAATCAACAATCACAGTACAGTACCATTCTACAACTTTTACAACTTTGTCCATGCTTAAAGACGTGTAACAAGTTTCACTTTACATTGAAGCGCAAGAGAAGAACAAGAAGTTTAAATACAATAGACCCTATGAAATCACATTGCAGTAAAGTACTTTATCATTACAATTGATTATTAATGCTGAAAGATACGTAAATAGCCCAGTGTTGTCAGTTTCTGCATGTAATGCCTAAATTGTGGTGGTACTGAAGGTAGTTTATTTTTGTTTCTCCAATTTACTGTGTTATTTAATGATGGATAACAAAAAATATTTCTTGTGGCTGTAAATATTACTTTGTAATTTCACACTATTTTGTTATTTTGAAACTTAATCATAAACTTGTGTGTATTAAATTTTTGAGGTAATGTAAAACATAGCAATGAGGGTTTTGTTTTAAAAAGAACAATATTCAGCTCAAGCTAGATTTTAGCTTGATAATAGCATCCAAGCCTAGCCTAAGCTTTTAGGCTAGGCCTGGCTCAATTTAAGAACCGAGCAGCTCGTATACCTTTACAAATCCTAAAAACCTAGACCTTTGTCCTCTACACATACAATTATGTTAAATTAGAAAAGAGCAGGATTTAAGTTGACAGCAACACATTTTAGGCAATATTGAGTATGGAAACATAACACGCTGGTGCTTTAATAGCAAAGATATACCTTTCAGTATGCATAATCAATGATATTACACTTCTTTAGTATACCTAGGCTAAAAAAATATTCTTATATTCCATTACGTTTAACACTTCAAAAATAGCATCTACTGTCCAAATTTGATGAAATGCAGCTTTATGGTGAATACTAAAATATGTAATATTAAAACTTAGCTGTTCGTGAAACAGTTTAAGTTTTCTAAAAATGGAGAGCAGACTAGGTCAAGATATTGTAGCGTTATCAGGTAACACCAAAAATCGTCTAGATCTAATCTAGAATATCTGAAGCAGATCCTAATTTTTTTCTTACCCACACAGAATGATTGATGATTTTCTTTTAAGTGAAGAAATTTGTCTTCTGTACCCTACGGAGAAAGTTCTCTCAACCCAAGACGTATCTCATAAATCAGTAAAGTACAGGGTGAACTTCAAACTTGTGATAATTGCAGTAATTGTTTGGCAAGAATTGATCCAGAGTTTCCAGAACAAGAGGTTTCACAAACCACAAGAGTAACAACTCAGCAACATGTGTAACGTAAACTGTTATCAAATTTTAACATAAGAAATTTGTATTTGCTACCGTACACAGTGTTTAATATTTTACTATTCACCATGTATTTTGACATTGAACCTTACAGTGGGTTAGGGTACATTCGCTGTGCTTTTATCACATTGCGACATCAATACACCCATTGTGGTAACTGTACAGTACAAGTGCTTGAAAGTCGGCTAAGGTAAGCACTGGCGTGCGTTCCTAAGCAGTGAAACCGAGAGATTCAAGTTTCATTTTTGTATACAGCGTGGGTCGCTCAAACGCTGAAAGCATAAGATGCCCAAACTGTATCAATAAAAGTGTTCATTGATAGACATGAGCTAAATGCAAAAATTATTTTCTATTTGGTTTTAATAATGGATCAAACTGTGAATTACGAGTGTAGAGTTATTTAAAACTCTTAAAATCCTTTTTGACTACTGAGAATATTACAGTATTATCTGTATATTTTTTAATGCAAATAGAAAATTAGATCATTATAATTCATTTTGATAGCCCTAGGATTGCGTTTTATGTCTAATTATGGTAAAAACGTACCTTGTCAGACAATCCTTGACATGTATTGTAGTGTTGAAATTTATTTGCTACATGTTTCGGTGGTTCTTCAACTCCACCGTTGTCGGGCACACAAAAGGATTGTTTTCTTGAGGTGTCGTCAAAATTGTTCCACACATTTAACACAAACACAAAACACCACACGATTAAAATCGATAACAGATATGCCTGTCCAAATTTGTGTACATTGATAGGCCCATCAGTTTTCGCTTTTAATCGTTTTGTGTTTGTGTTAAATGTGTGTAAGCTAACAATTTTTACCACACCTCAAGAAGTGGATCCTTTTGTGTGCCTGACAATAGTGGAGTTGAAGAACCACTGAAACATGTACAAGTAAATTTTGACACTACAATACATGTCAAGGATTGTCTGACAAGGTATGTTTTTAATCATAATTAGTCAAATTAGATTAGTAATCAACCCTTGGAACTCCAAAGGCTTAATTTAAAGAGTTAAATGACCAAACTTCCACTTAACTATGAATTCAAGTATGACTTATTTAAGCCATACTTGACATTTGTGCATCTAGGTGGGAATCAAGTTTACAACTACTACGCTGGCCTATTGGTTTACTGATGTTTTTAGTGTGATATACTGTAATGTTTGATCAATGGCCGAGCGGTTTAAGTTATCTTTTAGGCGATGGGGACAGCACCGTAAACCAAGGGTTCAAATCTTGATGGATTCTCCACTTAAAATCAGAAATTTGTCTACATTTTGAGATACCTTTGATGTGTGTGTCCCCTAAAACTTGTCTAATTTTAATGTGAGGGAAGATGATATAAGTTGGCATAACTGAATCACTAAATAACCTATGGAGTTCAAACAGTTATTGTATTACTAATGTCCATAATCTATAGATATACTAATTTATCATTTTGAAACGTTAACTTTAAATTTTGGTCAAGCTCCTTAATAATTTTATCTATATCTGAATAATTACAATTTACCGAACCTAACAATAAACATTAGTAAAATATACAGCTCATAAAAATAAACCTATTATCTATTGCTTACATTTAACTGATATGCAAACTTTCTGTAAGAAAATAGAATATTTTGAAGATAAAGGTACAATATGAGATTGAATATTACATTTGCTAAAAATATAGGAGTACATCGCGTCATTCCATATACATATATTTACATACATAACAATAAAAGCTCTTTAACATTTACTTAAACATACAATAAACTAAACATCATACTTTAACAACTCTATTGACTTTCAACTCTTGACGAGTTACATGAAAGAAACTTGGTATCCGAGCTTCACTAGTTCTGATGTTGACAGTCTTAACTTCCAAAACAGAATGAAAATAGACAGCTGTTTTACACATCACTTTTGTGTACGCTATTTCATTCGAGTTAATTTTTATCAGGCCTACAACTAATTTTTATTTTCTTTTTTTATTTCTAGTCTGGTTAAGTTATCAAAGCCCTTTTCAAAGTAAAAGTTAATATATACAGAATTTACCATGGTAAATTTCACTGCTAAACTCAAATAAAATCAGCTGGTTAAAACGACAAGATATTATAAAACCTCAAACTCCCTTAATGCTCAAGCTGTGAATGTTCCTAAAAATTATTGTTAAAACTTTGTAAAAACAAAACTGTTCAAGACAACAGTAGAAACTTAAAATTTCTATTAGGCTTATTGAATTGAGTATGTGTCTCTAAATTCAATTCAAAAAGTAAAACAAACGTTAATAAAAGAAACATAGTGATAATATACAGTTATGATATACCAACACTTTGGTATACTTAATAAAACAGAAAAACAAGTCAATAACATGACAAAAATTTTTAAATATAACCTTACGTTATTGTTTGCAAAATTAAAGCAGCTATGCAAAGAATACAGAATTGCAAATGATTAAATTTGCCACTTTTGTTTCCAACAGGATGACAAAAACTAGCCTACCGACCATATTAGTGTACCGAGCTAATGTTTATATTGTTAAAACAACAATCTATTTTCATTTGTCAAATCCCAACCCCATTTGACAAACTCTACACCCGAAGTTTAACCATCAAATGAGCGCAAGATTGTTCCGTTGTTCCCATACAAACGACTCAACCCATTGAGCTAGTTTTCATAATGGTCGGAACTATCGTTCCTGTAGCAGTGGTGGTCAAATCTGTTAGCCCGGAGCCGGCCCCATGTCTCTCATGGTATTCCTGAAAACATATTTCAACATAAAAAACATTATCTGTTAGTGTTACGAGCACCTGTGGTATTTCAAACACATTAAAACTTAGAGCCATTTATTAAGGCAGGTATAGAAAGTAACTGGAATATAGCTTTAACTTAAGACACCGTTTAAACTATGGTACCTTTTTTTAATTGTAGGTGAAAACATTAGAACATAGAGAAAAATCAAATACATTCATGTCTGTAACTTATTTTTACTTACAGAATTTAAAGAATTTTTACTTATTTACTGGCCTAACTTAAAGAATGAGATAATTATAGTTCACTGTAATTTAACTAGAAGAATGGGTCTACACACTAACGGAAAAGAAAACGGGAAAAGCCCATAATAACCCGACTGAAAACTTGGATTAATTCACAATACCCTAACTGAATCCAGGGACGGTACATACAGTAAGTAACATAAGTGAAAACACATCAAATATAGAGTAACACAACTTAAAGCATTTTAGACCAAATACAAACTAAAATAACAAAACAAATCAACCTAAATGAATACAGAACAATACACACTAACCTAACTAAAAGTATAACCCAATACACACTAAACTGAAGCACAAGACAATACACAATTACGTACCTGAAAGCAAGGTACAATGCACAAGTTGGTCTGACATTCGGGACAGTGGTACTTGGTTTTGCGTCGCAGTATTCGACCGTGGGCATCGATGGTGTTCCAACAGAAATTACAACCGAGCGCAGGGCCGGGCCGAAGGACAGGACAGTGACATGAGCGTGAGCCTTCAGGGAGTGAACTGGTGGAACTCTGCGGTCAAACATGCTTGTTAGTTTGAACCATAAAACAGTTTTAAGCAATGATTTAAAATTTACATCAGTACTTGGATGTTTTTTGTCAAAATGTTGATAGCCAAGCTATTATACTAATTCTTTTAATGATACTAATTCTTTTTCTTCAAATTGTAAACAAAAATATTACTGTTGTATCTCTGTACAAAACCTCTTTCGAACAAAAATATACCAAAACAAAATCTACTTTCATAAACATTGAATTAAATTTTAAGTTTGTTAAAATATTTTACGATAATTTCTTGCTACTTACAGAGTGTGTTAAGAGTTTAAGTAGCATTTCCTCCCTTAGATTTTGTTACTGAGATGGTTGATATCATATAAAAGCTACGTGATACAGTTTACAATGAGTGTAAACTAATTTCAGTTTTAAAAAAATTAATGAAAAATGAAATTCAAAGTAAATTAAATTCAGTTTCATTTGGTTAAAAGTCAGTTTATTTGAAATATCAGCAATCTGTCGGTGTCTAGTTCCATCTAAGTCAAAGATCTTAGCAAATAAAATATTAAAATACAAGATCAACTCTTGAAACAAATTTTACATAAATTGCACAGAAACTCAGTATTGAGAAACAACAAATTGAAAGGCTAATAAAATTGACCTAAAATTTCATTCTTTTCCTTGGAAAGTAAATAGGAAAAACTTTACCCATATACCAATAGGTATTCAATTATTAATTGCACTAACGGTATCTAATTAAAGGTCGCCATAACATCAAAAACAGGATTCGGAACGTTCTTTTACAACATATAAAGTACTAAAGTACACATACAATGGTTAATCTTTGATTTGAAAGATTCACTACATTTAACTCACTAACCTGAGGTGTAGAGGAAGCTCTCCGTAACTCGTCAGTTCTCACTCGGATGGAGGCAGTGACGGGGGGCTCAGCAGGGCCTGCTAGGTGAACCTGCACCTGCGGGGTCGTAGGTGTGGACAATAGCGGACTAGAGTGCTGCTTCACCTGGACAGGGCAAGCTCAGTAAGGAGTCTACCATCAAAAGTGATTAGATTTGATTAAATATCTGCGGCGACACTCACCAGAATGCAAATATGCCATGGTAAAAACAACTGAAGGATATGGATGGGATGGTAGTTTTTCTATTGACCAAAATCAGTCAGTTCTTTAGCCAGAATCATATATTAAAAGCCTAATGAACAAGGACGTTGGGTCTTAGTAAAGTTATTATTCTAAGTAAATTTCATTACGGTAAGTTGTCTTTAGGTTTGTATTTCTTTATGTTACTTCCGTTCCAAGTCTAATTTTTCATAGCAACACATCGAAAACACATTCAGCTTTTGCCTGTGTCAGCTTATTCTTTAAATTAAACAGCATTTAAGACCTACAGGATTATTTTTTTATATTTTTTAGGTACATAAAATCGATTAAAAGGTGATTTTATTTAGTTTCCTAGCTTTAATTATTTTCTATTACAGCTATTATAGGCAGTAAAAGCGAAAATCCATTACTTTTATTCATAGTGAAATTAATTTCATTTGACAATTATTTGTAAGTTAAGTCAGCTAAAGCACAACTATTGGAAGGCCTTGCTGGACAATAGGTTTTAAAGATCAGTAAAACAGACTTTGTTTATAAAGACTACTAGACCAATCTTAAGAAGACCTTATATTTGTCATATTTACAAGCCGTCTGAGGTGAGAAGAACTTTATCTGTTCCATTGAACAACCTCCACTAGCTCCCTAACCAAGAAGACTTGCTCTAAACTAATACCATTTCACACTTACACATACCAGATAAGCGGGCTGAGGTACTGTCAGCAGGTTAGGCGAAGACTGCGGAGTGGACGGCCCAGGTTCCGAACACTGACGTTCAATGATTCTCGGAACAGCCAATCCCCCCACCATCACTATGTCGTCTCCCTCGCAATCCTTCTTTATCCTGTTCTGCCGTATGAGCAGCCGACCGCGTTTGGAGCCCATCGCTGGTGTCGGAGTTTGTTCCTCTGGAAAATAAATAGTTACAAAAATTGGACTCCATAACTTTATTAATTAGGTACTTATTTTTTTTTTATTTTTTTTTTTTATTTTTTTTTTTTGTGAGGAGGGAAAATGCTTTTACGCACACAGGTTGCCAGCCTGTAGTGTGAGACTCCTGAATTTATCAGACTACTCACTAAAAAACCCCCTCTGCTCTGTTGGACACATACCTGGAATTGTTTGTCACATTACTTCAAGTCAGGCCAACATGTGACCTAAGCCCACAGGGCTCGCACCGTTTCTGGCATTATTTTTTTTTTTTTTATGACCTACACCGCATCCCGGTCAAGGTCGAGCTTCTTGGCGCGGAGAACACCCTGGATGTAAAGTGACACACAGGTCCAATTGTCCTCACCCTCCATCATCATCGGTATGACCATGTCCACCGACAGCAGTCCTACGAACTGTTGAACATCCAGGCGGGGCCTTTCCCAATGCTGGCAGTGGAAGAAAGTGTGTTCCACGTCATCGGGAATGCCTGGGCAGTATATGCAATCGGGTGACACGGCTTTGCCCATCCTGAACAAGTACGACCGGAAAAAGCCGTGACCCGTCAGAAATTGGGTGAGGTAGAAGTTCACCTCTCCGCACCGCCGACTAACCCAAGGTTGGACTTGTTGTATCAGTCGCCTGGTCCAGAGCCCCCTTGTCTCCTGTTCCCAGCTCTCCTGCCAAAGCTGGAAGGTCCGGGTGCGTTCCTCAATTCTTGCCTGGTCCTCCCCACGGAGGTGATAAATTTCCTTCCTCTCCGCCACCAAAAGTTTGACTGGGATGACTCCAGCAACCACCAGGACGGCGGGTTCGGACACTGTTCGATAGGCAGATGCTACCCTTAGTGCTGCCTGACGCTGCACTCGGGCGAGCCGCATCCTATATATCTCCTTATTGAGAGCGTCTGCCCACACTTCCGCACCGTACAGGAGCACGGACTGGACCATTTTTCCATTTTCCATTTTGTTTTGTCATGAGAGCATGAAGCTCCCTGACTGCAAGCCCGGTACCTATAATTAAACATACCCGGGCCCCATGATGTAGGCCGAAGCTAATGCACCAACCTTTGGCACATCATGGGAGGATGACTTAAGGTCATCAGGCTCTCCGGCTGCCGAAGCAACCCTTCGGAGAGAGGGTTTCCCCTCAATCCTAACCAGGGATACCGGCTACTTGTTTAAGCGTCACTCCACCTGGGTTTCCCCAGGTACAAAACCCAGAAGGACCATAATGGAATGCCCTGACGCATTTAGTGCAAGCAACACTCGGGACCTATCCAATCCGTGACAGGCAGAGCCCGCCATCAGAGCCAGGAAGAAGGGGACCACCAGCAAGCTGATGGGGGGAACCCCAACCACCTATTTACACCACTACCCGATCGAGGCCTTACCCAGTTGCTGGGAAACCAGAGGTGAACAAGGCGGTAGATCCCTGAACACCCCTAGCGGGCTTGAACCCAGCACCCGATCTACTTCGTTTGCCTGTGCAGCCCAACATCACTGCCAGGCCATCAGGGTTTCCCAAAAGGAGGCAGGAATAGAAGTGGGTCCCACCCGGATGAACCTATCCACCAAAGGTGGCGACACCCTTTGCTCAATTGAAGTTCCAGGGAGAACTCCCCACACTCTAGATAACCATACCTTCCGGTCTCAGAGACAGGGATTGGCTGATGGAGTGCGCCCAGCCGTTGCCCTCACACTGCGGAAAGTTACGCTCCCCTAGAGTGTCCCCGTGAGCTTACGGGTACTTGCCCGATTTCACCCCCAGGAAAGGCTACTTCCAAAGTCGAGGATATGCCACACTGAATGCTGGTCGCACAGAGCAAGCAGGCCGAAGCCCAAAGAACCATAGTCACAGGTAGATGGGAGATTGATGGCGCACTTCCACCTCTCCGAGAGCTAAACACCCGACCAACCTGGATGGAAGAATGTCACTGGAGGCTCCCCCTAAGGGGCTGGCGCTTACCAGACGTCCATGACTATGGCCTACTTGAAAAGCCGATACCAACACCGAGAAGTTACCTCCCCTTTGGGGGCGCACGGACTGGACCGCAGACATCAACAGCCTTCTGCGGCTGGACCGCGGACCTCCAACATTGGCCATTAACTGACTAAGGGAAGAAACCATTTTAGCGGCCTTGTCCGCCGTACGGGTGATCTGGTCTCGCCAGCTGAGCTTGCTGTCCACCATAACCCCAAGGTACTTTGCGGCACGAGTGGTTTGGACTTCAACGTTCCCCACCCTCAACGGCTTGATGGTGTCAATCCTCTTTTTAGTCAGAATCACAATTAATTACTTATACCTTTATCTTCTACGTTAATATTTCCACAACGATGTTTCAGCTTCGACAATTATCCTGTTGTTTCAACTTCAAACAAATTAAGTCCCATTGATTATATTAGATTTTGCAGGACTCCATTTTATAGCGGCAGACAACCGACAGATCATTGCTGTAGCATGCAGGAACGTTCCTTGCAAGGGACGTTAAAATATAATCCAAATGTTTAAAAAAGCGCTTTTTCATCCTTTCATTTGTTTAGTCTATTTTACTTTAAAATAGTGTAGCCTACTCACATTAATACCTTATGTAACTTATCAATTAAGTTAGGCTAAGTGATGTTTTTAAACTATTAATTTACCTGTTGACGACTGGTGGACTGTCTCCAACGAATTATTTTCGCTCTTACTCTTTTCATTAACCTAAAAATAAATATGATTTATAGCTAGCAAACACTGTACAGTTAAAAAAATAGCATTGTTCTTTCTTCAATTTCTAAAGTGTATGAAAAAGCCGTCCACTTACAATTATCAGAGTTTTTGGAAAAATTTAATATTTTGGATGATAATCGGCATGGATTCCGGAATGGAAGATTAGTTGTGAGCGCAGCTGTTTGTTTTATCGAATCAGTCATTGAATCAGTAGACAAAGGACATTATATAATTGGCATATTTATGGACCTTTCTAAAGCGTTTGATAGTGTAAAACATAGCAAAATTACTAGAAAATCTTAAAATAATTGGAATATCAAAAAGAGCTCTTAATTGGTTTACTTCCTTATTTGACAAATAGATCTCAATTCGTGGAAATTACCCATTTGTCAAATCATAAAAATAATTATCAAATCATCATCAACCAATTAAATTTGGGGTGCCACAAGGTTCAATTTTGGGGCCTTAGCTTTTTTGTGTTACCTTAAGGGCATGGAAGAAACAATAACACCTCGAATGTTACCATTTTGGATTGGAAGTGTCTACCTACTTGTATCCAGTGTAATGTACATTTTTCTTACTTGTTGAGATTCTTCTTCCACGCTCTCTTGAGACGTAAACCCTGGTTCGGACTCGGTGCTTGGTTCGTTGCGTAGTGAATGTTCCCCCTCACTTGCCGGTTCTGTTTTGACAATAGGTATCTCAACACTGCCCACTGTCTCTTCGCTGCCGCCTGTCACTGTGCCGGTGTGTTCCGTCGATCCAGAACCAGATCCTGACCCAGTTGACGACTTTCGCAGTCGTTTACGGCGCATTGAGGGTGAATCGCAGCTCTTATCTGATGATATACTAACTGACTTACTTAGTGAAATGTTCTGCTCTGGCATTTCCGCTAGGCCTTTTACTTTCAATGTTTCGGCAGTCTGAAAAAATAAAATACTGTTATTACTGGTTAGAAACTCTATCACTTTAAGTGCGCTTAGTGCCTTTCATACAGTAATTACTTACATGTTTATGAAAATAACGTGATAGGCTACTTTTGTATTTGTAGCCTTTATCATTTGTATAAAGTAGTTCGGTCTTACTTGACAGGTAGGAAACAATATGTCTGTGTTCAGGGTACTAACTCCAATGTTGTGGACATCAAATTGGGCGTGCCCCAAGGATCTGTTCTTGGACCTTTCTTTTTTATAATTGCCATTAATGATCTTCCAAAGAATCTTAAATCTAGGTCAGTAATATATGCTGATGACACATCAATTTTTGCCAAAAATTCAGACAAAATAGAACTCTTCAGTGAAATCAGTGAAGCCCAGGGAGATGCTCTAAACTGGTTCTTCACAAATAAACTTCTCTGTAACCAAAGTAAAACCCAAAACATTATTCTTAGCACCTCCTTAAATCTGGACCTTCAAACAGTAAAGCTATTAGGTATTCATATTGATTCCAAGCTGTCTTGGCATGCTCACATAAACAACCTTTGTAAAAAGATTTCACGGGTCAGTTATCTTTTTTGGAAGCTGAGGGATTCTGTGTCAGATGAATACCTCAGAATGACTTACTTTGGTTTATTTCAATCTCATTTATCTTATGGACTGGTTCTCTGGGGACATGCAACGGCCGTATCAGATGTGCTTCTGATTCAGAAAAAAGTTCTTAGAATCATGTGCAGAGCTAATAGATTGGACCACTGTCGACCTTTATTCAGACAAATGAAAATTTTAACAGTAACTAACTTATACATTCTACATATTCTAATTTACACTAAAACTAATCTTCACCTTTTCCTCACCAGGCAAGATATACACCTACACGAAACCCGAAACAGGACAAAACTTAATATTCCACAGCACAGATTGGCAAAATTCGGCAAATCACACAAGGCAAGTTGTATCAAATTTTTCAACAAATTACATGAATCGGCAAGGACCACCACACCAAAAATCTTCAAAAATAAGGTAACTGCTTGGCTCTTAGACAATCCATTTTATAATATTTATGAATTTTTAAATACATGTGTAGAAATTAGTTTCTAGCTGTAGGTAGATTTTTATGACAACCTGTTTTAATTTAATGTAACTATGACAATGCCTATCTCATGTATATGATCAATGGCAAATAAACCATTTCATTTCATTTCATTTCATTTCATTACATGTTTATGAAAATAACGTGATAGGCTACTTTTGTATTGCAAAACAGTCTTTGTTGCAAATAATTCTTGATGACAGTTAAAATCTTTACACTAGGCGTCTCCTCTCATTTTAGAGTACGCCCCAGCTCACAGACGGAGTCCTCTAACTTTAATATTAGGTATAGGCCTAAGCAAAATGTAGACATACCGTACTTTATTCCTGACATAGCTTAAAAGCCAACTTTATAGGCATCAAACTAATAAATAATCTAATTACCCTGTACACAGAAACACTCAAAAGCCAAATTTTAAACGAGCATCGGGTCTTCTTAGCAGAAAACTTTTTTACAATCCATGAGTTTTTATAATTTGTTGATGAAACTGTTGGTATTTTTTTAATATTTAAGATTGTAAGAGATTTAATCAGCTATCCGTGGAGGGTTATAGAAAAATGTTTCATCGTTTTACAAATATATTAGCGTTTGGCCCTTGATTTTCGTTAAGTGACACTTCACAAGCATGCACTCATGGCCGGACAGAATAAAGAATTTGATTTTCATCCGATGAAAAATTTTTATTTTTTTTCACCACAATGTGTTTTGGAAGTGTTTTTTTTTAGTAAGTAGCCTTGCCTATAGGCCTAGTTAAAAAACCAATTTGAATTTTTAATACAAAAAGTAGCCTACTACACTTAAAAAGTAATAAACATTTGTTGTGTATTACTACAAAAGAATATATAAAAAAGCCCTTTAAGAAGCAAAATGCTTATGGAGAATAGTCAGACTGGAATTTTGCCGCCGAAATGAGCTTTGCCCGCGGCAGCCAAGCCTCTATCTCTCTAAGCAGATCCTTTGTCTCACTCTCTCTCACTCAGTCAGCTGACTTGGCCGTATGCTCAGGATAGTCTAACAAGTGGCTGCTGCGGGAACTCTCCGAAATTAAAATATTTCCAGACTGAACTGTTTACAAAGGCATTGCGCTTCTTAATAGAATAATAAGTGTAGTTGTTTTTGTTTATTTTTATTTTATTGTTTATTTATTATTAAAACAGCGATCCGAGACGTTAGGTATAGTTTTTTGTAAAAGATAAAAGGTATCACCTGTTGTTTTGGGGCTTGAGTTGCATGTGTGTGTCCATCCTATTGTAGACTGATATTAACCACAAACACATTTTATCATTATTATTTATCTATAACTAAGTTTTGTATTCATTGATTATACTGTAGGCTGCTTTAAAACACACTCACCTTCAGAATAGCAGGTAACTGTTCTTGAGATACATTCACTTCACCACAATACATGAAATCTACCATCACTTTTAGGTCTGTGTACTTGATATCCTTCAATATGACAATTGGGTGCTGGCAAGGGTTCAAGGTAAACAAAGACTAAAACAAAACACATCTAGTCTAGTAAATTTATAAAAGATAGACATTTTTAACTATAAGTTAAATGGAATAAGTCCAGAGAAGTTTGTTGGAAAACAGTCAATTTGGCAAACATGGAAATTTATACAATAGGCCTAAGTAGACAAGATTTTTGGTAAGATCGGTGTGAACTTCATTCTTTGTTCATAATAATTGCTTTATTTTTCAGGTAAGTTAGTAAATGAGTTGAGACAAAATTAACCGATTATTATTTGACAAAATAATAATTATTTCTAATGATAAAATCTCATTTAACAAGAACAAATCATGAAAAAATAGGCCCTATTCAATTGGCCCAGGGGCAAATATAAGAGGGGAGGGGGCAAGTGCCCAACTCAAAATAATGAATATGTAGAAAATAATAATTACGTACCGTAATAGATAAGACTATACCTTTTTATAATTTAATGTTTACAATAAACATTAAAATACATGATCTTTTGGCATACAGCGCAAATTACACTCTGAATAATAACTTAGCAGCAACACTTCGATAAAGTACGGGTCTACTAAACATAACCAAACCTAACCTTACATTAATTCTGCCCCCCTAAAATTGCCACTGACTAGACCAAATAGCCTAGTTGAGCGGAGCGAGCGAAGCGAGCGAAGCTCTTATACGTCGACTTTTATGCATTTCGTAATACGCAAACTCCTCCTAGACGGCTGAATCAATCGTTTTCAAATTTTGCAAGGTGATAAAGACCATATCGGTGAGTGCCAACATCTATATGGCGTTAAAAAAGTCTCTCAGGAATCCGTAGAAAAATGAAACTGAAAATCACATTTTCTTAACATTAGTCTTATGGGTTGCTAGGTAACCATGTTGGCTGAATTAAATAACAAGTAAAAAGTAAACAAAAGATTTGAAGTTTTAGCATGTGTTCATAATAAGCCAACTACCCACAGTATACTAGGAAATTACAAATACAGTACAAAAGGAAAAACATCACTTGTTAATATTGAGCAAAGATTATACTTAAGATTACTCGTTACATTGTAGTCAAGGGTAGCAGTGCGAAGTCTAGGATCTGTTTATGACGAATACATTAAGGTATCTGCAATCCTAAAATACTATGGGAAGGGAAGGAAACAGGTCCGTGACGTAGGAAGTAGTGAAGGAAGTAGTAAAGGCAATCATAAAATGCTATGGGAATAGAGGGAAACAGGTCCGTGACGTAGGAAGTGATGAAGGAAGTAGTAAATACGAGCAGTCCGGAGTGTGGGGACTGTTTATGACGATAAGATTAGGGTATCTGCAATCCTAAAATGCTATGGGAAGGGAGGAAAACATGTCCGCGACGTAGGAAGTGGTGAAGGAAGTAGTCAAGGCGAGTAGTCCGGAGTGCGGGAACTGTTTATGACGATTAGATTAAGGTATCTGCAATCTTTAAGTGCAATGGGAAGGGAGGGAAACAGGTCCGCGACGTAGGAAGTGGTGAAGGAAGTAGTCAAGGCGAGCTGTCCGGAGTGTTGGAACTATTATGACGATTAGATAAGGGTATGGGCAATCAAAAATGCTATGGAAAAGGGAGGGAAACAGGCCCGTGACGTAGGAAGTGGTGAAGGAAGTAGTCAAAGCGAGCTGTCCGGAGTGTGGGAACTGTTTATGACGATAAGATAAGGGTATGGGCAATCCTAAAATGCTATGGGAAGGGAGGGAAAGAGGTCCGCGACGTAAGAAGTGGTGAAGGAAGTAGTCAAGGCGAGCTGTCAGGAGTGAGGAAACTGTTTATGGCGATTAGATAAGGGTATGGGCAATCCTAAAATGCTATGGGAAGGGAGGGAAACAGGTCCGTGACGTAAGAAGTGGTGAAGGAAGTAGTCAAGGCGAGCTGTCTGGAGCGTGGGAACTGTTTATGATGATTAGATTAAGGTATTTGCAATCCTAAAATGCTATGGAAAGGGAGGAAAATAGGTCCGCGAAGTAGGAAGTGGTGAAGGAAGTAGTCTAGGCGAGTTGTCCGGAGTGTTGGAAATGTTTATGACAATTAGATTAAGGTATCAGCAAACCTAAAATGCTACGGGAAGGGAGGAAAAAAGGTCCGCGACGTAGGAAGTGATGAAGGAAGTAGTTAAGGTGAGCTGTCCGGAGTGTGGGAACTGTTTATGACGATTAGATTAAGGTATTTGCAATTCTAAAATGCTATGAAAAGGGAGGAAAATAGGTCTGCGACGTAGGAAGTGGTGAAGGAAGTAGTCTAGGCGAGTTGTCCGGATTGTTGGAAATGTTTATGACAATTAGATTATGGTATCAGCAAACCTAAAATGCTACGGGAAGGGAGGAAAACAGGTCCGCAACGTAGGAAGTGATGAAGGAAGTAGTCAAGGTGAGCTGTCCGGAGTGTGGGAACTGTTTATGACGATTAGATTAAGGTATTTGCAATCCTAAAATGCTATGGGAAGGGAGGGAAACAGGTCCGCGACGTAGGAAGTGGTGAAGGAAGTAGTCAAGGCGAGTAGTCCGGAGTGTGGGAACTGTTTATGACGATTAGATTAAGGTATTTGCAATTCTAAAATGCTATGGAAAGGGAGGAAAATAGGTCTGCGACGTAGGAAGTGGTGAAGGAAGTAGTCTAGGCGAGTTGTCCGGATTGTTGGAAATGTTTATGACAATTAGATTATGGTATCAGCAAACCTAAAATGCTACGGGAAGGGAGGAAAACAGGTCCGCAACGTAGGAAGTGATGAAGGAAGTAGTCAAGGTGAGCTGTCCGGAGTGTGGGAACTGTTTATGACGATTAGATTAAGGTATTTGCAATCCTAAAATGCTATGGGAAGGGAGGGAAACAGGTCCGCGACGTAGGAAGTGGTGAAGGAAGTAGTCAAGGCGAGTAGTCCGGAGTGTGGGAACTGTTTATGACGATTAGATTAAGGTATCTGCAATCTTTAAATGCAATGGAATGGAGGGAAACAGGTCCATGACGTAGGAAATTGTGTAGGATGTAGATGTGTGGATTTATGTATCTCCAATACTACGGTGCTTTCAGAGTGAACTAATGATTTTCCCCGAGCAAAGCTCGGTCCCCAGGTACTATAATCAAATGACGACACTAGCTTGAGGTTCGTGACGTATGAAGAGGTTAAGGAAGTAGTAAAGGTGAACAGTCTGGAGTGTGGAAACTGTTTTTGACGATTAGATTAAGGTCTCTACATTCCTAAAATGCTACGGAAAGGGAGGGAAACAGGTCCGCGATGTGGGAAGTGGCGAAGGAAGTAGTAAAGGCGAGCTGTTCGGAGTGTGGGATCTGTTTATGACGATTAGATTCAGGTATCTGCAATCTTAAAATGCTATGGGAAGAGAGGGAAACAGATCCGCGACGTAGGAACAGGTGAAAGAAGTAGTAAGGTGAGCAGTGTGGAGTGTGGGAACTGGAAACCGTTTGTAGCAGTTTTAATGTATCTGCAATGCTGAAATGCTATGAGAAGGGATGGAAGCATGCCCAAGACATAGGAAATTGTGAAAGAAGTAGTAAAGTCTAGCAGTACGGACAGTGGGGATGTTTGTTGCAATTAGATTAACGTATCTAAAATACTAAAATGCTATGGAAAGCGATGAATACAGGTCCACGACGTAAGTGGTGAAGGAAGTAGTAAAGGCTGGCAGTGCAGAGTGGGGGAACCGTTTGAGCAGATGGATAAATGAATTTGTAATACTTAAATGCTATGAGAAAGGAAGGAAACAGGCCAATGACGTAGTAAATGGTGAAGGAAGTAGTAAGGGTAACAGCGCAGAGTGTGGGAACTGTCTTTGGCAATTACATTAATGTATCTGCAATCCTAAAATGCTATGGGAAGAGAGGGAAACAGGTCCACGACGTAGGGTGTGGTGAAGGAAGTAGTAAATGTGAGCAGTGTTGAGTTTGGGAATGGATTAATGTATCTGCAATGCTAAAATGCTACGGGAAGAGACTGTAGACTGTAATATGTTAAAATGATTACGAAGCACAAATCGATACATATTTTCGATACATGCAATCGTTTACAATCGAAATTTACAACTGAGTTGACAATAGCTGATTTTTACTCCATAGAGGCTAAAAACGATTTTTACTCCTTAAATATTAAAAATGCTACTTTAGACCCGCAGCGCATGCATGAAAAAATACTGTTTTTACTGCAGAAAGACAAAAACAATATAATATGAACCCTTGATGACTCCGCTCAATTTTGTGGATGCCTCTGCGAACGCCACCTAGTATAGTTAACTCACTGTCTCAGGCTACATCTATCTAATTGTCTAAAAAAAATTAAATGTAAAAAAGGATGATGAATTTAAAAATGGCTTTTGTACTTACTTGAAAATAAGAACTACAAGCCGAGAGAACTACTTTATGTGCTTGTATGTGTTTTCCTTCGGCTGCCAACGTGACGTCAACCAGCGACTCGCTGTTCAGCAGACTTGTAAACATTGATATGAAGTTGGGTTGGTGATTGTTCCAACGTAAACAATATTGTTGAACAGCCATGTCTATAAATGATTAATAAAATTATTATAAATTTACTGTGAATAGGAAATCAGTTGGGAACCATCTTTATTGATTAGACAAAATGTAATTAGGGTTAACTTGTGCCTACCAGGGTACCGGTACTGGTAAGATGAACAAGTTATTAAAAATTGTCTAACTAAGTACAGTTCCGTAGAGAACATAGAATATATTATCGATATAGGTATAGCGATTATGATTCGGGCTTGATATAGGCTTATGGCTCATCTCTCATACATTTTTCCTGATGATAACATCAAATTGGGTAGGATAATGGTCTGTAAACGTTTTTATTGAATGGTTTGATAAATAAAACTAACTTATGTATCAATAAGTTATTCGATCAAAAACAAAATAAGCAATCATTTATGGACGTTAACTGTAATAAAACAAGCAATAGGCCTAACCAAAACTTATTGATAATTATTGCATAGGGTTCAAAAATGTAAAGTTTTGGTACTGATCCTTTGGAATCAACTTGTACACGGAGGCCACCCTTATACAGCCCGCTGCGGCTGTTATGTAAGATTGGGTTATCATAAATAAGTTAGAATGTATGACTCATCTGGTATTGTTGGATTCATAACGAAATGAGGAAAGTCCAACAAACAATTATGATGACCCAACCTAAGTTTAACATAACCACCGCAGCACGCTGTAAAATAAGTCGTCTCTGTATAATACCAAAGTACCAAAGTTTCTTCCATTTTTTGTCATACAAATTTAGGACAAACCCAAGGATAATAAAGAAACAACTTTATTACGCCTTATGTTTTTGTTCTTATTTTCATTCATAGGCTAGGGCCTATCATATTTTAAATTTGATGCTATGGTATCAAACTGAAATATAATCGATAGGGCCTATATTGATATTTAATCCCATATAGCAGACCCTCTGCAGAACTGTAGCTATCTAACTTATTAATTGTAAAAGTCAATATGGTTAGGCTAATAGGAAAAAATCTATTAACATAGTTGATTCCTTTCATAATGATTTGACTTCCTACGCAATCACAAAAGTTGAGTCGTAGAGCCTAGGATACGGTAACTTGCAAGTTCTACCAAGACTTACCAAAATAACTAAGTTAACTCTTGGATCATAGGTTAACTCATAATAAACTTCTAGTCCTAGCCTATTATAAATACCAGAATATTTAAGCTTAATAGGCTACCTATGTAAAAAGCAATCACAACGGAACCAAATCAAAATTTACCTTTCCTTTTAGATTAATTTGGCTGTGAAAAGTGAGAAGGCTGGGTGATATGATTTGATTTGATAGGTCTAAGCTTAAGTTTTGGTAGGCTAGGCAGAATCAGGATGGTGTTAGTTTATATAATTTAAGAGTCCAATTAACAATAAAAGTTCACAACCAAATATTTATTTTGCTTTTAAATGCAATATTTTGGAAATATATACCTACCTAAGTCCTATTTGATGGACCTTGACTTTTAAATTTTCACAGGGGATGATAGTTTCTACGAAAATCTAACCACTAGATATACCGTTCTTTTTAGAACTTTATTTCGAATAGTTCAACCATTAGACTGTTAAATTAGTTTTTATTCCACAAATTCATATTGTTTACACTAAATTGATTAAACTGTACTGTAGTTCCTTGTAATTCTCGCACTTTATTTATAGGTTATGTCATTGGGAATGTGTATGTAAACTTGAAGATTTCATTTCTGTCATGATGCATGCATGATCGTTTAGTATAATTTCGTTCAATATAATGGTTATTTTGTCATGATGCCATTAGTTTTGGTCGGGTCAGGCTCAGTCTTACTTAAATCGATTATTATTTAATTATGGCTTTGTTTTTTTTTTTTAACTTTACCTGCCCTAATTATTGTAAAGTCTGACTGAAACCTGTATCAATGATTTAACCATTAGCCATCATTAGATAACTTAGTTGCATCATAGATAGATAAAACATACTCCCTTAGGTTGCATTGAATTTGATACTGCAAGAAGCACGGCAGCACGGCCCCCTGGCAAGAGAGGACATCGTGTTCTTGGAATTTCCGAAACAACGTGTCTTATCTTCTATTGCACTTGGGAACGAAAAATTCAATAATATGCTTTCCTTAATTTTTTTAGTTAAATTTGACAGTTTTTGGGGGGTTTTAGTTTGCTTGCTTGCTTGAAAATGTTGCCAATCCATTGAGTTGAGTTTCGTGACATCGAATCATCGCAATAGAATTATTGACAACCCCACTGTCCGTACTGCTAGACTTTACTACTTCTTTCACAATTTCCTATGTCTTTCTACTGATGATCCGATGATACTAATAATTAATTTAATCATCCATCAAAAACCACTAACAGTAAGCCCCTATAACTAATCAATCAATCAATAAAATCTTTATTCAATATTAGTACTCTGTACATAGAATGGTGTCAATATTAATTAATACTAAGATACATTATAACTAAGATTGATTAATACTAAGGCTGTCAAAACAAAAGATATAGTTATATGCATGAAAAGAAAAGAGAACTAAAAACTTTCTTTACACATCATTTTTACATGGGAATAATAATGCTACAACACAAGAAATAAACGCAAAAGATAAGGTAATAATTATTTTTATTTATTTAATAGGCTAAAATTTAATGAACTCGATGCCTCGATGGCACTTGGTTTTAGATGTTTAGTATTTCCCATTTTGTTTGTATAATTTTTCAATTTCTCTTAATCCATTAGCTTTTTGAAAGTCATGCTTATTGTTGTTTACAACAAAAATACCAAAACTGAACCAAACTTCTGATGTTAATGTTAGTGATTTAGCCTATGGTGATATTTATGGATGTTCTGATCGGCATGAGAATGAGAATTTTATTTGGTCTTTTCATGAAGCGTCGTCGTTGCATATAAAAGCACTTGTACTTGTATATTTTTATTTCTTCTTTTTCAGATTTTGTTTTTCAATTTTCATTCTGAGTTCTGTCTCTAAGTTAGTTCTAATTTCGTTCGTTTGACACACAACACACAACACACAGAGACCAAGGCCATTGAGATAAAAAGGCCTGAGCCTGAGGCCTTCTTCTTTTTCTAAAATTATTTTGTTTTTGTTTTGGAAAATGGCTGGTTCAGCTTTGAGACGTCTTATGGCTGAATATAAACGTAAGTTTTAACTCATTTAATTGATAATCTGTCATTGAACTTATTATTAAATGTGCTCACTTCTGATTAAATATACATATTGTTTAGCATACATAGCTTAGTTTCTATCTTAAAATATACTCTATCACACAGGGGAGGGCCTAGGATTTAACCATAACCTATAACTATTATTAATTAATTAAAAGTTTGTCTATTACCAGTTAGTTACCCTACCATAATCCTTTGGTTAAGATTCATTACCAACCTTATTAAGTACACAAATTTTGTGGTTGTCATTAACCCTCCGAGTGTCCCTTGTTTTGGCCTTAATGTCTGCCTATTTTTTGCTCATTTGCAAGGTTTTATTAAAACGGATCTGAGAAGCTTGAAAACAATGTTAATTATACTGTTCTATATACCATTTTGTTTGGAAGATCATGGGCTTCAATATTATACATAGAACATAAGGAACATTTCTTTCAAAAAATTTTTTAGGTAAAAAAAAATATTTTGGAAAATAAAAAAAAAATAAGTTCGCGCTCAATGAAATTGTATAAATTATAGGCCTATAAATATTTGAAAATAGCCACTTTGTTCTAAATTTTATGAGGATTACAAATATATAATAATATAAGGAAGTAGATTTGCAAATAAATAAGTTATGGGCAAAAAACAGATTTCAGTACATAGCGTTTAGCTAAGAATGCATAGCCTAACCATAGCTAGGAATCTGGCTGATAATTTACATCAATATCACTACCTACTTCTTCAGGATCATCAACCAGCCCTTCAAAATCACTTAAATCTTCTTATAATGCACCACGTACATCACTACTTTTGATTTTGAACACTAAAACAATGATAAACGTAATAAAACACATCAGTCATCGGTCCGAGGATAACCGAGCTGTTTACAAATACGCACGTCAGCTGTCTGCTACAATATTTTCCGAACTAAAATGAATAGCGCCATAGATAAAACATACTCCCTTAGTAGATTAGTCATCCTAATGGAACAGCTGAAGCCAATTTTATTGTTAGTTCTGTACGTCCAACTACAGAGGTTATGTTTTGTTTACAATTTGTTTCTTGTTATTGCAGTCATTTAAAACCTCGTTTAACCTAATAAAACGATATAATCATAAACAATAACTGGTCTCCTAGTTATATAACCAAATAGTATAGCAGAAATCATGAAAATAACCCTAAAATAATAGAAACAAAATGTTGTCTACACTAGCGATCAGTGTGGACGTACATGAACTAGATACAAAAAACAAGCTTCAAAATTTACAATGGGATGAGGAGTCTACTTGTGTTGCTTAGTCTATGATAGCACTTAGAGACAGACCTCCGGAGAAAGCTCTGAATCTGTAAAATAAAACTATACCTAACTCGATCCAGTTCAATCCGATTTTGTCAGTCATAGAGCCTTCGCCGTAAACAGTGTTTGTGAGTCGCTGCAGCGACACAAAACACTACACAAAGTGTGTTATGTGTCGCTGCAGCGACAAATAACACTCGGAGGGTTAATTATTTTCCTGGCTTGAGTCTACATTCTAGTGCAAAAGGCTTACAGCAAGTTAGTTGAGAAGTACCTTTACCTTTACCTTCTTCTTCACCGCCACTCTCCATAAGACAGTGGGGACGTCTTCTTCTTTGGGCAAAGCCCCAGGAAGTTTATTGTTGGTCAAAGATCGACCTGAGTTCTTGGTTTGGATATCATGACAGCCTAGGCTACTTCGCTGGTGTTTCGTGTATGTGTGAGCCTATCTGTTTTAGTAAAAAGTAGACCCTGACTTAAACAACCGGTTACAAGAATGAATATGTGATTCTAAAACTTAGGGGAGAGGTGCTGTGTTCAACCAACTGTTTCCTAATTTCTTTTATTTATCATATGGCTTTGTTTACATTAATTTGTTTTTGTTTTGTTTTCACTGAAAGAAGCTAACTCACAATAATTTTCTACAGAATAAAAGTTTGTATTAAAACATAAATCAACTTTCTTTCATAGTACATAGCAGATGTTACATATTGGCAATGACATTTACCATTTACCATCGATGTCTTCTCCGCCGTCCTCGTAGACAGGGATAATCGTAGACCGTAATCGTAAATTTCTTGTTGTTAGTGCGTGTGTGTGAGTGTACTTGAGCATTGTACTTTTGGCTTTTGCCAATCATCAATGCTGCTGCCGATTTCCAGAATCCATCAAAGTTGTCAAAGTTAAGTTTCTTAGGTCCTGCTTAAGTAAAGGAAATACAAAATGCAAATAGGAAGCTGAGCGGCAAGTTGTTCCGTAAGCTTAGTGGTGTCAAGCCAAGTGGCAAACGCCACGTAACTGGACCCTACATAAAATGACTGACTACGTTTCTAAGTTAGGTCTACTTCTGACCTGTTGTGTTTCAAACAAGTAAAGTAAAAGATAGGTAGCTTAACTTGAGTTATATTAAGTTACCCTACATTAGAGAATGGTATCAATCTCTCCCCGGGTGGTAAGGAATCATAATTATAGCGAAATGAAAGCTAAGTGTAGCCGTTAGTTAGATGATATTGCTCATATCTCAATGTTGTTTTTTTGTGATCCAATCTTTCTAGAAGTTCATTAAGTTATTAATCGTTTAATTTAGGCTAATTCAAAAACAATTTTTAAACCTAGCATTTAACATTGATATTGAAAACTCATGCATGCCACAGTGGCATGATGACAGAGTTTGTAAGTCGGCACCAACTAAGCTATGCCATTCAGCTTTGCTGTACAGCAGTTGTTGTCATACTTCAATTCTTTACTTTAAAATAGCAACCGTACGATTTTAGGTACCAAATATCCACAAAATATACTAAATATCCACAATTCGTGACCTCGGAAGTTAGTAGCTGGATTACAGGACGATGCCGATGCCACCGTCTCAGTCATAGTGGGGATGCGGCAAGTCTGTTTGGCCGAACTAAATTTGAGCTGTTTCAGTATAGGTAATTTAAGTAAACTGAAAGGTTCAATAGCTTGATAACTTTTTAGGTGAGTGGGTAGGACCCTTGAGGTTTGATATGTTCTTAACGAGTAGGAAAAAGCTCTGAAAATGTTTGCAAGTGGAACGTTAATACTTAGCCCTATGCATAACTTAGGCTTGTCTATTATTAAATCTGATTTGTCATTGTTTCAGAACTTACCTTAAATCCTCCAGAAGGCATCATAGCTGGTCCAATAAACGAGGAAAATTTTTTTGAGTGGGAAGCACTAATTACGTACGTATGTTACAACTGCTTTACTATTATGTTCAGTACACTGATCACTCACTACTGGCATTTTTTAATCTGACTTACCGTAAAACATTGTTATGAAATTTTTTTTGTCCTAGGACGCTAGGCACAAGCCTGGGATTGTTTTTCACATTACTTCAGGCTAGACCTAGGGGTTGCGGCATTATCATCTAGGCCTAGATAAAATCCATTGGTGACTTGGCGGGGATCGAACCCGGGACCTCAGGGACTGAAGTCCCGCGCTCTAACCACTACGCCAGCTTGCTCCCCATTGTTATGACAATAAAATAGATGTGTTCAAACAATAGGTTGCATCTTAATCGTGTCTGGGGCTGGTACTATAATTGATTTCATGTCTATATTTTGTTTGTTTTTATTATGGTTTGTAGCCCAGTGTAACAACATTTTTTTTTCTCTGTTAATATTTTATTTTAGGTTTATGCCCATTTTTACCAAAATAAAATTTAAAAATAAAAATCTGTGTCCTCTATACCAACGTAAAAAGAAGCAAAACAGGTGTTGTGTACAATTGGTATCAAACTCACTACCATAATGCTGTCAACTTCCACCCAAGCTGTCAAACACCCGTTTATCAAAGATCACAAGATGGCACTTGCGCTTATAACTTAGATTCAACATAACTAGCAAGTGGGTTAGCAGTACGACTATCTCGCGGGGAAATGCGGTGACAAGCTATAGGCCTACAAGTAAGTCGTCGCCGATAGGTTAAATGATTTATGGATGTAACGTGGAATAACTTCACAATGTATGTAAGTTTGTAAAGACAATGGAACCATACTTTTAAGTGTATTCTTTCATTTTTAAGTCATTTTTATGCAATTTTATGCAATCTTGTTAATCATACGAATACTTAAGAGCAACAAAAGCCACAGATTTTTTATCAAAATCTACCAAAATATTTGGTTTAATCTGGGCCTTAATTTTTCCAGTGGACCAGATGGTACCTGTTTTGAAGGAGGAGTTTTTCCTGCAAAACTCATTTTCCCCCCAGATTATCCTCTAAGCCCACCAAAAATGCAGTTCACATGCGAAATGTTTCATCCAAATAGTAAGTAACTTTCATATCCATATAATACAATAAGAGGTTTCCCTGTAACTCCTTTTTTAGCTGTCTTATTAAACCTATTTTTTATGTGTTTTTTTCAATTGAGGTGTCATTGTGTCATTGTGTTGTCAGCTTGTGACCTTGCGGAGTGACGAATGGTAACTAACTAGGTGGCGTTCGCAGAGGCATCCACAAAATTGAGCGGAGTCATCGAGGGTTTATATTATATTGTTTTGGTCATACTGCAGTAATACCAGTCGTTTTTAATGCATGCGTTGTGGGTCTAAAGTAGCATTTTTACTCTTTAGGAAGTAAAAATAGTTCTTATCCTCTATGGAGTAAAAATCTGCTGTTGTAAACTCAGTTGTAAATTTTGATTGTAAACGATTGCATGTATCGAAAATATGTATCGATTCGTGCATCGTAATAATTTTAACCTACAGTCTACAATCTACAGTATACAGTCTCTTCCCATAGCATTTTAGCATTGCAGATACATTAATCCATTCCCACACTCAACACTGCTCACCTTTAGTACTTCATTCACCACTTCCTACGTCGCGGACCTGTTTCCCTCCCTTCAGCATCATAGGATTGCAAATACCTTAATCTAACGGTCATAATCAGTTCCTACACTCCGGACTGCTCGCATTTACTACTTCCTTCACCACTTCCTACGTCACGGACCTGTTTACCTCCCTTCCCATAGCATTTTATGATTGCAGATACATTAATCTAATCGTCATAAACGGTTCCAACACTCCAGACTGCTCGCCTTTACTACTTCCACCACCACTTCCTACGCCACGGACCTGTTTCCCTCCCTTTCCATAGCATTTTATGATTGCAGATACCTTAATCTAATCGTCAAAAACAATTCCCACACTCCGGACAGCTCGCCTTGACTACTTACTTCATCACTTCCTACGTCGCGGACCCGTTTTCCTCCCTTCCCATAGCATTTTATGTTTGTTGATACCTTAATCTAATGGCCATTAACAGTTCCCACACTCCAGACTGCTCGCCTTTACTACTTCCTTCACGACTTCCTACGTCACGGACCTGTTTCCCTCCCTTCCCATAGCATCATAGGATTGCAAATACCTTAGTCTAATGGTCATAAACAGTTCCTACACTCCGGACTGCTCGCATTTACTACTTCCTTCACCACTTCCTACGTCAAGGACCTTTTTACCTCCCTTCCCATAGCATTTTATGATTACAGATACCTAAATCTAAACGTCAAAAACAGTTCCCACACTTCGGACAGCTCGCCTTGACTACTTCCTTCATCACTTCCTGCGTCGCGGACCCGTTTTCCTCCCTTCCTATAGCATTTTATGTTTGTTGATACCTTAATCTAATCGTCATGAACAGTTCCCACAGTCCAGACTGGTCGCCTTTACTACTTTCATCACCACTTCCTACACCACGGACCTGTTTCCCTCCCTTTCCATAGCATTATATGATTGCAGATACCTTAATCTTATCGTCAAAAACAGTTCCCACACTCCGGACAGCTCGCCTTGACTACTTTCTGTTTTAGTTAGAAAATATAAATAAAATTAGAAGCTTTAACATTTAAAGTTCAGAAGTTTATTTTCAATTCAACTCAAGACTGAAACATAAACATGACTGATATTGTTTACCTCCAACTATCATATGATATATTTTACATATGGTAATATGTGAATATAACATTATAATACATCTTTCCCCTTTAAAAAACAGCAAACAAATTTGAAAGAATTAACTAAAATCAATAACCAACCAAACTTCTCCCTTCTTTTGAGACCATTATATTGTATTCCGAAATCTTGATGGTAGCTTGATTTCTCTACGAGGTCTTAGTTGTACTGGCTCGTCTTGCCTTGGAACTGACTGGGAATTGTTTTGTTGAGTGAGTGATGGTTTCATAAGATGGCGGCGATTTCTTCTTAATGTAGCCCCGTTGTCATGTTCTACCCAGTAACTTCTTGGAGTTGGTCCTTGATTAACAATCTTTCCCTGCTCCCACCTTCCTTCATTTCTGAAAACAACTCTTTCGTTATTTCTTACAACCCTTAAGTCTTTGGCTGACCGATCATAATATTTTTTCTGCAGGTGTTGTCTTGTATTTAACCTGTCTTGTACTCCATCATTCAGCAGTTCCTCAGTGACCGGGATCGTTGTTTTACACCTGCGTTGTGGGATAGCACCCTCCTTAAGCTGAATATGATGAGTGCTTGGAAACTGTCCCAATCCTTCAAAAGCTGGCTTGTAGCCGGTTAAAACATCGTCCTTATCCTTAAAATTCAAACATATCGATGACACTCTCTTAATGAGTCCTAAATTGGCACAATCTTTCAGTCCTAAAATCGGCAGTTCATGTTCGACATTCACTACAGCAAAATTCACATCTGCAGTTACACCTGTAATTGTTTTGCATTGTAATATCACAAGACCTAGAGGTTTGATTTTGAATTTTTCATCTCCCCAGGCTGAGAGTACATAAGAACTACGTTTTACGTGTGTAATGTTCATTTTCCGTAAATAACTAGCAGGTAAAACACTGATCTCTGCACCTGTGTCTAGTTTAAATTTAACTTGTGTACCACCAACAGTCAAGTTTTCCGTCCACGATTTTTCACTTTGACCTTTCACTCCACTAATGTTTAAGCTTACCGAGCCTAAACTAACATCGCTCACACAACAGTCTTCATCGTGTTGTTCCTCGTTTGTAACAGCATGAGATTTTATAGTTTTGCTCCTACAAACCTTTGCAAAATGATTTTTACCATCACATTTCGAGCATGTTTTGCCATATGCAGGACATTTACCCCGTACATGTTTGTAGCCGCAAAAGCTACATAGATCACTCTGTTTTTCTTTTGCAATACTCCGCGAAAGTTCTTGATTTGGTACATTATTAACAACACATACACTGTATGGATCCGACTTAGTCCCCGAAAGCTTGGTTTCATTGTGCTCTACAATAGTCCTACATTGATCCTTGCTACTCTCTACAATCATACAGAAATCAATAGCTTTTTTCAAGTCAAGTTTTGTATCTCTTAATAGACGCTCTTGAGTACTTTTATCTCTTAAACCTAAGACAATTCTATCTCTAATCATATTGTCAGGTTCAAGAAACTCGCATGATTTAGCTGCTATTTTTAACTGCATAACAAACTTACTGAAGTCTTGACCTTCTTCCTGCTTCATTCTATAGAATTTAAACCGCTCAAATATGACATTTTTCAGAGGACAACAGTAAGATTCAAACTTATCAAGTACGCAATCAAAACTATCTTTGTCATTATCTTCAAATTTAAAAGTATTATATACATCTAGGCCATCATCGCCTAACAGATTAAGCAGCTGCGCAATCTTAACTTCATCTTTAAGTTTCTTACCATGACCAGTTGCTATTAAGTACAGTTCAAACTTCTGACGAAATCTTTTCCAATTTTCACTCACATTTCCTTCAAAACTCATAGGTTCAGGCAACCTAAACAATCCAGATACTTCCATTATTTCTTCTAGGTTTCAAAATACACCTGACACCATGTTTTAGTTAGAAAATATAAATAAAATTAGAAGCTTTAACATTTAAAGTTCAGAAGTTTATTTTCAATTCAACTCAAGACTGAAACATAAACATGACTGATATTGTTTACCTCCAACTATCATATGATATATTTTACATATGGTAATATGTGAATATAACATTATAATACACTTTCTTCATCACTTCCTACGTCGCGGACCCGTTTTCCTCCCTTCCCATAGCATTTTATGTTTGTTGATACCTTAATCTAATCGTCATGAACAGTTCCCACACTCCGGACTGCTCGCCTGTACTACTTCCTTCACCACTTCCTACGTCGCGGACCTGTTTCCCTCCTTTCCCATAGCATCATAGGATTGCAAATACCTTAGTCTAATGGTCATAAACAGTTTCTACACTTCGGACTGCTCGCATTTACTACTTCATTCACCACTTCCTACGTCACGGACCTGTTTACCTCCCTTCCCATAGCATTTTATGATTGCAGATACAATCGTCATAAACAGTTCCAACCCTCCGGACTGCTCGCCTTTACTACTTCCTTCACCACTTCCTACGTCGCGGACCTGTTTCCCTCCTTTCCCATAGCATCATAGGATTGAAAATACCTTAATATAATGGTCATAAGCAGATCCCACACTCCGGACAGCTCGCCTTGACTACTTCCTTCCTCACTTCCTACGTCGCGGACCCGTTTTCCTCCCTTCCCTTATAATTTTTGGAATGCAGATACCTAAATCTAATCGCCATAAACAGTTTCCACGCTCCAGACTGCTCACCTTTAGTACTTCCTTTAGCACTTCCTACATCAAAGACCTCAAGCTAGTGTCGTCATTTGATTATATTTATGATTCATTCCGTTTCTGTTCTAATATCTGTGGAATAATGCTATCAGCTTTTTCTTTATCTACTGCATTCAAAAGTCAACAGCTGATCATATGTCTTTGTTTATGTGTCAAATACTGCTTCCATAAGGATTACATTGAATCTTTGAGACCCAGTGGGGCGGATTCCTGAGAGTTATATTTAACGCCATATAGATGTTGGCACTCACCGATATGGTCTTTATCACCATCCAAAATTTGAAAACGATTGATTCAGCCGTCTAGGAGGAGTTTGCGTATTACGAAATGCATAAAAGTCGACGTATAAGAGCTTCGCTCAAAAAGTACATTTTCTTTAGAGTTTCACAATAGCCTCCTCTAACACAAGGCCGGCGTTGGTATGTGGCAACTTCAAGCCACACACCATGGCCATGGCAACAGAAATAACAAAAGTGTAAACATAAACATTTCTTATACTTTCCATTATAAATTAGGGCAACAGCTGTTTCGGTTTGACAGGACAGCGGTCACAATTTAATTTATTATAAATTATTTCTTACCAATTGCTGTTTCAAAAAAATAAATTATAATCTTTGAAAAGTAAAAGGGTTATTGCACTTTCCGTACTGCCCCGGAATCGAACCCTATGAAAATGTGAAATTAGCGCATGGGTCAATAATATATTTGGTTATGATTACTTGTAAAATATATAAAGAAATTAGTCAGAGTATTTCTTAAAATGTTGGTATGGCTTGAATATTGTATAAAAGTTTATAAATATTTTCTTTTGAGTGTTTTACATATATCTAGCTTATCAGTATACGTTTACTTGACTGTTGTGTATGTTCTAGTATACGCAGATGGCAGAGTTTGTATATCAATCTTGCACGCTCCGGGCGATGACCCGATGGGTTATGAGTCCAGTGCAGAAAGATGGAGCCCCGTTCAAAGTGTAGAGAAAATACTTCTATCCGTCGTCAGTATGCTGGCAGGTTAGTTGAATGTTATTCTTACCATTTACTTTTGGATCTAATAAACATCACATCTATTACAATGCATACATGAAATAGCTCTTTAGCCTACTTTTTGTTCAAATACTCCGTAACTTAACCTTTTTTTTTGTAGATAGTGGCCTCGTAATAATTGAATATGGGCGTTACCTTATAGCTAAAAGCCATCGGTAGCCATAGCAGGCTTTCAGTAGGACAGACGTTTTACATTCCTGACAAATACACTATCAACCCCCTCCCACCATTCCCCTTCATCAATTTTCTTTTCCTTACTTACAAAAATAAATAAACTTAGCCAATATTTGAATTGAAGCCCTATGAGGGTATGTAAAAATCATATGATCAATGCTTAAACACAACTTTGTTACCGATCTTATAATTTACGATCTGTTGGCCCGTCCTACGTACGAGGATCAAGTAGTCGATTAATGCTGAATATAATTCAGAACAGCTAGTTTACAATTTGGTGGCCGATTCACACACACTGATTTTGTGAACAGTTGCTACGTACCACCTTCCATTGTATACTATCGCTTACCGTACATTATCGTACCTCCGTGGCTACTGAAACCTTATAAAGGATTCTAGCCTCCCATTCTCTTATCTCCTGCCTCTTCTAATGTACATCCCTGTCTGGAGAAGTCTTTCATTACTTTTGACTTCATTCTTGGTCTTCCAAGTGGTCGTCTCCTCTCCACTACGCATAGACTGCCCATCCAAACCTTTTACTTTTGGAAAACACCCTTATATGTGTTTATACACTTCTCTTAACTCTCTGTTATTTCTTATCTTATATCTTACCTCCGTTATCTTGAGCTGGTCCGTACATTCCCTCTGCACTATTCTCAAACCCACCAATAAGGGTTTTCAGTTCATTTCTGAAACATACGCCACTATTGGGGTAGTTATGGTATGAATCAATTTTCATTGCATGAACTTATACATACACAGATTTCATTTACGACAAAACTTGACTATACTCAAGTGTTTGAGAAATATAGTTCAGGTTACACATTTCCTTATAAAGCAGATCCTTTACGTTTGGAAAAAAACTACGTTTTAAAGTGAAATAGAAGGCTATGTAGGCAAACATCAACTATCAATATTTTAGTTTATAACTTGTAACATAAACATTCAAATGACAGTTTGAAACCAGCTGTTAGTTAAACCACCATTGAAACGACTTTAAACTGTTAGCGTCAGCTGCTAGACTTTTTAAAAACTAAAACCTAATTTTAAAAAACTGAAACCCTAAACTAAAATTATGGCTTCGACATTCCCTAGTTCCCAAAATTATCTTTCAACACAAAAATCATCAAAATCCGTCAAGTGGTTGATTCAAAATCGTGAAATAAAAAAACCCTTTCACGTTTTAATATATGAGATTTTTCTCCTTTTTGGTTCTAGAGCCGAACGATGAAAGTGGAGCCAACGTGGATGCAGCAAAGATGTGGAGAGAAGACAGGGAAGAGTTCAACAGGATAGCGGAGAGAATCGTTAGAAAAACACTGGGAATTCCCACATAATCCTCTAGTGTAAACTGTATAGCGATCATTTACCATTTGTTTGTATGTGAGTTGAATTTTCAGAGTATTTTTTATAAATTATTATCATTGTGTATGTCTCGTTTGTGAGGGTTTATTAAACTATGTTATTTATTGTTTTCATTGAATGTATTTTCCTCTTCCACAATATGTATTGGGATTAAGAACAATGAAGTAACAAGTTGTTTTGTTACGATTATGCAATGGAATTTGATTTTTGATACTTATCAGCCATGGATAACAAACCAGGTTTAAGCGTTTATAACTCAAAATAATATCAGGATCTTTTATGTGGCTGAGACTGACAAGGGTTTTAAGTTTTTAGTTTTGATAAATGGTCCTGCTTATGAAAGAGCTAGTCTTAATCTGTAACAAAACAAAGCTACACATGTCATTTTACTTCCTTCTACTCTCACCTTGCATTCTTATTCAACTTTGAATAAATTGCATGTCAACTAAAAACCGTGAACAGTACTGGCACGTAAACATTGCTTTAGACAGAAAATCCAATGGATGGATACGGCTAGGGTTCTAATTTTCTTGCACAAATAAATGGCAAGTTTAAGTGACTTCACGTGAAACAATACGGATAATTTCCAAGTGTTTTAAAATAATCCAATAATCCAGGGAATCGCCTACTCTACTAAAGAACGTAATATGTAATGTTGTAATATAATGTTGGTACTATAGCTCGGCCGCTTAGAAAGCGACCTCCTCTAGCATTGGTTAGCATTAGCGCGCAGGTTGCTTCCTAAGCGGCCAAACTATTATCTCTGTAGATCATACTATTGTTGGATTTGATGTCATATATGCTGACAACTTGACTTATGGGTTTTGATCAGTGATGTAAAAAAAATTTGACTACAGATGATAAGAAGGGGAGTTGAAGCTGTTATTAAACAAAAATATGTAAGAAAAACAAGTGAAAAAGACTCCATGAACGCTTAGAGGTTATTGTCAAAACAAGTTTGTGAATTAGACCGATCCAACTGCGAAATGAGGTTTTTGAGGGAGGTGGATTACAGTAGTACCCAAAAATCATTTATACTTTTACACGACACAGTTTTTAAAATTTTATGTAATGAACATTTTTATTCTACATCTACTGGTTGCTCATATCTTTGATGTGCTTAACACAGTAACTTGTCTTCCATGTTAAGGAATTAATGCTGTGTATGTTACTTATTTATGGATACATCTTGATAAAAATTAGTAAAAGCTGTAGTCTCACAAAATGTAATAAATTGGTTTTTTGTTTGTTTTCTTGTAGCAGCAAGCCTAGTTACTACGAGCCAAGATTATTTGAACTGATATATACATTGATAAACACCAATTTCCTTTTAATGTGAACTTGTCAGTTAAAAAAAATATTGCAAATTTACTTAGTCTCTAGGTTTGCTGAAACAAGGGTGGTTAATTACATTTTTTTCTAATCCATCTAGCTAGAGTATCTATATTATTAATACGCTACATGAAACTTAGTAAACAATAAGGATTTTTTTTTAGATTTAACACCACATATTATATACCAAAATGTTTGTCTAGTTATGTAGATTTGCAAACTGACCTTACATTTTTACCAGTGGCTTTTAAAGTTCCTATGTTATCCTTATGAAGAACATATTTATTGTTGTTAATATTTTGGTTGCAATTTAAGGAATGTGTGCTACAAAGAATATAACATATTTCTAGATTTAAATAGTACCAAGATATGTACATCTGATATGTACATCTATAAAAACAGAAAAAATTAATTTGATAACCACTTATTGTACATTGTATAATTTTACCCAGGCAAAGCAGTGGTTTGCTGCAAGTCAATAAATAATTTACTTCTAAGGTAAGCTGAGGGCACGAATACAGATTTTAGTTATAGAATTTTTTCTAGATTTTGGCATTGATTAACTAATAAGTTTATAAATTAATTGCAAAACCATTTTAAATCAAAATTATGGCTGCATAATAAAAAAATATAATCCTCTTAGATTACACAGAAATTCGTTGAGTTGTAAATTATAGACTTACTAAAAACTAGAGTGCCTTTTTGTCCCACCTTTATCCTATGACGCTAGTTCTTGCTCAGAACATTTTTACGCGTTACTTAGTCCTAGTGCGTTGCATAATCTTATATAAAATCCATTGGTGATTGTTGGGATTTGAACCCGGGGACTCGCGGGCATCGAACCCCCGTGCTCTACCACTAGACCAGCTCACCCCCCATAGGAGTGTGTCTGTGGTTCTATGATGGTCCCGAGTCGAATTATATCAGTTACAGTTGGCGTTGTTAAAATTTATTGCATCGGACACGTGTTTCAGATAAAAGTAAAAGTAAAAAAGTGTATCCCTCCCTTACCTTAGAGAATACAGTAGTTAGAAAAGAGACTAGAATAAAACTTTTTGTTGTTTTTTCATATTTATGAATCAGCTATTGACGATTGCAAGTGTATTTCCCTGGCCTGTGACACTTGAGTGCGTTAGTGTATTCTACTTAATTAAGGAGTTATTCTACTGGCATAACTAAATTAATACGGACGCAAATTTGTAACATTTGAGAGAAACTACTTGTCGACTTCAACCACGGCCACCTCAACACCAACTTGCTTAATATTTTGCAGCTTAAGTCTACATTACTGCAGCATCGACATTCAACAATTAAGCATATCAATCTTTTATTGCAAATGGAAATCACATATTTTTACAAAACATGATGCCGGAATCAATACCTTCAAAAACTGTTTCTTATTCGAGGTTTTTTTTTTGTATTTCAGTTGTGACAGGGTTTTATTGAAACCCCCTATTTAAGTGTAATTGAAGCAATGTAAAAATCCTGCCTAGACGCCACCCTCTTTTTCACTTTCACAGTAAAACCATAGATAAAACATACTCCCTTAAAACTACAAATTTGTACAGTACTGTGGTTGGCTTTATCACCTAGTCCAGAATAATTACGAAATTCTCAGGGCCTTGAAATTTCTCTCTGAGGTCCTAGGAGTATCATGTAGCCCATGGGGATGCGCTTTAACACTTTGGTACTTTTATATGTATTACAAATCATATTTTCAAAATTTATATGCTTTGTAGTTTGTTGAGGCAATATGTCTGAAACTAGTGAAACTTTCAGCCAATCAGACGTTGAGCTTTCGTCTGATCTGCAGCAGGCAGAGGCAGCAGATCACGTCCCTAAATGTGACATGGCGTCTTACACGGAAGATTGTTAACAAATTTACTTTGATGTTGTTTTTATGACAATTATTCTGCATAAGGGCCATAATTGAAGCCGGATATTATTCCTAGAGACTTGCATTGATGGTAATGCATGCTAGGAAACCTCAAAGGATCAGCGATGGGTACGCTTCTTTCTTTACAATAATGGTTGAGTCTAAATGACACAACCTCTTATCGCCATTATGTACTTAAATAAATAATTTTATTTTCGCTATTTTTGATTGGGTTTGTTGTATATTTCAGGTATTTCGAGAAACACCAGACCCATCCTTATCAGGTAACCCAGAGCAGACCTCAACGCAGCCTCCTAACGATGAATCTTACAACGGTTGTATAGTCAAATAGGTTTTAAGAATTATTTCATAAATAAGTCAAAATAATTTCAGTTATTACCAGCAATCTTCGCAAGCCTTATTAGTCTGTGATCATTTTTGTGAAAGGGCAGGCCTACTAAGTTGTTATTATGAGCCATAGGCAGGCCCAAACCTATTCAAACCCACTTTTTGTAATTTGGGTTGGCCTAGGGCTGTGGCTTTGTCAACTGTATCTTTTCTCACTCCAAACAAAGAAGTGTAAAGGCTACACAATCACTTTTGGGGTAAATTTTTATGTCTATGGCTCTTTCAAAATGTAAGCATCATTGATGTGGCCTAACTTAATATTTTTTCACATTGAAAAAAATGCCTAGCCTAGGCTTAGGTACAGGAAAACATAATGCTGCCTAGCCTAGTCTAGGGGTGTTTCAGTACAGGCCCATGAAGAAAATTACTGTTCTACTACGATCATCATTGAAATAACTTAGGCCTTATAGCATAGCCTACTGTTTTGCCTTAAAAAAAATTGGGTAGACTTCCGTAACTTTATCTGTTGGCACAAACAACCGAATGAAAATATTGATCGATACATAGTATGAAACAATCGAATAATCAATATTTTCATTCGGTTGTTTGTGCCAACAGATAAGTTATGGAAGTCTTAAGTCACATCCATTAATTATCTTTGACTTCATACCGTAAGTAACTTATATTCGTCTGCTCTAAGTTAACTTAAATAACTTTGGCCTAAGTTTAAACTGAAGCCAGTAAATAAATAAATAAATAAACTTAAGTATGTCCAGGCTATTTTACAAAATCTTAGGATCTTGTACCCAAGGCCTTTAAGTTAGAGCCATTGGCTTTAAAGTAGTCTAGTCATGCATTTAATTATCATTGGCCTTTTCGTGCATTGAACACAGTTAACAGAGGTGAAAATAAAATTAACTGTTCATAGGCATAGTAGGCCTATGCTATTTTAAGCATAACTAAGACAAAAAAACTAGGCCTAAATAAGTTACGCCCACCCTATTGAAATTTTCTCTAAGTTATTTCAGTTGGACAAAGAACTTTGTCAGACAATAACTTAATCTAACTTAGGCCTAGGCTCACTGCAAGGTAATATCTTTGAATATTAACTTAATACAACTAACTTAGACATTCCATCCTCATGTTAAATTTGTAGCCAGTTTTTTAACCAAAATCTTTGTAGTTGATGTGAGCCACCCACAGATTGTGCTGATCTAAATTACTGATTTCTGTTGAATACATACAATCTTTTTGACCCATCCAAACTAGCTTAAGTTAAGCTTAATAGAATGACATTTTGTGAGCTAGCCTATATAGCAAAATTCTGTTTTGACCCATCAACTTGTCCAGAAACAAAAAATAACCTGGTAGAAAATAGATTTTTAGTCACTAGTGCATTCTGTGACTGGCTCACACAACTACGTTCTTTTTTAACAAAAAATTGGCTACAGCTGGTCCATATTTAAGTTAGATGGGACGTCTTCTTCGGTATCCAATAGCCAATGGTAGTATGTAGGCCTAGGCTAAGTTAAGTTAAGTTAAACCTTTTTATGAAGACTCGACTAACTTAGTTTTATCAGAATTTTAAAGCAGTGCTTAGTGTTTAGCATGGCTAGGCATATGATTTAATAGGCCACCTAACTTACTTAGTTTTTGTCAAGTTTGTTTCAATTTCCATGTCATGATTAGGCCTACTGCTACTAGGGCCTATTAAGTTTATCTGTCGTTTTTCACCTAAAGATTTTTTAGGGTCACTTAGGGTCTATGTGCGAATTATAAGTTAGGCTAATAACTTAATTGATGTTTATGAAAGACCTAAGTTAGAGTTCTAGGCTTAGACCTGGTAAAAAAAACTTATTGATTTTTAACGTTAGGCTACCTTAAGGTTAGACTTGTAAGTTAAAGTGAAACTGACTTGTAGCCTAGCCTGAGTTTTGCAGTAAGCTACTGGTACCAAGATGAATTTAGCTTATAGACATCCCAGAAACAAAAGAATCCTGGGTCATTTTGAGCCGTCCAGGTTTGAAGGGTAAGCCACACCTACCAGCGTAAACCACAAGATCTTTTCGTTTCTGTGCAGGTTGTTTTGTTCTTGGGATGTCTATAGGATTAACTTAATTGGTGAACATCAATTAATCAGATACAAAATAACTTAAACTTAGTAGCCTACATCTGATTATAGACATATATTAACTTAGGGTAAGTCAACAAACCAAATGTTTCATGCTTAGGCTTAAGTACAATAAATTCAATAAAAGAATGACAAATTAATCTTAATTTGTTTAACTGTTGAAGATTAAATTATGAAATAACTAGGGAAATAACTTGGATGTTTAAAATAGCTCATAAAGTATTACCTACATCAAATTTAATTTAATTATATCTTTGTGAGTTACCCTATTGAAAAATGTATAATTTTAACCTGTCAGATCTAAAATGATTATGATCAAAAGTTTTCAATAGCTAGGCTACAATAAATAGGCCTATAAATTGGGTAAGTAACTTTAGTATTAAAATAAGTTAAATTGAGATGTTTATAATTTTATATTGCAATAAAATCAAGTCTATTTAGGGCCTACAATTAATAATGGAATTAAATTTTTGCACATGGTATTACCAATTAGTCAATGGGTATTAAGTTACTATTTCTTTCATATGTTTGTTTTGGTTTTTGTTATTTGGAGTTTTCCAAAAGGCCCGTAAGCTCTGTAACTGTAAGTTGATATTCTATTTGTTTTGATTGGAAGCTTGTTCTGAATAGTTACTAAATGTACTCAATGAAGTCTGTTTTTCAGGTCGTGAATGCAGATTCAACTCATCTGAAAGTGAGTATATTTGTTCAGGTGTAGTGTATGTGTGAAGCATAGTCTAGTCTTGTATGAACAATGTAAAAGTCTTGGGATTAATTGGGAGTAGGCTACAATAGAAGGCTAAAACATCCAAAATAACACGTTTGTCTTAGTAGTCTTAGTTTATTGTAAAGTAAGTTAATAATTGAAAATTTAATGGCTATAAATTTATTTTTTCAGTCAAATTATCAATAATAACCTCAAACCAGTTGACCAAAAGAAATTATTAGCCTATGAACTTTGTATAGGCTACTTTGTATGAACTTTGTAACTTTGTAAGCTATTAATTTTAACCTAACCTAATCCATTGTCCAAGTAAATAAAATCTTATTTTAAGCTTGAATAAGTATTTAAATACCTGGATATCTTTTAATCTGATCTTAAAGGATTTCAGAGTAATGAAGACTTTGGATTGATCTGTAGGCCTTACTTTAAACTTTTGTACTTAGCTAATGAAATGTGTGTCTCTTATATTGACAACAACTCATTGAACTTTTTTAACAAATTTCTATCTGGATTAACAAATTTTGTTAGCTCTACTTGTTTAAAAAAGCCTTAGGCTGTTATTTTGAGTTAATACAAGTTTTTTTTCTTTTAATTAAGCAAATGAGTAATGATTCCACGTAAGTTAACTCTTGCTAGTCAAAATGTTTTTTAGATAATTTCCAAATTTGTTAAGTTTGTAGGCTAAGATGAATTTGTTGCAACCAACAGTTGCCTTCATATGTTTTTACATCACAACATTGCAATTACCTCCAGGGCCAAGCCAAACATTTTATAATAAATTTGTTTTCTTGAAGGACTCTAGTCCTGGTTTTATACTGGTACTGGTATGTTCCAACAGGTTCCTTCTGCATTGAAAACTGTAGGCCTACTTATTTTTAAAACCGTACTTTGAGGGTTTTGTTCTCGTTACTTAATTTATTAATAACTTATGTATATTTATTGTTTTTATAAATGTTATTTGTTATTCGTTGTTATCTTATCTGAGTTAAATATTATGTAAATTGTGATGTGTGTACTAAGAAGACTGCATGGACGTTCTAAATGGACTTAAACTTTAATGTTGCGTTAGTGGGCACTATGCCTGTAATGTAGTATTGTTGAAATAAATAATTGCTAGAGGTCTGCGGGTTCCTGGTATTTTCGGGTCGGATTGGGCCAACAGTTGTTAACCCTTTGAGTGCTGCGGGGAGGGTAAGGCAATTATTTTAGGTTTGCTGGGCATACATGTTAGGTAGCCTATACCTGCTAGGAATGCTGGCCATTTCCCAGCATGAATTAAGTGTTAAATAAAAATGTCATAAACTATTTAATATATTAACATTCTTTGACTCGTGTTTTTGTAGTTGAGTAGATTTTTATCTTTTACATAGTGAAGTACCGATTTCAATAAGGTTTTAACTAGCCTAGGTAAAATTAACCTAATTTATTCATTAACAAAACACATCGTCTCTAGGATAGTACCAATTTCCCTTTCTTAGTCTGGCACTTTGTGTAACTTGTAAAAAGTCTGACTTCTTAAAAAAATTTGGATTTTGAATATTGCTTCAAGAAGGCCTTAGCACAAGGAGAAAGGTTTTAATTCAGATGAAAAAATGTGTTTTTGAAGTCTTAAGACCTACCTTTAGCCCTTAAGAGGCATTGTGTTACAAACAGGATGGTACAAACTGACACATCAACTGAAAGTCTCGTTCTCCAAACTGTTTCAAATGACACTGTCATTCATGACTGACCAATTTCATTAACCAACTACAGTGCAAAATTATAATTAACATGTAAGTTAGGCAACAAAAATATAAACATTCAAAATAAAATCCTCACAACTAGGCCTAGGTAACAAGTTCATAACACTTCATGCAATATCCACAAACTTAACCAAAATAACTATCAGAAAAATAAAAACAAATATGATTTTTGTCTATTTTAAAAGGTTTAAAATTTATTTACAACTGCCACCTGTAGTTGTTGAAACAACAAAACAAATTGTAAACAACAAACCGCTATTAGAGAGCAACGTAAACAGAACACATGAACCAGCTGTATAAAACCGTATTGTTTTGGTTTTGCTTTGTAATCGTTTTTGATTGGTTGACCTCATCCGTCTAACAAATAGTTGTTACCAACCTCCTTCTGTAGCCTTGGGTGTGATTTTCAGACAGTTTTATCAACATATGATACCACAAGATGTGATTTACCAATCTTTCGTCTTGTTCCGAGACGCTGGCATTTCTAGTGCAATCTCTGACATTTTGTTACAAGACACTTTATTTTCAAGCTAGGAAAATTATGTGTCTTGGAGCCAGACACGACGGCACTCAAAGGGTTAATCTAAGGGATCTGTTTGGGATGGAACAAATTTCTTGGTCTCAAGTCGGGTCATTTATGTAGTGTGCGGGAGTTGCTAGATTTTCAAGCTGAGTTGTTATTTTGATGATATTTATTAGGAACGGTCTGCAAAGACACTCAGTGAAAAATTGACAACTTTACCAACATCGGGGAGGTGACAAAAATGTCTCTGCCGCTTTCAAAGGTATTCACGATTTCGCTGTGACTGCAGAAAAGTTCACAATCTTGCTGTGACTTCAAAAGATGATCTAGATTTTGTTTTTACCACAGAAGATGGGTTCAAACGTTTAGTGAAAATATTTTTAGCAAAATATCCCCTTATAATTATGCCTATTTTTTCAACAACGTTATTCTCTATTGTAGAATTCGAAGTATTCAAAAGGAAACTATGCTGATCGCTGTAAAGACGAAAGAATGCGGGACTCTCCTAACGGAAACTCCTATCGTTCGGACAGTCCAGACTCCGAAAGCCCGAGAGACAGAACTTATCAAAACAAGAGTTCTTTCATCCAGAAAGTACGGGACAAGGAGAGAGAAAATAGAGACTACAAATCGAGAGATAAATATTCAGGTAAGAGCCTAAGTGTGGCGCAGTACAATCTTCTGAATAGTAGGCCTAATGTGAAAACATATTCCGTGCTAGCAACTACAACCATAACAAGCAGTAATGTAAAACTGATTTTGTTTCCTTTGCCAAATATTTTATGTTTGCACATTAACTTAGTATATATTTCTTGTAGCCTACACATTGTTGAAGTGGACCTTAACAAATTCAGAATGACCTTTTTTTGTTGAAACTATTAATACTGTCACCGTTTGAGATTTGTGCTTAATTTTATCCTGCAAATAGTCATAAGATTGATGGCTGGAAATATCTAAGAGGCTGGCTACTATTAAATAATTGTGGTTTTATGAAATAAATCATGATTTATGCCTTTAAAAGTCAAGTGGGTCATACATAATTTTTAATTGCCATCAAAATAATATGAAATATTGACCTTTCTCAGCATTCACGTATTTGTGATTGACCTAATGCAATATTATCAGGTAAATTAGGCTAGTAGCCGAGTCAAGAGTCAACTTAAAACCGATCATAGTTGTTTATGAGTTAAAAGTTGGTTTTGTCCGTGTAAGTTTGTGTTTTAGCAAGACCCCAACTCTAATTGGGTAATTCAATCAACTCACTTTTGGCCAATGGTGTATTAAGTTTTGTGATAAGGACTTGCTTTCAACAAAAATTATCAGTTTTGCGAGTAAAATAGTCCGGTTTAACAAGTTTGTATACATTTGTCACTCTCTGCATGAGTTTTAAGGTTTAATAAGTTGACTTCACCTAAGTACGCCCCTCGACCTAGTTGACTCCCTCTGCATGAAATTAGGCTAACCTAGTTGTGCATTTTAGAGTCTTTCGGATTTACTCTAGTGAGTTTAGATCTGACTGAATAAATTGTTATCACAAATTAAAAACTAACTAATTGAGTTATTAATTTGTATTTTCTAGTGGCTAAACCCATTTTCTTAATTTTCAGATTGTGTCCGGTCTCCTAAGGACAAGCGTTCAAGAGAAAGTAGAGACTCTGAACATCGGACCAATCATGATAGGAATAGTACGGAGGTAAGGTGAACCTTAGATACGAATAGTATTTTTGAATCTTAACTTAAATATTTTAGAGAGTCAAAGCCATTGAAATTACCAAAATATTTTAGAGAGTCAAAGCCATTGAAATTACCACCCCCCTGGGCATCTGCTCGGAACTTACCAACCATAAGGGGTGAGCTGGTAAAGTATTAAAATTTCACTTAACTGATTACAAACGTAACGGGAAATGAACACAACACATCGCTAATGACTTCACAGTTCATCACTCTACTGACTAAGCTATTTAACTTAATGTCCCAATTTTGTTATCCCCGACAAAGAATTTTCTGAAATTCACTGGAATATTTCATACGTCCTAAGAAAGTTATTTTGTTAGATTTCACTTTTTCAAAAGAAATAATTTTATTAGCGAATTTCCCATATAGGGAATAAGCTATTACCGTAGGTCTCATGGTAAGACCTAGACCCGGGACCGATTTATTTTTTCGTTTTGAGGTCCCCAGAGACCAAAAACACCATCCGTTCAGATTCATATATAAACAGGCTATTTATATATGTGTCCGTTAGGGTGATAACTCAAACAAAAATGATCCGATTTTGATGAAATTTGGTACAAACGTGTAAACCTACGTTTATTCAAACGAGTTCGCGAAGCAGCATAATCGGACCATGGGAACAGGGTTTTATGGGGTAAAAATGGGTTTTTCCCACTTTTTCTCAACCATTTTGTAGAGCTTAAAAAATAAATAATTTAGTAGGCTATATTGAAGCGCTGTTGTATGCCTAACGGTAACAGAGAAAATTAAAAAAAGTGTAATTTAAAATTCCCATGTTATTCTTATGGAGAAAATGAAGACTGTTGTAGTTTACTTGTTTATGGATATATATTGATAAAATTTGGCAAATTTATTTATTTCATCCTATACTATTGACATATGGTCAAAAAACACTTTTTACCTTCCCTGTAGCAGCAAACCTAAGCACTTGTTAAATCTAATGTTATTTAAATTGGGAATAAATATGTCTTATTTATGGAAATATTTTAGTAAAAATGTAATCAGACAAGTTTCTGAAGAAATCGCTTAGTCTGCAGGTTTGCTGCGGCGGAGGTATTTATTTTATTAACTGAAGGGCTAGCCAGTCAATATGTCAATCAGTCAGTAGAGTAAACATGATTTTTTTGGAAAGCATTAAGCCAAGGGTCGTTGCATTTCAAATCATCCAATAAAAAAATAAAATGTCACCCATGACTTCAGATTTGGCTGAAATATTTTTTTATTTGTTTAGTTGACCATTTTAATAAGATATACCAAGTTTAAAAAAATTAGCCTATCTTTAATAGTTTTTGAGCTATGAATTTTTGAAATTTTGCAAAATACGTTTATAACGGCGCTTCCGAGGCAAAAAGGTTCGGCGACGTTCTCATATAAAAAAATCCATAACTTCTACAATATTTAACATAAAGCAATATTTTTTTTCACCAAAATGTTCAGAAAAATCTGAGATTTTATAAATTTAGATGAAAGAGGGGGGGGGGGGATTAAGATGGGATTGGTCACTAGCTAGCTTTTTCGGTCCCTAAACATCCATAATTCACCTACTTATATTTCAATCTCGTTTGCGTGGCAAAGCATGTTAATTTTCTATAAGAAATACGTTAAAAAAGCGTAAAATACAGTAGAGTCCCGATAGTCCGAAATGGTTGGGACCGGACCCATTTCGGATTACCGAATATTTCGGATTAAGCGAAATTTTTACTAAAATGCACGTAACTATGAAATACAACGTTTAAGATTGCCCACTGGCCTACTAACAACGAGTCTATCCCGCCCAGCTGCTCGGATATTACATAATACTTTGACGAAGTGCAACTAAGTGTCGTAACACAACAGTGCTAGCAGTTTCGGCTTTTTCCGATAGGTGACAGCACGTACTGGGTCACTTTATGTGTCTGCATTAATGGCGTTACACGATGGTGCTAGTAGTTCCAACTTTCCCCGATAGGTGGCAGCACGTACTGGGTCACTTTTCGTGTCTGCATTACCGGCGTTACGCGATGGTGCTACTGTAGTACAGTACAGTAGTTTCAGCTTTCCCCGATAGGTGGCAGCGCGTACATTTATGTACACTTTGTAACGTTATCTTTTGAGGTTGTGAGTGTGGTGAAGAAATGGCTTCAAAACGTAAACATACTTCGGTTACATTGCAAGACAAACTTGAAGTGTTAAAACGATTGGACAATGGTGAAAGTGCGTCAAAATTGGCTGTTGAGTTTGGTGTGGGGAATGCTACGATCACCGACTGGAAGAAAAACCGTTTGAAAATAGAACAGTTTTGTATTGCTTCCACAAGTAAGGGTACAAAATCCCGCCATACAGCGAAAACAACACCACTGGAGAACCTCGACAGTGCTTTGTTTGTTTGGTTTTCTCAAGAGAGAGAAAAAGGTACCCCGATTAGTGGACCCTTGATCAAAGAAAAAGCTCTACAGCTAAATGAATTATTGAACGGAGACACATCTTTTTCTGCTAGCACAGGTTGGCTTGATCGTTTTAAGAAGCGTCACGGCATACGACAATTAGCCATTACGGGTGAACGTCTATCGTCAAATGAGGCTGCTGCAACCGAATACGTTTCAGATACATTTGCTGAACTGATTGCTGAAGGAAACTATTCACCGCAGCAAATTTACAATGCTGATGAAACTGGGCTTAATTTTAAGGCATTGCCTAAAAAAAGTCTGGCTTCTAAAGAAGAAATAAGTGCACCTGGTTTAAAAATAAGCAAGGAAAGATTGACAGTTTTGGCCTGTAGTAATGCTGCAGGAAATCATAAACTCCCTTTAATGGTTATCGGCAAAGCAGCAAAACCAAGGGCATTTAAAAACCTAAATATAAATGCATTGCCTGTCGTCTACAAAAACTCCAAAAATGCTTGGATGACCTCAGCACTATTTAAGGGATGGTTTAACGACCACTTTGTTCCCGAAGTCACTCGATTTTGTAACGAAAATGGCTTACCGGTTCGAGCATTACTTTTTCTCGACAATGCAACCTCTCACCCGTCAGACGACGAATTAATAAGTGGAGATATAAGGGCCGTGTTTTTACCACCGAATGTGACCCCTTTGATCCAGCCAATGGATCAACATGTACTACAGCATGTGAAGCTCTCATATAGGAAAAAGTTGTTGAGAAGAATACTGGAAGATCAGGACGAAACACTCTCGTTGCTTCAAAAGCTCAAGATGGTAAACATTAAAGACGTCATTTATTGGGTAGCAGAAGCATGGGAATCTACAAGTGAACAACTGTTGAAAAAATCTTGGAGTAAACTGTGGCCAAGCCTAACTTTTGAGGACAACTTGAATCAACATGAAGAAAGAAACAATGTTGTGCAGGTGCAGGAGCTGTTACAAAACATTCCTGGGTGTGAGGACACTAATGCAAATGACGTGAATGAGTGGTTACAAGCTGACGACAATGATCATGAAGTTTTAAGCGATCAGCAGATCGTTGAAAGGGTTTTGAGGGAACCAGAAAACATCTCAGACGAGAGTGAAGGCGAAGCTGACGACGGCAGCGAGCAGAGAGTATCCCACTCGGACGCGGCGGCTGCCTTTGATCTAGCGCTACGTTACGTTGAACAACAGTCCGTCTCGACCCCAGCCGATACATTGTTTCTAAGGCGTTGGCGTCATTATGCTTCTAAAGAGAGATCCTCTAATCTTCGTCAAAAAATTGTAACAGACTTTTTTAAACCAACTTAAGACATTCAGTTCAACACTATATGTAAGTTTCAAACACTGTCTTTACTGTACTATACATTTGAAAAGTAGGCTACTGTACTTGTGTAATTTGTACTTGCCATTCTATTATTCACTGTTTTTTCTATTAATAAAGCATAACCGTTTTTCACTTTTAACATTTTTTTGAATATCCTTTTTTCAAAAAAAAAAAAAAAAAAAAAAAAAAAAAAAAAAAAAAAAAAAAAAAAAAAACACGTTTTCGGATTAAGCGGACTTTCGGATTACCGAAGTTCGGATTATCGGGACTCTACTGTAGCATTTTCATCAGAAAAATAATTTTTGTCACTTCTAGGTTAGCTAGGGATCTAAAAATTTTTTGTGATGGTTCATCTGGGTACCAAACCACCCAGAAAGTCCCAAAATTTAGTTTTTCCAAATTGCAACCTACCAAAAGAATTCCCTTAAAACCCCCGTTTTTGTTTTTGGGAAAAACATGTTTTTTTTTTTAATTGCTGTAGCTCAAAAACGGTAAGAGCATTAAAATGAGTGTTTAGCAATGCTAGCAACTTAAAACCACACAACAACAAAAATCACCATGTACATTACAATAAAACATAATGATAATGACTCACCATGCAGGTACACAAACGTGGCATTAGATGTTCAGTCCAAGACAAACAAACTAAAAAAACAACACAATAACTGCTTGATTATGGGCTTGTATAGAGCTACCAAAAATATGTCATATTTTATAATATTCATTTATATTTTTGTTTATTGATTGCAAACCTGTCCTTCTTATCCTGAGATCCCACTTTATAAGGGGACGACCTAAAAAGGTTGTCTGTATGAGAAATAATTAAGGTACGGTAAATTTACTTTACTAACTTTTTCCATTACCCCACAATTTCTCAAACTCTGCACCCTACGACTCATTGACTCAACTCTGCACATTACGAGTTTGTGGGACTGTCATGTATTGAAAATGCCATTGTTAGTTGCGAAGTTTTAAATGGTTTCATTCACAGGATAAGAGAGAAGACAGAGATCGGGTGTTACGGGTAGGCGATTGGTCAGAGCATCTGAGTTCCTCGGGGAAGAAGTACTACTACAACTGTAAAACAGAGGTGTCACAATGGGAGAAGCCGAGAGAGTGGTTGGAGAGGACAAGAGCCTTGCCTCCGCACCCCCTCACTCCTACTTACAACAGCGGGTCTAGCCGGACAGAAGATAAACATTCCAACTCGCGCAGCGGGCTGAAGAGCACCAGCACACGGGGACTGGACAAGCCTTGTCGAGACCCCAACTACTGGCCTTCTGAGACGCCTGATGGTCAGTATTAGATTTGTTGAAAATTATTTAGCGGCTTTAGGTATAATAGGGTGTCAATAGTTCCTGGACATACTCGATCTGCTAGATAAGTCCCAATATTTCAGTTGGGTTTCATATGTCTCTAAAAACCATTTTAATTTGATATTGTATTCCTGATTGTGAGGATATTGTGTTCATTTTTTTATCAAGTAATAAATCGGTTTTAAATTAGGCCATGATATTTGTTTGAAGTTAGTGGAGGCTGCTCAGAGTTGTATTGTAATCAATTTCGTTTAAAGAACTCATTCAACTGAAAAAATTTAACCGTGAATGTGCCAGGCCTATGAATTTTTTTTAACAGTGAAAAAACCTGGGCCTTGAATTTTATTGTTAACCTTAAACATTTTAATGGGTGGATGCTGATTCTTGGTTCATCATGAAGCATTAGGTACTAAAATTGAGGAAATGGAAATTTTTTACATTGTGATTTGGATTCAATACCAGTCCTAGAATCCTTTGCGATAATTTTTTATGTCATATATTGTGCAAATATCTCACACAATTACAGCGGCAACATTGTGAATTTTATTTCTTGCCATTTGGCTTCTATAATCTCTTATGATATCCCTTAATTCCCATCTCAAATAATCATTGATTCCCATTAAAAGAATGAAAATTACATTTTACAGTAGTATCATAAGTTTATTTGTTAAAGTGTTAGCACATAGTGGCAGATAGTAAAAGGTTATACTGTATGTTGTACAGCATAATGGTCAGGAACTGATCAGCTGTCTCTTTTCCTGATTTTTGAGATTATGAAAAATAGGGTTTATTATGCTTAACAGGGTTGGTTTTAACATTACAAATTTTATTTCCCAATTGACAGAATTTATATAGCTTTTCTCTCAAAATGGAATGCTACTACAGTTGAACCTCTATAAGACGAATTTCAAGGGGTACGGGAAAAATTCGTACTATAGAGGTATTCTTAATAAAGAGGGTCGTTTTATCGAGGTTTAATACTGCTGTTATTCTTCTTATAGAGGTTTCTCCTCGCTCTAAGATAACCTCTATAAAACGAAGATGTCTATGGCCAACCTCTATAATACGAATCATTGTTACTGTTAGATCTACAGTACATACTGTAGGCCTACTAAAGTTACTGTACTATTTTTTCAATGCATGATTAGGTAAGAAAAACGTGGTCGCAGCAACAAAAAAAAATTGTGTTTATTTATCAATCACTTAAGTATCAAAACAAACAATGAACTGTGAAAAACCATGTACTGTATAATAGATGCAGTAAAAACAAATCTGAAGTCAAAATTTAGTACAGGTACGGTAAAGTATACAGTAGGTACTGTACATACAAACTTTGTGGTACAATATGAGAAACTTATACAGTAACAAATGAATATCGCAATAAGATTGTCTCGCAAAAATAAAAATGTCAAGCAAGAAGTCATACAGTACTGTACACAATAATGAAACAACTGAACAGAATTAAGCCTGATTAATCTGAAAAAAGTCATCAATTTTAGATTGCTTACTTGCATTAATGGCTGCTTTATCCAATGTGGAATCCAAATCGACGATGGCTTTCACTACACTTTCACTTAAACCATTTTTCTTTAAGAAAAAACACTTGAGCACATCAATAGCTTCTCTTGCGTCTTTCGTAGACGGTTCCAGTTGATCATTCTCCGTGTCTGCATCCTCCTCGTCATCTTCACCTGCGTCATATTCTTCAAGATTTGAGGGTCGAACAGAATCCAGGATATCCTCATCAGTAAGCTCTCCACATACTGCTACATCATCGAAGTCAACAAATTCTTCAAACTCCATTTCTTGGACGCCTAGTGTTTCATTGACTTTGTTCCAGTTTTGATCTGGGCCTACTTCTGCATTTTGGGGTGCTGGAGTTAGAGGTTGGTCATCGTCCTCATCTTCGAGGTCCGTCACACGAAATCCACATTTTTTTAAACAGTTAGACACAGTTTTTCAGTCACGTTAGACCAGGCCTTGTTAATCATCCACATTGCATTCAAAACATTGATTTTAGTTGCTACATCTCGATCCATATCTGTCAAAAACTGCCGAACAACCTCCTTTCTATAGTTAACTTTGAAATTTTTAATAATTCCCTGGTCAAGTGGTTGGAGCCTTGATGTGGTGTTCGGGGGAAGAAATTGGACTGAGATGTTTGACAAGTTTGGAACAGTTCCGTGTGCACTACAATTGTCAATAAACAGCAGGATATTTTTCTTTTTTTTCTTCATTTCCGTGTTTACAGTTTTCAGCCATGCACTGAACTCATAACCATTCATCCACGCTTTTGAGTTAGCCTTATACAGTGTTGGTAAACTGTTGACATTTTTAAAACATCTAGGTTTTTGTGACTTGCCAATAACTAAAGGCTTGAGCTTATTTTTTCCTGAGGCTTGACTCCAAGCAACACAGTTAATCGGTCTTTACTGTGTTTGCCTCCGTTGCAAGGGTCTCCTTTAAACGTCATGGTTTTATCTGGTAGACACTTGAAAAAAAGACCAGTCTCGTCTGCGTTGTATATGTCATCTGGGTGGTAGCCCTGAGTAATGTCAGCAAGTTTTTCTTTCCAATCATCGCATACTGTACTGTCTACAGACGCACTTTCACCACACACATTTTTAAAAACAATATCGTTCCTTTTTTTAAATTTTTCTAGCCATCCATTACTGGCACAAAAATTAGGATGTCCCAATTGTACAGCAAACTGCTGTGCCTTTTCTTGGAGAATAGGGCCTCCGATTGACAAATTTTTATCGCGGCACTGCTTTAACCACTTTAAAGTGGCCTCGTCTACATCCTGAAATTCACCGGTCTTTGCACGTTTGCAAAACTTAGAAAGTCCACTTGCTTCATCGTACTTGTCTCTATTCTTTATGATGGTTGCTAACGTTGTTGGAGGGATGTTAAACTCCTTAGCAATGGCGATTTTCTTCTTCAACGGGTTTTCTTCCACATGCTTCAAAACTGTACGCTTAAACTCTACTGATAGTGCCGTTTTTGACTTTTTCCCTGCCATTACTGTACTGTACACTTAAACTCTAAGGCCCCCCATACACGTAACGATCGGCCGGCCGGCGAGGGCCGGAAGGCCAAACTGACAAGTTTGGCCTGTGAAAGGAGGGTCCCCATATACGCAACGATTCGCCTGCCGGCCGGACTGAAATTTCTCCGCCTAGTGGCAAGTGTGCAGTCAGTTTTCGTACGGCAAAGACGTTTTTGTTAACTTGCTATTAGCTGTATCTTTTAAGTCCCTGTTGTGGCATGCCTTTGTTTTGACCCTCCGCTGACATTCATGCTTTCTGTATTCTTTTATAAAGGCTAGCACATGCTGATTAGTCCACGTAGCCATATTAGTACAAAGACTGAACAGAAAATAAAGTTAGGCTATGTCAATGACCGTGCCTGACCTTAAAAATGAACGTAAATACAAAAAAATAATGCTACTAATGTACTGTCGGCCTGCCGGCGACCCCATACACGTAACGATCGGCCTGAAGGCGGGGGTTGGCCGGACGACGACTGATGGGAGGCCGATCGTCAGTGTATGGGGGGCCTAAAACAAGGGGAAAACCCAGCCGGAAGGTCACTGGACGGTTCACGGGCACGTGCCAAACAATGACTGAGGAAGAAAGAGGGATGGGTAGGGGTTTCATGTTGAGACAAGCTTCTGTTTGTTTTGAAAACTACGTACTATGGAGGTTAAGATTATGAGAAATCCGTTTTATAGAGGTCCCGTTCGTCTTGTAGAGGTTTTGTGCTTAGAATATTCGTTGTATAGAGGTTAATTAGTCCTAGCCCATGTCACAAACAAATTCGTCTTATGGAGGTTTTTAACCTAATTACTACGTTGTATAGAGGTGTTTTTAGCATTGACCTTTATGAAAGTTTCAAGGGGATTAAAAAAAATTTGTCTTATCGAGGAATTCGTTTTACCGAGGTTCGTACTAACGAGGTTCAACTGTAAATATAATTAGAGTCTAAAGTTGTATCATAAATCAAGTGTTGATGTGATCTTTTGTTTCCGACGTAGGTCTGGAGAATCAGACTACGCAGGACATGGAGATATGCTCGGGAGACAGCACGCCGACTTCGGAAGCGTCGTACGCCCACGCCATCACGACGCCGCTGCCCGTGGATCCCCAATCAGCCAACGCCCCCGGCCCCCCTGGTGACATTGCGCCACTCAAAGTGGACGTCAACAGTACAAGTCTGGACCCAGGACCACCGACACCCACCCACTCGGAAAGTCAAGACTGTGTAGACGCCAGGAAACGTGAGTGTCCTAGAATAGTGGGAGGGTTCGCGGGCATTTATCATAAGAGTTGTATGCTACGGCCTTGTCGTATAATGCTGCCACCTGTTTAGTCAATATGGTACTTTCGGTGTTTCGTCGCTGTTACGGAGGGTGGGGCTGAACAGAATGTTGTCAAAAACGTCTAAACCAAATTCCTGTAGTAGTTTTCTGGTCACATTTGCAGTATGGGATCGGGCATGCTCGTGAATCCCTTGCCCTTTTATAGCATTTCTTGACACTGTTAAGCATCTCACAATAATCTTTACTGAATGTTTCCCCTCAAGAAAAAATCAATCACGGAATGTCTTGTTTGTTATATGTAATAAATATAACACATCTAACATCTTTCATCACATTTTCTCCGTAAACATGTATGTGTCATGTTACTGATGTGTGTTGTGTTGTGGACAGTGGCTAGTCCGCCCAGCAGTCTGAGCTGTCTGCAGAGCCTGGCGGTGGGCGCAGGTGCCTCGTCCCTAGCTGCCCTCACCCCCTCACTGGCCAACCACTACCGAGATGACCTCGTAAACCACGTACGTGGTTGGCCGGCAGACGTCTGCGAGAAACAGGTCAGTGCTTGTTACAATTTGATAGATCCTATGTTGAATTTTAACTAAGGAGGTTATAACAGGAAGAGTTTAATTGCTAAGTGACTAGCTGAACTGAAAACTAGGTAAACCAAGAATTGTACGTAAATTTTGATTAGCCTACCGGAAAAAATCTTTGAGTTGCATGTAAATTTTTTATGGAAAAAAACTAATTTTCTAGATGCCTAAAAATTCCACACTAAATCGCCATTTTTCTGTTTTAAAAATTGGGATAAACTTAACAAAATAAAGCAATTTTTAAAAAAGTCACAAAAATCGGAAATTCGGAAATTCTAAAACCTTGCCATGTTACGGTATTAGTCAATTAACTTTTTGCTGTCGTAGGAAATAGTCTGATAAGTTTGGCCAAAACCCAAGCTTATATATCCAATCAACGATTGTGTATTCCTGGACAGGCGACAGCACCATAGATTTAGGGGCTTAGTAAAGTATTCAGTCTGGTTTGGTGGGTGTGAAGCTCACGAGGAGTCTGCTGTCTTAAGGCAGATCTGGTGGGAGAGACCAACCTAAAATTAGTACTCAACGGCTCAGATGAGAGTTGACAGGATGAGTGAATTCTTTGTGAATTACTTGTAAAATCGGACTTTTACTCTGTTCATATGATGAGGGAGAAGAACTAGTAATAAAGGCAACATTTACTGAATACTTTTCAGCTCTGGAAGTGTGGAATAGGTAACAGTAGAAAACTCAAATATCCAAACTACAGTAATAAGAATCGTTAGGAAAAATTCTGAAGCCGATGAAAAAATTAAGAAGCTGTGATTGCGGCAATTTACTAAACATCTACTACCACGGTCTTGTAGACAACATCATCTTCTGTGATTGCAGCAAAATATTGAAAATCTCCTGCAGTTGCGGAAAATTGTCGTCTCTTGAAGTCACTGAAAATAATCGTCGACTTGAGATTAGTTTTGTAGGTTATTTTATGAGAATGTTTGTGTATGTTGCAGGCGCAAAAACTAAGTGAGGAGGCTCACGGTCTGGGCAGCCTCCAATGTACCAGAGTCTCGGCTGATCTCAAGTCTGCCAGGTCCATCGTCAGGCTCACTGAAATACAGGCTACGTTACAAGAACAAAGGTAAGCCTCGTTCACACGGGGCGAGTTTACACGCTACTCGCTGGCGTTTAATAAGCCGGCGAGTTGGCAAGTGCGCTTGTATTTGTTCACACGGAGCTAGTCCACTTGCCAACCGACGTGTAGAAAGACGTCGGCGAGTGCGCTTGTAGTCGTTCACACAATGCTTTTTCCACTCGCTCAGTAGCTGGCTTGAACTAAATCCTCCGACATCTTTGAATAACATGTGCACAAGCACAAGCAACTGTGTTCACATTGGGCTACTTTACACGCCTACTCGCTCAAAAGCTGGCGAGTTGGCGTGTAAAGTAGCGGCAGCGTCAACATTTTCCAGAGCTTTTTTACAAGCAGCTTTTGAGCGAGTACGTCGTTCACACTGAGCTATTTTACTAGCTGCGTGTAAAAAATCCGGCTTGTAGCTTGTAAACTCGCCCTGTGTGAACGGGGCTGTATAATGAGTAGGCCTGCTGAAATGATTCACAAAATTATCGTTTTATTTCTCCTATACAAAATAACAATTAAGATTGAAATACTGTTGCCATATATAAATAATTTTATCCGATATCTTCGTGAGTCCAGCCCTTGCACTTGAAATAAACCAAATTGCTGTTTTCTGTGGCATCCTAAATAAATATAGCCTACATTTCTAAACAATAGCAAAAATATTAAATATCCAAAAGTGTTTGGTTAAAAAAACTACCTTCTCACTTGTATCAAATCACTTGACCAAAATAATTTTTGCAAAAATAGGCTCCTCTTTTAAATCTTTTATTATAATTACCGGTGTGAAGCGGAAACCCCCATCATTAAGTGTGGAAACCAGTTTTATTATTTTTTCAAGGCTTACTGTTACATTAAAGTTTGAGTTTAATCACATATTACATTGAAGTGATAGCTTACCTTTGAAAAACAGGTAGGCCTTAGAATACATAATATTTCGTTCCTTGGGGGGCTGGGATTTTGTCTTGTACGAGAAAGTGTTTTCTAGTTATTCAGTGGGTTGTATGGCCTTCATACACTAATTTCCAAGGTAATATAGCTGTTGGCCATTTATTCTACAAATCACGATTCTGGCCTAGAGCCAGTCGTTGGACAGAACTGTTTTTTTTTTATATATATAATTTACCAAACCAAAATAAAATTAAATAGTCCCAAAAATGGGCTATTCTAGTTTTCTGTCTACTCCTTGATTATTAACACACTATCTTTAAGTAGGCGACTTAATCATGTTAGAAATGTAATTAGGTTTCCTTAAAAAAAATCTGTCAGGAAATTAATAACCATATCTCTGCTCAAATCAAAACAGCAGAAATATAACTAACAGCAATTTTAAAAAAAGGGATGTGTAGTATTTGGTAGGCTATTGTTTTGTCTTCATTAGGAGTCATTGGAGCCTAGACCAAGTATTTCTAGATTTATTTTTAGATGTAGTATTTCTAATAGTACACTAGGTATTTAAATTACAATCACTTTGGTATTTGAAAAAGTATTTTGGGGTGGTAAATAACTCTTCAGCGGCTGTTCGAAAATAACAAAATTAACATTGCTCTTATGGCGGAAAAATCCAAGATGGCCGTTAGCTTCCATGGACTCCTTGGAAATACATTCAATACCCCCGCCGCAGCAAACCTGCAGACTAAGCGAATTTCCATTAGCCTGATTGGATTTACACTAAAATGTCTCCTTAAAATTATCACATTTATTCCCCATTTAAATAGAATTAGTTTAACGAGTACTTAGGTTTGCTGCAACAGGGATGGTAAAATATTGTTTTTTTTTGTAAAATGTTAATAGTTTAGTAAGAAATTAATGTATTTTCCAAATTCGATCAAAATATGTTCATAAACAAGCAAACTACAACAGTTGACTTATTCTCCATAAGAATAACATGAGAATTTTTAATTTACAATTTTTTGGAATTTTCTCTGTAACCATTAGGCGCACAATAACGCTCCAATATACTAAATTATTTTTTTGTTAAGCTCTACAAAATGGTTTGGAAAGAAATTGTGAAATTTTGTGTTTTTACAGTCAAAAATGGGAAAACCCTATTTTTACCTCATAAAATCCACCATAAACCCCTGTTCCCATAGTCCGATCATGCTGGTTTGCGAACTCGTTAGAATTTACACGCTTATAGCCTACCAAATTTCATCAAAATCGGATCATTTTTGCTCGAGTTGTCATGATAACGCACATATACAGGGTGTCCCATAAGTAAAGTGCCAAACTCTGGGAATAGGTTCTATGGGTCAAAATAAAGAGAAAATCAAGAATAAAGTTTTTTTCAAAAACGCTTCGTTTACCAGATATCCGCCATTTTGTATTTTTTACTAAATAATTTATATCTTCTGATTTTTTCAACCGATCCTTATAAAACTCGGTAAGTATGTTTAGATAAAAGAGACATACTGTAGAAAAAAAATTCAACTTGGTCCAATTTAAAATTTCAAAATGGCGGCCATTTTGAACATTTAATCTAAAATTACGGGAAAACGGTAAAAAATACAAAAATGTACTAAGAACACTTTTTTTATAAAATTTTATTTCCAATCTATCAACACCAAAAACATGAAAATCGAACAAAAAATAACCGAGATACATTAAAATGTGTGTTAAGAGGCAGCAAAAAATCCATTTGTTGTAAATAGCCCCAATCAGCTGAACAGCTGATTGAAAAACATGTGTTTGTTGAGTTGCATTGTTGCATTGTTGTTATTATTGTTCTGTTTACTTTAAACATCATCATTGTGATCAGGTTAGGTTGATATTTTCTAAGTTTATTTAAATGCCGAACCATAGCTATTCTAATGTCGAGCTAGCTGATATTCATTTTTTTTACGGCTTAGGTAATGGGAATTCGCGTGAGGCATGCCGCCTTTACGCAGAAACGTTCCCCAACCGACGAATTCCGTGTAGGAAAGTGTTTGTAAATGTTCACAGGAATTTGAGGGAACGAGGAACACTAAAATTCACTGAGAAGACCGGACGGGCTGTTTCTGTAGATACATTAAATAATCAAGAAAGAGTTTTGACGGCCGTGGAAGAAGACCCAAGTACTAGTGTTAGAAGAATATCGCTTGAACATGGTATTTCAAAAAGTTCTGTGTGGCGGATTCTACATAATCAGCAGTTGTATCCTTACCATATCCAAAGGGTGCAATGCCTAACCGATAGGGACTTTCCACCCCGTATTAACTTATGTCAATGGTTCTTGCAACAGATCGCATTACTTCCTCTGTTTCTCTCCAACATTTTATTTACCGATGAGGCTGGGTTCTCGAGAGAAGGAATTTTTAATTTTCATAATAATCACTTCTGGGCCGATGAAAATCCCCATGAGATATCACAAAGAAGGCATCAAGTGCGCTTTTCTCTCAATGTTTGGATAGGCATTGTTGGGGACTATCTTATAGGGCCATGGTTTTTACCCAACCGACTTAATGGTGTGTCTTACTTAAACTTTTTAACACAAGATCTTCCCGGATTGCTAGAAAACTTACCCCTTCATTTGAGAAACAATATGTGGTTTATGCAAGACGGTGCGCCACCACACTTTTCATTGGATGTAAGGCGACATTTAAATCAAGTGTTTGGAAATAAATGGATAGGGCGTGGGGGGCCCATCCCATGGCCTGCCAGGTCTCCTGACCTTAATCCCCTGGACTTTTTTGTATGGGGCTATTTAAAATCTTTGGTTTACCATACCCCTGTTGACAGTATTGAGGACTTAAGGGAACGAATTGTAGCAGGTTGTGAAGTGATAAGACAAAAGCCTGGGGTATTTGAAAGAGTGAGGGAGTCGATGAGAAAGAGGATGGTTTGTGTCGTAGAAATGAATGGAGGACACATGGAACATTTGTTGTAGTTGATAACTTTCAAAAAAGCTATCATTTGTTAAGATTTGATTTTGTATTTAATTAGTTTCCTCATTTTTTATGTTGTCACTCAATAAATGGTTTCAATGTATCTCGGTTATTGTTTTGTTAATTTTAGATTACAAGTTTAAAATGGCCACCATTTTCAGATTTTAAATTGGACCAAGTTTAATTTTTTTCTACAGTAGGTCTCTTTTATCGAGTTTTATACAGGTCGGTTGAAAAAATATGAATTATACCAATTACAATTATTTTCTAAAAACAGCTGATCTGGTGATTGGGGCTATTTACAACAAATGGATTTTTTGCTGCCTCTTAACACACATTTTAATGTATCTCGGTTATTTTTTGTTCGATTTTCATGTTTTTGGTGTTGATAGATTGGAAATAAAATTTTATAAAAAAAAGTGTTCTTAGTACAATTTTGTATTTTTTACCGTTTTCCCGTAATTTTAGATTAAATGTTCAAAATGGCCGCCATTTTGAAATTTTAAATTGGACCAAGTTGAATTTTTTTTCTACAGTAGGTCTCTTTTATCTAAACATACTTACCGAGTTTTATAAGGATCGGTTGAAAAAATCAGAAGATATAAATTATTTAGTAAAAAATACAAAATGGCGGATATCTGGTAAACGAAGCGTTTTTGAAAAAAACTTTATTCTTGATTTTCTCTTTATTTTGACCCATAGAACCTATTCCCAGAGTTTGGCACTTTACTTATGGGACACCCTGTATATATAAACTACTGCAACTAAACTTAAACCATCGATTAAGCCAAAAAAAGGTTTTTGTCCATTATGTTTTACTTTGTATATGTTTTTTTTTTATTTGATCTGCAGTTATATATATATGAATTTGAACGGATGGTTTTTTGGCCTCTAGGGACCTCAAAACGAAAAAGTAAATCAGTCTCGGGTCCAGGTCTTACCATGAGTACTACGGTAATAGCTTATTCCCTATATGGGAAATTCGCTAAAAACAACAAACAGCATTTCTAATCTCACCTCTACAGTATACCAGATATTTACATTATAATAACTTTGGTGTTTGACTATTTTTGTACGATAATTAACTCTTCAACATCTGTTTGAAATCATCCAAGATGGTTGCTAACCTCCAAGGACTCTTTGAACACTATTGCTTTGTTGAACTATTTCTTTGTAACCAAGCTTTGTGTAATGTCTTTGTTTTGACTGCACCCATTTTTGCCAAAACATATGTTATTAATCATCTGCATGTAGATATAAGTAAACTGTGACAACTCATTTCATTTCAATTCATAAAATGGTGAAGGGTTTAAATCCACGTCATTCACCACTTCTGATCATTCAGAATCTAATTCGATATATTCATTTTTTTCTTTTATCTGATTGTTGATAATTGATCTTTTTAACAGGTTGCGGTTATTGCGGCGCTTTGAACGAGGTTTGCGAATGTGGCAAATAGAAGTAACTGGGCCTTTTAATTATTAACTAACTGTCCAATTAACTATCCAATAGCTGTAAATAATGTTAATTCAATTTGTGATTTTCTCAATTCAGTTTACAGATATGTGATTTTTTTACTTTCCAATAATACACAAGCATTGTAATTGTTGATTCAATTTGTGATTTTTTTCAATTCAATTTACAGATATGTGATTTTTTTACTTTCCAATAATACACTAGGACTGTAATTGTTGATTCAATTTGTAATTTTGTCAATTCAATTTAGAGTTATGTTAATTTGTTAATTCAACATGGGGGAATGTAATTCAGCTATACCTTTGTTACTCAGTATTAAATAACTGTTTGCTTTTATTTTTTGTTTTTTATTTGTTTTAATTTTATTGAAAGTACCTTTGTTACTCAGTATTAAATAACTGTTTGATTTTATTTTTTGTTTTTTTATTTGTTTTAATTTTAGTTATTGTAACTTGTGTTATTTTCCCATAAAAACCATAAAATACAAAAAAAATCAGATTTTTGGAGAAAAGCTGGCTTTGATTGAAATTAATATGTTACGGTCCTTATAATTCTAAAACATTAGTACAACACCCCATTGCTGTAACAATAACGGTTCAAAAGTTATTGTAGTTTTTGTGATTTTTAACCATATACTATCACCGCTTACCCATGATAAAGGTTGTTGACAAGCTTATGGGAGAAAGTATGTGTCAGAATGCTGATACCGTTTATTTTTATTTGTTTTAATTTTATTGAAAGTAAATAGAAATGTGTTAAATAGAAACATTGAAACATATATTTACCCTTAGACTGTTTCAAGCAGACGGTAAAATACATATGATAGATGCTATTGGTGATTACTTTTGATTGTACCCTCCAACCATCTTCAGACCTAAAGGGCGAATGTTGGTTCCATTCAAAATTTTGGATTTAATAACTAACAAGTTATTTTACATTCAGATGTTTTTTGTTGGGTTAATCTTATACAACAAACATTTTTACAGTGCACTCTCGATTATCCGAGCCCTTGAGTTGTAGTTTTCTTGAATCGGTATCAAGAATCGATATAATTAATTGATTACACATTGTTTGACAATCAACACTGCTTCAATTGAGTACAAATATTTGGATAAACTTGTCGAAATTAAGTTAACAATTATATAGAACGAGTATTATTGATAGTTTCCTAATTGTAGATACAGTAGTCCATTATAAAACAATCGGGAATATGGGGTGTTCAAATAACCGATTCTGTCAGATAGTCGGTTCCTGGCTGTAAAAATGGATGCATTATTAATAATTTGACCTGGAATCATTTTACACATTACATCAAGCTAAGCATCAAGGGTTGCGACATTATCACAGAAATAAAAAACATTGGTGATTGTTTGGATTTTAACCTGGGACCTTGGGGACCAATGCATCGCACTCCAACACACTTCATTTCTTCCACCGCGAATTTGTTGTCAGAGTGTTCCCATAATGTTTATTACGAGATGTTATACAGTATGACAGGGTGTCCACCGACCGGGAAAACCGGGAATTATGCGTGATTTTTTTTTAACCGGGAATTATGCGTGAATTTAGTATTTTACCGGGAATTTTTTATTTACCGCGATTGCGCATGTAGATGACGTTTCCGTGACCACAGGAGGCGACGATGACGTTTACGTGACCGCGGGAGCAGACGATGACGTTTCCGTGACAGCGGGAGACGATTATGACGATTCCATGACCGCGGGTGATGATGATGACGTTTCCGTGACTACGGGAGGCGATGATGACGTTTCCGTGACTGCGGGAGGCGATGATGACGTTTCAGTGACCGCAGGAGACGACGATGACGTTTCCATGATCGTGATATAACCTCACGATATAACCTCGAGTTTGGCAAGCTGTGTTAGTGCTTAAACAGCATTGCGGGAGTTAGCGCGCAAAAAACGTTTAAATTTTAGTATGAAAAGTACAAACTGAACTACCCGGATTTTTTTTACTCATGAATTTTTTCTGGTTGGCCAGGTGGACACCCTGTATTACGTATTCTATTTCTTTGTAAAAAGATCAATTGAATAGGTAAATTACTCTTATCAGCTTTCTAAAATAACATCACACAGGCTAAAAGTGCCTTTTGCAATCTTGCTTACAAAGCATCCCATACACTAAAAGTATCTTTTTTTGCACCCTCACTAACATAGCGTCCTTGGGCTTATTTAGACCCATGATAATTTACTGTCCTCTGCTTTACAACATCAATATTTATGTTGAAAAGAATCCTCTTGGCTCTTGTGATTGAAATATACTATTTTTTATCAGTTATATTTGAATTTGCAAATTAAAAACTTTAAATGGTTTAGTTTGATTGAATAAATCAAGGTTACAAAAGAAAAGAGTAATAAATATGTGACTTAAATTAGTGCTTGGAGACAATTTTACATCCTTGATTGTTATTTGTGTATAAAAAAATCACCAAGCCTATGCTGTTAACAGTCTTATGAGGTAAATGTGAACACTCAATTTTAGGACTTGAAAGCTCAAACTGTGTGAAAATTGTGCTTGTGGAAATGTTAGTCTTATTTATTTCTTTGTTCTAGGGTATTATTTCTTCGCCAGCAAATCAAGACTCTAGAAGAACTGAAATCACAAAACTCGTTCATGGCCGATGACTGTTAGTGAGACATGGCCTGCATTTTTTAAATTGTATTATATATTTTTCCTGAGGCCGTGGCTTAAATTTATATTTATACATACTATATATATTCTACACACTGACGCCCGTGACTGCTGATCACTTGAGTTTTGAGTGATAAAATTGTAAGAAATTCCCATTGAAAGTCTTTTATTAAAAATTCTCCTCTAGCGAATGTTAAAAATAAGGATTTTGTTCTAAGTCCGTGATCAATGTCTTTTTCTCACACTGTCTCTTACAGAGATGTATGAAAATCGCTAAATATTTTTTATTGTTTTTGTCAGCGTTACATGTAAATATAAAACCGTTTTTATGGAACGTAAAGGACTAGTCTTCTTGAAAAATTTTTTGCTTTAGCTGTTTAACTATTTGTATGTAAATTATAATTATTTATCCGATTTATAATGAGATCAATTTTAATTTTCTTAATAGTTAATTTATGTATTTTCTAATACCGGTAGTTATTTGTTTTTCGAGTACCGAAATGCAAGAGACTTTGTTTTCACTCGGTATATTGTTGGCTCTGTATTCAATGGATAATGGTCCTGTACATTAGTAAATGCAGTTTGTTATTTTGTTTCTCAACGTATTGTTGTTACCCCCGAGAGTGAGTGCAGAGGCAAGTCACTTGTCTCACATGTGTTTGTTAGTATAATTGTATATTTATGAGTAAACTATTCTTAACAGTGACACAATCTAACGCAGATGTAGGTTTCTATGTATGAGAGTCGAATGTGTCTGAGGGGGTAGCTAATAAAAATTTAAAGTGAAAACTGTTTTTCATTACCTTGTATATATTGATGGTTTACATTCCTTACATGTACCAACTCCCTTGGATAAGGATAAATAGGTTTAAAATATACACCCAACCCGCCATGTGAAACTTCCCTATCCTAAGCGTGATGTAAACATTCATTCGGTGAAGTTAAGTTTCAAAAATTCACTCGGTGAAGTAATGAAACCCATTCAAATAACATTGAGTGCTCAACTTAATAAAATATACCTCTATGGAACCAACGACGTTCAACGCTAGCAATCAGCTGTGTGCTGGAATGTTATTGTTATGCTTTAAAGTATTTTCCTAACCTAGCTTTTCTTTGTAAAAGAACGTTACTGTTAGAAGATGAGTAAAATGTATGATGAAAAATATTGTACATAACCCCCTGTATATTGTTCTGGTAAAATCTTTTACGTTACGCAAGAGCATGTTTACATCACTTAGGTGAATTATGTAGCATGCTTCCACTCGTTGCACAAAATTCACCTGCGTGGTGTAAAAACGTTGTTACTACACCTGTAACGTAAATAGCTATTATTTCATTTTAAATCACTAAAAAATGATATACAGTATTTCCTAAATCAAATAAATACTCTAACCTAACTCGGTCAAACACAACTAGCATTGAAAAGAGTTAGGGCATAGACAAAAATAATTAAATATAGACCGTCAGCCTTGCTGCGGTTAGCGTAGGTTCTGGCGCACACCGATTGGAGCGCCATGTAGTTACGTAGGTACACCGTAACTACATGGTGCTTCCAGCGGTGTGCGCCAAGACCTATGGTAACCACAGCACGGCTGACCTGACAGTCTATACTTAATTCTTTTTGTCTGTAGTTAGGGACAGCTATTAAACTTTATCCTGTATTTAATACTTAATATTCTTACCTGTGGTTAAAATTCACGTTTTTTTAAATTAAAATTGAAGACAAATTGTGTTGAGATGCAGACAAGCCTTGTGAGACTTGAACTGGGTGTCCACATTCTGGAGTCAGGGATAGTCATGGAAAAAAAAATTTGGTCATTGAAAGTCATGGAAATCCCCAATGATGGATGGATTTCAGGGGACCTTTCAATGCTCTAGTCGGACGTAACCCCGACTATTGTAGCATTTTTCAGAATTTTTCACAAATGTACGACAATTTCAATTTATATAGTTGTCTTAGTATATGGGTTTTGAGTTTGTATTAGTTCATTGTTGTACATTGTACTCCATTGTTATCTGTTAATACATATTTCAATATTTTCTGTGAAATAACTTGACTAGGCAGTATTATTCGTGTGTGTAATGGTTAATGGTCATGGAAAGTCAGGGAAATTAATGACAAAATTTCTGTTGACACCCTGTTGCAGCTTGTTTTTTTTTTTTGTAAAACTTAATCTTTGTACTTGAATAAATAATTAAAAATGAAGATCTGTGGTTAGGATTAGACTCAAGGGTTGAATAATGGTCTGGTAATCAGGCAGTATCATTTTTTATACGTTTCATACAATTGCAACAAAGAAGCCGGAGTGCGTGGTCGGAGTGTTTCTAATGCTTTTGTAAAATGCTTCTCCTTAACCTCAGAAACGCTGAAATCTTCTTGTAGAGCGTTCATAGCTGCTTCATGACAAACGGCTATCACCTGCAAAACAAATTCTATCAATGCAACAAGCAGGAATACAAAAATTTAAAATTGTACAGCAAGTTGAAGCTTTTTTTTTTTGCTCAATCACAGAGAAGCAAGTTACATATAAACTATATTGTGTTCTTAGTATGTTGTGTCGAGCAAGGAAGAACCCGAGCAATGAGCACTATGCGGAAAATTCCTCTACCACAGGGTCTTCCTCCACCGTGAGCACTGTGGTACATGGGGCGGTGTTGGGCTTTGCCCTAGACACCGCTTAAGTATACCATTGAATGTTTCCTCTGTTCGGTAGTGTGGTTTGTTCAAACAGCATTACAACTAATCTAATCAATGTATTTTTTATGTCCAGTTTATTTAAAACTTGATAATTTTAATAATTTTACAAAATTGTACCAAACAAGTATTGGTAACAAAATGTTATAAATGTTTGCCAAAATATTTCTCTTTACCCAACAGAAGCTTGGGTTCAGTTTTGGTTGCTAAACGAGTTTATTTTCCAATGCTTTTTGTTATTGATTAATGTTCATTAATATACATTAACCCTATTGAACATCAAGGGCCATCTAGAATGACCTAACCGAATCCAACCAGTCCTGATCTTTAGTCGATAATATCAAAATTACTGACCTCAGCTCCGGAATAACCCTCTGTTCTCAATGCCAAATCGTCAATGACAATGTCACTTGCAACGGGCATCTTTACAAGTTGAAGCTGAAGTATACAAATCCTTGTGGCCAAATCAGGTAGTGGCACATAGACGAGTCTGTCCAGTCGACCAGGTCTCAGCAACGCCTAAACCATCAATTACTTAACAACTGGGAGGAATAATATTGTCCAACTATGAAAAACTTATCCAAATATTGGGTACCTACTCATCTGAGAAAACAATACTGTGAAACAAGTCATGAATTTTGTCAAAGGTGAAACATTTTGATCCAGATGTGAGTTTGGTGGTTGAACCTTAAGAGACAATTCTGATTTATGATTTCTTAAGATTTCTTTCTGATCCTTAAAACCTAGTACCGAACCAAAATATATCTTGGCAGCTAAACTGTGATCATCCACTACGGCTGCGTAGACATTGTAAATATATTAGTGCAAACTTTGTAGACAGCCTTTGCAATCAGTAATCACTTAAATATCCAGATGGATATATCCAACATGAAAAAATGCTTACATGTGAAAGAAAAAGTGAAATATAAATTTTTCAAATGTTGTGTTGACATCTATATTTTAAAATATTCAATTACATTTTTAATAGATAGCTTATTAAGATTTGGGAAGATTCACTTTTTTAAATTGGTCTGTGGTTGGTTTTATAATCCTACCTAGTTATAGTATGACGCCCTTTCTTTTCATTCTGTGTATCGTAACTTGATCTGGAATTAGAAACACATCTGATCACGTGAATTATATTCTATCGATTCCGCCAAAAGTAGGTGGAAACCAAGCATGCGAATAAACCCACAAATAATCGTGCATTTCATTTTCAAGTTCAAGTAAAGACTGAGGACCCATAGAAAACTTGACTATTAGGCCTACTGATTGCAATATTTAGATTATCTAAAAAGAGATAGTTATTGAAATAATATCTTGACTCTTGAACCTTCTCTCAAAAGATGCTAATAGGACAAAATATCAGTGTTATCTTTTTGGTTAATTTATTGTATAAGCCCCTGGACCCCTTCTCAGGTAAGCTAGCTAAACTATTCATATTTCTTTTTCAAAAAATTACGGATTAAAATTATATCTACCATCAATAATTTGCTTTGTTAGATCATACATGCACTGTATTCTACAGTCGACTAACCTTGTCTATTCTGTCAGGCCGATTGGTCGCAGCAACTATGTTGACGTTGCCCAGAGGTTCCACACCGTCCATCTCCGTTAACAGCTGAGCCAAAACTCTCTCTTGAACGTTGCTTCCTTCCTTAGCACCACTCCTCTCACCTCCCAACGCGTCTAGTTCGTCCAGGAAGATTATCGACGGAGCGACGGCTCTCGCTTTCTTAAACAGAGCCTGCACTGCTTTTTCTGACTCACCGACCCATTTGCTGAACAATTCTGAACCCTGAAGAGACAAACATTAAGCATTGATATGTTGGTTGTCGTAGGATTACGTGATGCTGACAAAAACAAATATTTTTAAGGAAAACTATAAAGTGGATTGTTTTATTTCTTTTCTCCTCAATCTATTCTCTGAAGAAGTCCGATGATAGGATGAAATATCACGGTTGTTTTGTGATTTTTTGGTTTTTTTAGCACCTGGCATATAATTTAAAAAAATACCTTAATTCCTATATTTCTAAGTGTTAAACCAAACTATTATTATAATTATTATAATGAGGTTATTAGTGAAGGGAATTACCCAATATACAGTAGGTCCTCTGAGCCTGAGGGATCGTCTTTTTGTCACTAGATGAAGAAAACTAAGCTTAAGTAAGTTTCAGAACCACTAGATCACGACATTATATCATGTTAAAAGACTTTGAAAGAATTGAACCAGATTGGTACAGTTCACAAGAGACCTACTAACATGAAGTAATGACATCAAAAAGCTTTTCTTTAACTCTGTCTAGTAGTAAAGATTTCAAACAGAATTCAGAACAGTGTTGGCTGGTCATAATAACAAAATATAATTAAAACTACACTTGGCAGGAATTGTAACAAGGCTATAATTTACATTTTACAAAGCTTGCACAAATTAAGCATTGGAATCTATAATATTAAAAGGAAACAGTGTTTTTTTATTTCACGATTCTGAATCAACCACTCGACGGATTTTCATGATTTTTGTGTTGAAAGAAAGATAATTTTGAAAACTAGGGAATGTCGAAGCCATAATTTTAGTTTAGGGTCCCAGTTTTTTAGAAATTAAGTTTTAATTTTTAAAAAGTCTAGCAGCCGACGCTAAGATTCTAAACTAGCTTTTGGCATAAAATAATTTGCTTAACATAACAGCTGTAAACATTCGGTTTTTGTGTCACAAATTCAGCATTTGGATAAAAATGTAAAGACATACTTAGGGTTGACTTATTTATACTATGTGTAATGCTAATCATTGATACGTTCAATTTTTCTGTAAGAGGATGACAGATTAATTAAATATACATAGTAAAATACTAGGATGTTCAAATTATTTTTTAAAGCAATCTTTGTAATCTTCGATTTGTTTAAACTAACAGCTGGTTAAATCTATATATAAATAAAATTTGAGTTTTTGTCTGTACATTGCTCAGAATCATAAATTTGTAGGTTATTTTTACGTTTTATTCATTAAAGAAGCCGAAACAAGTCTCATCTAAATTTCTGTCTGTCTGTCTTTCTGTAACACTCAAGATGGCATTTTACGCAATCTTCTCCAGGAAAACGAGAGTACCTATCAAGATCCAAGTCATTTTAATGTATTCACTGGATTGGCGAGAGTGTATTTAGCCATTAAAATATGCCCTCACTACCTAGTATGTATTTAAAATGTTAATAATGGAAACAGAGGCACTTTAGTAAATGGGTGCAGGCCCTGGGGCACAAGAGGTTTTAGGTTTGTTGGGGGCGCAAGGGAGAGGAAAATTCTTCTATAAGGTAAATTTTTACATCGGAAAGAGGCTTAATTATCCCTCAGGCCCATAGCCTGTCTTTGTGTAAACCACAGGCCTGCATAGAAATAGAGTAAATTTTCCTCAGTTAAAAACTTACATAACTGTCCAGGTCCCAGGAAAACATCTTGAATTGTACGCATGAATTTCTGGCGAAACAGAAGACTATTTTACCTTAATCGAGAGGAAATTCAGTTTACTCTCGGTCGCCAACGCCTTGGCGATCATGGTTTTGGAACAGCCGGGAGGACCGTACATAAGAACACCCCTCGGTGGACTAATGCCTAGTCTGACGAATGACTCTGGATATCGCAACGGCCATTCTATTGTCTGCTGCAGCTTTAACTTCAACTCATCCATACCTCCAATATCTGTCCACTTCACCTGTTGATAAATCAATGTGGTTGTAATCAATAGTTTTGAAACTATATATTATTTTGTTTTGCTTGATATCAAGCAAAGTACATTCTTGAACAACATTGTAAGCAAGATTTTATTATTATCATGTTCAATAACAGCTGAGTGGTTAAGAGAGCTCGTGTGATAATCCAAAGGTTTCTCATCTGATTCTGAGAAAATTTTTGTCACATTGGTTGTATTTTATCTAAAACCTAACTGAAATATAAGTGTGAAATGAAGGAAGATGACTTGTGCAGTTTTGTTCAGTCTAAACTGGTCTTAGCCAATAACAAACTTTCCTGCACATAAAGCTTTACTCATTTTTTTCATCATCTTTGCATTTAACTACCTAGAAACAGTGCAATAACGGGCGTATTTGTGTCAATAAATCTTTCCTATCTAGGTAGGGACACAGATTGACAAAACTGTTGGTTGTAATCAGCTCTACTAAGAATTTCAATGTTCACTTATGTAGGTAAAGATGTTAAATTAAAAAAAAATTCAACACTGGCACCTCTCTCGCTGAAGATTTTTCTAATTACAACCTTTAACTTAAATTTACACATATCAACGCAACTTACATTAGGAACCATAACTTGAACTTCTCGCATTGCGCTTGGTTTGATCTGAGCCAAAGCCCAGTACAGGTGACTGGTTTCAACCCCCTGGGTGTGTGCCTGCATAACCGCCTTGGTTACAAGACACTGCAGGTCCGCGGCTACGTAACCATGAGCTGCCTGCGCCACTCGTCTGATGTCTGCCTCGTCTATAGACCATCTCGCCAGCAGAACATTCAATATGTCGATGCGATCGGCGACAGAAGGAATGCTGATTTCAATTTCACAATCCAACCTTTAACAGAATTAATTGAAAATATACATGGAGTTTTGGTACTTTGGTAATGCTAGAATTAGCATTACTAATATATAGTAAGTACTAGGTAGCGGAAATCACTAATCTATAACCTCTCTTATTACAGGTTGATGAATTAGAGTGTTGAATGGTTATTGACGTGTCAGCAGTAGCAGTCTACGAACTGCTCGCCACTGCGTTCAAAAGGATACATCAATTTATAACCAGCTCCGGAAAACCTGAACGACCGACAATAATAGTCCAGATTTTCAAGAGCTTGTCATAATTATGTGTATGTAGCTAGAGACTACATCAGTGGTGTGATTTTAGTAAAATTTATTTACGTTGTTCCTAATATTTCAGAGAGTTTTTTTCCTTTACAAGATTAGTTTTGTTATGAACCAATAGGATAGCCTACTAAATATCTTTTGTAGTGGGGTATGATTTCTTTTGTTGGGACAAGTGAGGATTAAATTAGGCCTACTTATACTTGCTAATCGAACTAATTCCTTTGTAATTGATATAGGAAAGATAGTTACATGGTGATACCTGCCTGGCCGGCGCAGTGAAGGGTCAATAAGGTTCAACTGAGACGTTGTTGCCAACACGACAGTTCTGTGGTCCTTCAACGAGTCTATCAGAGTTAGCAGATACGATGTTACTCTCCGTTCTTGTTCTGTTCCACCACGTTTTGAGCAAAGAGTGTCAACGTTGTCAAGAACAATGATGCTCGGACATTTACTTTTCGCTTCTTCAAAAAGCTTCCTCAGCCTGAGTTCTGTCTCGCCAAAAAACTTGCTGAATAGTTCTCCACTCTAGAACAGGTAGATATCAAATTGATTATTGAGACATTCAACAAGAAGTAGCTTAGGTAGATATATATCCTTCGTCTCCCATATATATTAACTAAGTTATTCGTAAGAAAAAAATAGTGTTTTTTCCACTGTACAAATAATGCAAAACTAATATAGTACTAAAAATGCGTATCCATTTTAGACTCACATTAACTTGAACGACGTGGGCATTCACTTCATTGATCACTGCTTCGGTGATGTACGTTTTACCGACACCGTTTGGGCCGTAGAGTAAAATTCCTTTTGTTGATGAAAAATCTGGAATAACAAAATGTTAAGAAGTGAAACATTTTTTAAATCACATACCGTAATATGCTGCTGAAGAAGCAAGCTATCATTTAATTCAGACAGTTTGAAAATAAATCATACATTCTTGAAATGGTAACAGGCCCTGTGGTATTTAAAAACCTCATACAACAGTTGGATATTTAATTTACGACTCTAACATTATACAACTATCTCTTAGCAGGCGCAATTGAAATATTGAAATATAATACAATTCAAAAATACACCACCACAGTAGGTACATGGCTGATATTTAGTTAGGGGGTGTATTTGTCATTGGTGGTGTCCCCATCTCAGTTGACAATGATAATGATAATTGCCACTGTCCCAGATCGGCCAAAGATTCTATGCGCACGAACAGATCTGGTTGGGTCTTGGCGAGGGGGTTGGTGGGGGTAGGCTACTTGTGTGTAAACATTTGTGTCTTGCTACTTACTCACCTCTACCCCCCCTGGGGCACTGGCAATAACCGTTACTCGTATGTTTTAGTTCAGCTAGTAGCGACCCGTACGCACGCACAGAATTTTTGGTTTAACTGTACTTGTAGCATGACAGCACTGAAGTGAATAACACAGGCTACTAAAATAAACTAAATTTTATACACTAGAGTAACTTACAATTAAGCTGAGAAGGATAAGTACAGTATACAATTACTTACAATTATTGGAGCTAGTTGGCTTCAATGCATGAGAAATTGTATCAATCAGTTCTTTAGTAACTTCTTGATAACCCCCAATATCACTTAAGCGAATTTCTTTTGTTTGATTCTTGCTTGTATCAGACTTATTTAATATTTCCCACTCCGTTCTGTCCACTATTAGAAAATAATTTTCCATTGAATCGTCCTTAATATCAAGTTTTTCTAACTGGGTGGACAAGTCTTCACTATCAGAACCCATGTTATGAGATAAAGCTAAAATTGTTAAATTGACAGTCTTCCCACAAAATGGTAACCACAGTTCAAAGCCAGGTTTTAATATCCGACCAGTATACATCTGTTTGCACAAAGGTATCAGAGAATCTTGATCAAGTTCTTCAATTGAGGTTAGTTGAATCTTGAGAGCTGGTAGTGGCGGTTTTGATAATTTAGTCACTTTTATCTTTTTATCTTCTGATCCCTTTTGGCTCATACCTTAAACAAAATGTTATTTTTAGAATGGTAAAACTTTGATATCTGACTGCCATAGATTTAACCTTCTTTTGCATTCTCGGCTAAGATCCTTGAGCAGCTAATAAAGTTTATGTTTGTTTTTAATTATAATGTGTTTAAAATTATGTTTTATTAATCATGCCTATTGCCAAGGATTTCCTGACTTTATAAAAAAGAATGGGAGATTCTTCATGCAGCCTAGGTAAACCCTAATCCACTTGACAATTCAAACAGCTTTATAATATAAGTTATACTGATTGCTCTGCCTGTGCTTTGCAATGGGAAGCATAAACCAGATTTTTTATTATTATTATTACCGGTATTATTATTATTGAAAACTGAACTAATATGTACCTATGTAAACAATTGGAAGTACAGCATTGCATAGCTACATAATTAAAAGGTTAACCCTAAAAGTAATTAGGCCTACCATCACATGCAATAGATAAAATACCTGGGTACTTTATAGACGCGGAAGCGAGGCGCATAAGCGGAACGCAGATTGGCTTGTATAATTCAATGGTACTAGGCCTATTCAAGACCTTTCATTAAAGAACCAATGTAGTTGATAGGAGTGTGGCTTTTCTTTTTCCTAAGCTCAATTATACTTATTCACTAGGCCTAAGTATATACTAGATATAAATTTCGTAAAATTTTAAACTTACCTACCTGATAATAGTAGAGGAATCGTGACGGAAGTCAAAGTTTTTTCTGAACTTGGCCACACAGTTCTGATGGTAGACTCGTTATCTTTTACCAAAAGAACTTGTTCTCCGATTTGAAAGTGGCAGAGCTGCATGGCCGACTGAGATAGAAATACAAAAAACTGTTTCTCATGTTCTCTCAACTTTGGACCATCTGAAAAAGCCAAATTTGTTTAACTTACGATGGTTACAGAAATGATAAAGAGACAGGCTAACTTTTTAATAGTTGGTAACCAAGTTGTTGGATATTTAATGACAATACAGCTAGGCCTCTTCAAAAAGCTGAAACCTCTTATTTGTAGGAATCCAATGCTCAGGTATAAATAGGTTAAAATTTTTACATCACGAGTAGGCCTACTCGAATAAATAAATCTAGAACGGCACTTCAAAATAGAAATAACTCAATATTCATTTAGGTCTAGCCTAACTTAACTTATATCTTATTCAAGAAAAGGGCAAGTAAAAATACATAAACATCCAATTAAGAAAAAGTAGAACCAAATTTACTTAGTTTACCATTAATATCGGATTGCTCCAGAAAGCTAAATAAAGTGTTATCCTTTATAAACGGATGTTCCCAATCATTGAAATTGGGAGGGCATGAACCACTGTGCTGCTGTAAATCCTTCTGGGAAAGAGTTACTCCACAAGAATCACAGGAACACCATTTGATTGTTAGCGATTTTCGTCCTGGAGGTGTCATCCTGAAACAAACATTGCATTTTGCAAAATCAAAGTTTCACTTGGCAATATTTTTTTGTAGATCTAGCAATTTTAACGCAAAGCGAACTCAGTCCTTCAGTCAAGTGGGAAGCAGCATGGACCCTCAGAACGAATCTTCTGTGCCAATACACTGGTAACCATAAGGCTAACAACAACCCATCCAATTTTTTTCCTAGGACGCTAGGCACGAGCCTGGGATTGTTTTTCACATTGCTTCAGGCTAAACCTAGGGGTTGCGGCATTATCACTTGGATAAAATCCATTGGTGACTTGGTGGGGATCGAACCCGGGACCTCAGTGACTGAAGTCCCGCGCTCTAGCCACTACGCCAGCTTGCTCTCCATACCCATACAATTAAAGTTGTAAAGTCTAAAATGTTTATATATATTTATTACTTAGAGTCTATGTTAACAAGTAAACAAATACTATGTTGTAAACTTGACATTAGGTTAGGCCTACTGTATTATGACAACACAAGCACGTCAACATCATTAGGCCTAGCCTAAGTTATATCATAATAATAACAATTTCAACATGTCTAAAGGGTTGAAGTTTCATTACCTTTTACAAATTAAGACGATTAGTTTTTAATCAATGAAACAAATTCAATACAGTACAAAAGATAGTAAATAAGTTTTAAAAATGTGTATAAACAAAAACAATAGAAATGGGGTTATGTTTCTATTTTCATTTTGTAAAATTGACAGACTATTTTTTTCTGTTCCTGTTCTAAGGTCTACTGCATTTTTACGTTGTCCCACTGGGCAATCTTCTTTTGCATGCAACCTTGTACATTAAATTTAATTGAGTTTTCCGCTTCTTTCTGTCAGAGTTGGTGCAAAGATTATATTCCATTATATTGATATTGACAAAAACACCTCTTTTTTATTAGAGGGGTATATTTGAAAAGCATGCTTAACTTTTTAGTGACCATATCAGTTTGGAGACGTTGCTGTACGCGTCTAAATCCGAAGTAAAAAGTCCTAATACTAGACGAGTTCTCTGAGCAGGGTTGTTAAACCAAGAACTGATTCTAACGCTAACGTCTGGGCCCGGGCTATATTAAACTTGATCTCCCAGATGAGACACCACCAAATAGTTTTAATTACGTAGTGATTTTTTTTCATTGATTTGTAGATGGGATTATTATAAACACATTTTGATGTCCGTGTTGATTCGGTGGCATTAGTAAACATTTAATAGCTATCTATCTATAAGGAAGTTATCCCACATCATCAGTCTAAGATGTTAGTGCTTCATTTTTCGTCACAACACGCAGTCAGCAGCCGGTTTCTAGTATCTTTGCATACCTAGAAGCCCACATATATTAAGGGATCTGTAAAATCAGATGGCGGTCGATAAATTAACCATTGAAATTAGTTTCTTCAATAGGTTCTCAGCTATGTTAAAACATAAACACTAGACCCGGGCGTTGTAGACAAGTACATTACACTTTTGAAGCAAATATTGTAAAAATAAAACCTCCAATAACGTTTTGAAATGTTACAAAACCGTTGAAAATTCAGTAGAAATGTCGTATAATCTGTGGTCAAACGGCACTTATACAGTGTTCTGCTTCACTTACCCTGTGCATTTGTTACTGGAAGTGAGGTGAAAGATTTTGTAAACCCTGCATCAGATAAGGTGTTAACGGTGCTCGTAAGAAATTCCGAACACGGGCTCGGCAAGGATCGCAGTGTCACGTACGCGGGCTATCCATCGATATAATATTATATATTATCAATAGTTCGATTTATATAGCACAAAATGTGTGTTGTACCATGGATTACACATACTCCCTTGATGGTTATTGTACGTCGATATCGTTTAAACTATCTCGTACACTAAAAAGACCCGGTATGCATCACAAACATAAACAAATTACGTTTTTGGCCTGAAAGTAAAAAAAATTTTAACATTGTTTAAATAGAAGTGTCTTAAACCCTATCTAAATGCTATTGGGCTAGGATTCGGGCCAAAAACGTATTTTTTATGTTTATGGTCCATACCGGCATTTTTCTAGTAGAAACTACCATGCTTGTGCCGTTTCGGGCCCTTTAACGTAATATATATATATATTTTCTTATGACGAAATACTATGCTATATATAGCATAGTATTTCGTCATAAGAAAATATAATTATTCACGTTGTGGACATATTTTGTTTATTAATTTAAAATAATTGTAATCGTTCTTTTCACTTTTACGTTGACAGGTTACACTATACTGCGAGATGTTAAACTCTGTGATGATTGGTGTTAGAGTTAGGTTGGTTATATCCACTTTTCTGAACCAATAAACTGGAACACGTTTTACAGTAAATTGACACAATTATCAATTATTTAAGATGGGTTCCATAAGAGCACGGCACAAAATAGTACTTCATATTTCAAAAAGATGGGTTGGTGTATCATTTGAAGCGCTATTATAAAGATAAGCATTCGACATCAAGTGAAAATGTAAACGTTTACATAAATTAAAACTGACAAACTTATCACGAGAGGTCAATGAATAATCATTTAGAGATAGTCGCCAATCATCGGGATGGCGGTGTTTATCAAACAGTACATTTACAATGAAACTATAAAAAAACATGGTGTTCGGATCTACAAATGCGAGCATTCTAAGTAATAATTGTACTATTTATAAGATATTGTATTTTTTATAAATTAATTACAGCATCATTATTTATAATTAAATATACGACACAAAATATTTCTATTCATTTGGATAAGTTCATTAGGTGTTTAATTAATAACCAACCAATTAACTCAAATGTTGAATACATTTCAAGCACAGAAAAATAAATAAATTACATTAGAAGTACTTTAGAGACTGCAAAAGTCATTCATTCATCAATCAGATTTAAATTTCCATACATTAGCAAAGCATAATGAATACAGCCTTTTATGATAAATGACTGTTTAAGTAGTTGCAGATACAAGAAAAGATCTTAGAAACTGGTTTATTCGTAACACTGCAGGGTCATCTAATTCAATAGCAGAATTCCAAGATTTCAAAAATAAAGGAAGATTTGACGATCATAATTTGAAAAATCTGAATCCACTCTCAGGTACGTTAAGATAATTTAACAGCTGCAATAATTGTCCGTTTTATTTATATAAAATCCAACGTGTATGTTGTTTTTCGTTTGTCGTCTGTCATAATAGGTCTATGATGTTTGTTTGCTCCTTTATGACGTGTTACCAAACTGGCCAACTGATGAAATTTTTTTTAGGGAAGTGGTTCTAGATCCACAACAAGGTTTCCCTGGAGAATCTTCCTTGGAGCTCCGCCCCAGTGGCTCTGGAGCTTTGGAGTTTTCCATGTTTACCTTATGGTATTAATCTAAAAAGAATTGAAGGGCGTTGGCAGCTGTTTAAAATAAACCAACACGTTAGGTTCTATGGCGTCCAATGGCATTAAAAAGTTACAAGGTTTAACAACAGCACAGTGCAGCACTATTATCCCCCCCCGTTGCAAAGCACGGGTACAGCTAAGGGTACACAGCAGCCAGTATTTTTATATTACTGCATTTGAATGAGCCCACAGTTTCCATAAATTGGCTGTATTTTATTTGCAAAGTAAAATATATTTTCAATCCATTTTGGGAATTGTTACTAGGTATAGCAGCATAAGTGCAAGTGCAAACCATGAGACATTTGATCAAATCAATTATTTGAGATTATACGTGAGTGATAATTGTTACACATTACATGTTTTATACATTTTTAGGACATAACAAAGCAAGTGACGAATATAAAGAAGACATTGAAAGAGACACAACTATTTTTGAGGATCCCTTCAGAGGTTCAAAAAATGTATTGAGCAAGTATTCCGAAGAAACAAATTCAATAAACTTCTATCAAAATCAATCAACATTAAAAAGGTAACAGATCTAATTGTGTTAAAAACCAGATGAAAACAGTTTTACAACAATTATGGATAAAACACTCCTCAACGCATTTTAGTTGTTGTTCCTATTTTATTTATTAAAAGGAAACCACCCGCCAAGCTTTGTTCTCATAAGCTTTTATTTTTTTCAGTTTGGAACTACGATATTCCTTAAAAGGAAGTGTTGGGGAATCTTTCTTAGACGAATATAACAGTAAAACACTAGAGCCTGAAGCTGTTGGATCCTCAGCTACAACGTTGAAATATGAGGAACAATCTACTATTTTAAAAGAGAAAACTTTAGAGGCCCAACCTAAAGGAAAAATATCCATACGAGAAACTGGTATTTAAAAAATATTTTGTATTTAATTTGGGGCATTCAAATAAGATACCACACAGAAAGTGACAACGTTACGAACTTCATATGAAATAATCGTCTTTTTATTTTGTTTGGACATTTTTAAACTTTAAACTTTGATCTTAAACCAGCTAACTCATCGTCGTTTGTATTAAATTACATTTTAAATCAACATCAACATTTCGGTATTTGCGTAAGTATGTATACAAGGCCTATAATCAATGCTGAAATTTTTACTTTTGAACACAACCACTTTCCAGAAAACAATATAATTGTCGTCTGTTTGTTGCCGTTGCCGGTGACTAGTGCGGGGAAAAGGAACATATGTAAACATAACCCTAAAATCGGTTCAATAGAATTTGTTTAGTATCTTCCAAGAAACCGCTTATAATATGCAATAAAATTAAGGCCAATTAAATAATGCCGTGATGAAGAAAATATTAAGATTGGACTCTTTGAAAGAATTTAGAAATAAATGTATTAAATGAGTTAGGCCAATAGAAAAATATCTGCGGGAGTTACAATGAAGTTTACTTCACATCTTAAACTGAACAAAGGGGCTGCGCTGCAAAAATGCCTTTCAAGAGTTAAAGGTACGGTATTCTAAATGTAATTCAAAAGTGTGCCAAAAGTAGGATACAAAGTCAATAACTTTAATAAATTTCTAGTAGTTTTTTGTTTTTTGAGAGGCCAAGAAAATCAGTATCGTATTTCATCATATAGGCTACAACAACTTTTGTCCAGACCATAGAACTACAACAAGCTTGTTTATAGTTCTATGGTCCAGACAAACCAAAGCCAAAGTCATATTTTCAAAAACTCCTCATTTTTCTTTCTTGGTGCTTCAAATTCTTTGACTTTATCCAGACAAATCAGAGGCATGTCGTTTATGCAGAGTTGTCAAATAAACCAAACTGTGCCGGTACCTATTGCATTTTGTGTATCGCAGATCCAGTTTTGGGTGTTCTAGTTATGTGCTTTAATTTAGTGTAAACACAACCAATTCTTTAGGTTATAACTTTCCTTACGCTTACCTCCACTATTGCTGTCGCAAAATACATTGTGTTGAGTGTACATCCTTGATTTTTTTCTGGCCACTGAAACTTAATTAACGTGTCAAACATTCAGCACCGATAAATCATATACTGGTTTGAAGTGGATTGTTTCTTCCTGTACGTCGTAATTCCTACTTAACTTACTTTAGAAACAAAGTAAGTTATCCTCTACCTACTTAAGTTAGGGGTGCTAGAAATCCTCAGAATTCCCTAAGTAGTATCATCATTGAACTTGACTCCAGTTTCCAGGTTCATTAAACATAAGTTACAGGTACATACAAAATGAGTAAAAATCTAAGTAGACTTCCAAAAAATCTTACTGAAGTGATTAATGTTCCAAAAATATTTAGCCTAATGATCAACACGTTCAGATGTCTTTCTCAGGCTTCATTTTAAAGCTGAAGGAAGCATCCACGCTTTCCTAATATTAGTGCCCTGCCTAGAACCAGGCCTAACATTTAAGTTGGCTATACTCTTTTTGAGTTACCTTTCATTTGAATTTAGTTTGAATTTTATTGGGCTAAAAAAGTAATCACGTTCTAATTTTTCAGGTGAATTTGGTGCAAAACTTGATGAAAGTTTCCCAAAGGCTTACAAACCAGCAATTATCGAGAAAGGCGTCTATCAAGTTTGGGAAGAAAATGGATACTTTACTCCGAAGAAAAGCAATGGGGAAAAATTCTCAATGGTCCTACCACCTCCTAATGTTACTGGAACCCTGCATTTAGGTCATGCCATAACTCTCACCATTCAAGATGCTCTGGCAAGATGGTCAGTCTCATAGTATTAGCTCAAGTTATTGTAGTATAAAAATGTTTTTGTTGTAACTTAATTCACTCTAGGAATTTTCTTTTCAGAGGCATTTTATTTCTCTTTTTTTAAATTGTTCTTTAATTTAAACCTTTAAGGTTCAAAATTATTTTTTCTATCCTTAGCCTAGGCCTACTCTGTTTAACCTTTAACTCAATCATACTTTAATGGTTAGAGGGCTAAAATTACTGAGGTCTTAAACAGCTCCAGTGTGATCACAAAAGAAGAATATCCATCAAATGTATTCAATTATATTTTTTGCTAAAATATCTACTTTTAGTACGCTTAAGTTCGTTTAGTGATCTAAGCTACAGTATTTAAATACCCTCGTCTTGTAAAACATAACTGGCTGCATTGCAGGCATCGCATGGAGGGGAAAGATGTCCTGTGGGTCCCAGGGCTGGATCATGCTGGTATAGCAACGCAGACAGTTGTTGAAAAATGGTTAAGAAAACATAAAAAACTTACACGTGCTGAACTGGGCCGGGACAAATTCGTAAAAGAAGTGATGCTTTGGAAGGAGGAGAAGGCAGACGTTATTTTACAACAGCTTCGTAAAATGGGTGCCTCGTTGGATTGGTCGAGAGAAATATTTACTATGGACCAGGTGAGACAAATAAGTTCTTTTAATTTATATATTAATTTAAAACTGTTTTTCTTTGTCATAGCTATTTTGAGAGAACGGCTGGGTGTAGAAACTCGGTAGGGGTGTCTAAAGAAAGGTCTTGGTCTGTAGATGAGCCATCAAAAGAGAAACAGGGTGAATTCTCTTGGGGCTCTGCCCCAGTTGCCTTTAAATTCCCATCCCATGTTATTCTTATGGAGGAAAACGGGGTTTTTGTCACAGCTAATTTGAGAGAACGGCTGGGCGTAGAAACTTGGTAGGGGTCTCTAAAGAAAGGTCTTGGTCTGTAGATGAGCCATCAAAAGAGGAACGAGGTAAATTCCCTTGGGGCTCTGCCCCAGAAGCCTTTAAAGTTGCCTCTTCAGATTTGTTTACATTACACTACTTTTTAATAAAACAGCTGTTAATATTTAAATTGTGATTTATTGAATTTGTCAAAATGAAGTACAGTATTTGCAATGGGTTTTTCTGATCTTAAATTGGATTTTCTTCTGCATCGTGTCACGTTTTGCAATATAGGCTAATGTTCTATTACCAAATCAGTGGAAAACCCTAATATCACAGTAACTCTTAAAATTATTTCTTTTGGAGTTAACTTATATCTATTGTATGGGTTGGTTTCTGCCTTTTTTAACACTTCTTGGAGATTGTACGTAGGTGATATTGGTTGGCATATTGCATCTGTAGACGAAACTTGAGTTGGTGTAATTATTACAATGGAAAAGAGCGAGAAATCCTGGACAATTTGATATAGGCTAAAAATAAAACTGAATTAACACTGTTCTACATTTCTTGAGCAATCATTGAAATAATCGATTTGCAAACAATGGAAACATAGAAAAAGTAATAGAACACAACCAAGTATAAGAAATAGAAATAACTAGGTGAAACCCGTCGAAATCGACGGTTACTTTCAAGGCTTACGCTAATTCATCTAACTGCGATATTTTGAGCATTTAGCATTGATCAATAAGTGTAAAAACAATAATGATATTAATTGCGTTAGTTACCAAATATGGTTGATCATTCAATGAATAAAATATTTCCCATACTGTACGTTATCGGTGTTGTTATTATGCTATCTGGTATCTCTTCCTTTGGAAGAACCTTTAAATAGTATTAAAATCGTATTGGTGGATCTTTTGTAGTTAACTACTTCCGTGATTTCATTAGTGTAATGCAGATTAATCTATGATTTTATTTGGAAAAAAATCTGTCTGTTTGGAAGACACGTTCTAACTTCAAAGGGGTATATCCGTTACAGTGTAAGTTTGATTTTCCTTCGTCACGTTGCGTCAGTTCATATCGTACATCTGTGGCAATTAATAACCCTCTAGCACAGTTTTGAGAAATTGGTTGTGGTGTTACTGTTAAAGCTGGAATTCCTTGACATGGGGGATGTCAGTTAGTTGTCTGAGCCTTATCAGTTACATAAAGTTATCAATATAATCTCTCTACGGAATGCCAGGTGTAGTGGAATATACTTGAATTAAAGTCAGCTTTTATTCTTGAACTGTTAAGGGGCCTCCTCATTTATATGGTCGTGCAGCTTCATTGGCAACAAATAATGCGAATGACATAGTAAGAGCACAATAAAATTCTTCTGCAGATGAATTTTCTGTTGGATAAATATAAGCCGAATTATAAATGTCGCAATGCGAGTTTGAGCATTTTGTAACTATATTATATGGGTAAGTTACATAGATTTTTTAGGTTGCTGCTCAGTGCGCTTTAAGGATATATATTTTAGAGATAAATTAAATGGTTTTTGTTGCCGAGTAGCGCTAGTAAACATGCACAACCCTTTTCGTTAGTCTCCCTTTTTTAAAGGCTCTCTAAGAGTTCAAGTTCTTATTTGTATTCATATCTATATTATGTTTTCACTAAGCGTAATGAATACATCAAAGTAACCTCTCTGATAAGTCTGCAGTATTGCAGTTTTCCAGCTTAATGACTTTCTAAATCGTGCACATATTTCTACATAAATATTGTAAAATGTTTATCCAGTTGCTGTAAACCACTATTAATTTAACAAAATATGGACACGGCTCAAATGGGCATCGTGCCCTTCTGCACTTGTATTATTTTGTATTGTATTACACAATCGAATATTTTTCTAATGATTGAAAGCATGTATGACAATAATCTCATGAACCTATGATGATTTGTCTAGAGTAATATGATAAAATATAGGGAAAATGTGTGAGAAAGGCAGACACCAACCCGTAAAATAGATATAAGATAGTTCAATAAGAAAAAATTGATAAAATGATTTCCCACTGATTTCGTAATGGAACACAAATGATATTACTGGATATTGCAACACAAATTATTCAGAGGAAAATCAATTTTAAAATCAGAAAATAACATTGCAAATACTTCTTTTGGACAATAGTCCAGGCAAACTAAACAAACTTACATAGTTAAAAAAATTGCAAGAAAACGTTTTATGGTTTTATTTTGTAGAGTTGGGTTTGCAGAATGACATACTAAAAGTTGCCAAAAATATGTGCACGAGAAAACCACTAAAATCACAATTTAAAATGGCGGCTTTTTTCAACATTGGACAAATTAAAAAAACATATTTCACATGCATTTGCTATGCACATTTTTCGAGATATTGACTTGGGACCACCGCCTGTATTTATTGAGTGGTTAGTACTTCATTTTGATAGGGAACATGTTTTTGGCCGCCATCTTGGATCCGCCATATTGGACATAGATAATTTTTTTTCAATGTAATGATAGTGTTGTGACACACCATTACCAACTACATTTTTACACTGATTTCAATGCCAAAATCCGTTTTTAAATATCTTTATTCATTTAGAAGATATATACAAAAGAAAACTCTGCACCATACATTTCTTATGGACGTTTCGTAGTTTGATATTTTTTTAAAAATTATTTTTCTTATATCTCCAGTTCTTATTAACGCTTGTAGTTCGTTCTAGGCTTAAAATATTCAGTAATGTAAGGGCTTTCATTTGAGCTCTTGATCATTAAAATCAGACGAGTTAAAGACCTGCTACGAACCTCAGAACAATATTAAATTTAACTTTTTAGAAATATATTTTTATTAAAATATTTATAACTCGGGTTGTTAATACGTCACCAAGTTCTTTCTTGTCTCAAATTACTCAGTGAATGTTTAGCTTTGATTTTATTAATCACTAAACAAAATCTGACAATTTTAAAATGAGCCATGGACCATAATTTAACATTAAAATGTATTTATTTTGAAATTTGTCTTTAGTTAAGGACATATATCCCAAACCCTAATAACTCCTGGAAAGTAATCCATAGCTAAAATAAAAGTCAATATTTTGGCGAATTATTTAAGACTATAAAGAGTTTTGGGAGTTATTTAGAATTAGGAATATACGTCTTTAACTAAAGACAAATTTCAATATAAATACATTCTAATGTTAAATTATGGTCCATGGCTCATTTTAAAATTGTCAGATTTTGTTTAATGATCAATAAAATTAAAGCCAAACATTTACTGAGTAATTTGAGACCAGAAAGAACTCGGTGACGTATTAACAACCCGAGTTATAAATCTTTTAATAAAAATATATTTCTAAAAAGTTAAATTTAATATTGTTCTGAGGTTTGTAGCAGGTCTTTAACTCGTCTGATTTTAATGATCAAGAGCTCAAATGAAAGCCCTTACATTACTGAATATTTTAAGCCTAGAACGAACTACAAGCGTTAATAAGAACTGGAGATATAAGAAAAATAATTTAAAAAAAAATATCAAACTACGAAACGTCCATAAGAAATGTATGGTGCAGAGTTTTCTTTTGTATATATCTTCTAAATGAATAAAGATATTTAAAAACGGATTTCGGCATTGAAATCAGTGTAAAAATGTAGTTGGTAATGATGTGTCACAACACTATCATTACATTGAAAAAAAATTATCTATGTCCAATATGGCGGATCCAAGATGGCGGCCAAAAACATGTTCCCTATCAAAATGAAGTACTAACCACTCAATAAATACAGGCGGTGGTCCCAAGTCAATATCTCGAAAAATGTGCATAACAAATACATGTGAAATATGTTTTTTTAATTTGTCCAATGTTGAAATAAGCCGCCATTTTAAATTTTGATTTTAGTGGTTTTCTCGTGCACCGATTTTTGGCAACTTTTAGTATGTCATTCTGCAAACCCAACTCTAAAAAATAAAACCATAAAACGTTTTCTTGCAATTTTTTTAAGGTCATATCCTATATTTACCCGACTAAATTCAGTAACTCCCAATAAATGTGTGTTGTTTAAAACACAATTTTAAAATTAACAGCTGTTTTATTAAAAAGTATTATCTAAATGACCAAAATGTAAACAAATCTGTGGAGGGATCTTTAAAGGCTTCTGGGGCAGAGCCCTAAGCGAATTTACTTTGTTTTTCTTTTGATAACTCACCTACAGACCAAGACCTTTCTTTGGACACCTCTACCAAGTTTCTACGCCCAGCTGTTCTCTCAAATTAGTGGAGACAAAGTTTCCAATTAAATATTTAGATTCCCCCATGTTAATCTTATGGGGGAAAACCCAACTTTGATGGAAGATTCTGCCCAAACGAATAAAGATATCAAAAAACTAAAAACACTTTGCAAAACTACAGATCAGGGCAATTTTTTTGACACTTTAATAATCAAAATCGGTCCAAAAATGAGGGAGGAGTTCTGTTCACAAAAATCGGCTTAGCGTATTATATATATAGATTGTTTTTAGCGAATTTCCCTATAGGGAAGTAGCTATTACCGTAGGTCTCATGGTAAGACTTAGGCCCGGGACCGATTTACTTTTTCATTTTATTGTCCCCAGAGGCCAAAAACACCATTCGTTCAAATTTTTATATATGTATATATATATAGATATATATATAGATTTATATATATATATGTGTGTCCGTGAACACGATAACTTGAGTAATTTTTATCCGATTTTGATGAAATTTGGTTTGAAGGTGTAATGCGGGATAAACTTGAATGAGTTCGCGATCCAGCATGATCGGACCATGGGAACAAAGTTTTATGGGGGGTTTTATGGGGTAAAAATTGGTTTTTCTCACTTCTTACCCTCAAAACACAAAATTTCCCAATTTTTCTCTAAACCTTCTTAAAGAGCTTAAAAAAACTAACAATTCAGTATATCAAAGTGTTTTTGTACGGTTATTGGTTACGGAGAAAACTAAAAAAATGGTAAATTTAAAATTCCCATGTTATTCTTATGGAGAATATTGTAAAATGTTGTAGGTTGCTTGTTTATGGATATATTTTGATCAAACTTGGCAAATTTATTTATTTTATAGTAAGCTATCAATATTTTACTAAAAACACACTACTTTATTAGTTTCCTTGTAGCAGCAAACCTAGGTACTCGTTAAACCTAATGTTATTTAAATAGATCAATTGAAAATCAATTCGGCCAAATGGAAATTCGCTAAGACGGCAGGTTTGCTGCGGCGGGGGTATTTTCATTTATAATCGTTGTCATAGACAGCCTATGAGAGGGAAGAATTGTAGAAAACACTAAAAAAACAAGATAAGCTTTTTGAAAAAAGATAAGATATTTAAAAAAGATTTTGATTATATCTAACTGTTGTGTAGATCGTGAGTATTTCCGTAATCTTTGAGTCGCCCGTAATGCTTCGCAATTGCTCGAATTCGAGCAACAGGTACACTAGTTTTAATTTAATTTGAATTAAACATTTTAATTAGAAAAAGTACCGGTAGGCCTACCATGAGTTAATCACTTTGAAATCCAGACAGGTATTTTAGGCCTATCACTAAACTCATTCCAAATTCTATTAATTCAGTTAATATACTATTTTGATGCAATGCAAGTTTTCCTCACATTAATGTTTCCTGCCTAGGAAAAGTGTAAATAGCCTTAATGCTATGTTTAGGTAAAGGTCAGGTTATGTTATGCTCAGTTATGTCAAATATTTTTGTTTGTTGCCCCTAAATGTAAAACTAAGCAATGGAATGCCCATTAACAGGAACTAACTCCAATTCTCCATACTTTTCACATGATAAATGTACGTTTTACATTTGTAATACCTTTTTCACAATTAGGTCTACTAGAGCATAATAGAGTGTACCTTAGCAATATAACAATTAATATTGGTGCTAAGGTCTAATTCAGCCTTAATTTTCTTTTAGAGGCACAATGATGCAGTAGTAGAAGCGATAGTACGTCTTTGGAACGCAGGATTGGTCTATAGGAAAGAGAAGTTGATCAACTGGTCGTGCGATCTTTCGTCTGCGATATCTGACATTGAGGTAGAGCGGTTGGAAATCACAGGTCCAACACCAGTTTCAGTACCCGGTTACAACAAACCGGTCATGTTCGGAGAGTTAGTGGAGATCGTGTACAAAGTCTTCGAGTCTGGTAAACCTAAATTATATTTTTGTTTTATTTAAAGACTGTATTCATCTCAATTCTCGATATAATTTGTTTATCTCAACATAAATTCTACTATGAAGTGAAATAGCCTAACTATATGTTTTTTACACTAAAACTATTTTTTTTACAATTCTTTAATCGAAAAATCAAAGATAGATTTTTAAGCTTAATAAGAATGAACTTTACACTGCATTACAATTGCTTTAACATGTACAGTAAAGGGTTTACCTTACAATTTAGTTTCTCTTATTTGTGTTTAAGTCTGAATTTGTGACACAGTAAGCCCCCTTAAAAACACTGTTTCGTTGCTCAGAACAATAACTTTAGACCAATCTGAACCTTTTGTTGGAGAATATATTAAACTTTTAAGTCTCGAGCAGTTTGAAAACCGACACACTTGAATAATATGTTAATTTTTAAAAGGTTTGGAAGTTTTTTCATATTTTTTAAGGTTCAACTTCAGTTCTTCTAGTTCAACCGAGTAGGTACTTAGAGAAGACAGTAAAGTTTGAACGATCAGAGAAACCATAAGAGCACTTGAGTTGGTAAAATGTCGGAACTGCATCTCATTATTCGCTTCCGAGAAGTGGTCTTATAAAGTGAAAACCAGTCAAACCGACCCAGGGGTTCTTCTGCATAAGGAAGTATTTTTAATCCATGGAATACAATTTTAATACTTATGGCTGATGTATTTCTTAGATGAGGAGATTGTGGTAGCCACTACTAGACCGGAGACCATGTTGGGAGATGTGGCCGTTGCTGTGCATCCTGAAGATAAACGCTACACACACCTGATTGGACGGACGGTTTGGCATCCCTTCAGATGCACCCCCATCCCCATAGTGGCAGATGAGGCGGTGGACATGAACTTTGGCTCTGGTGACGTTTTTTTTTTAAATATTCATTACTTTAAAAACATCTGGAACTGTGTATGAGGCACATGTTCTGAATTTTAAAATTTTCTCATTTTTAAAAAGTTTGTGTGGTATAGTTTAAAAAAATGTGCACTTTATAAAAAAAATTTAGAGTTATTTTTATAATAAAAAAAATACTGCCTCAAAACGTCAAAGTAGACTCCTTGTTTGCACAACTCAGAATTCAGACCCTTGTCTGCACTAAAAACATATGGATTTAATATGAAAACAGATGTTTTCCGTCAGCCTCATAAATTGGGATATCGTTACATAAGTAATCAATTTCACTGGAAACCAGCAGATTTTTTAGTTATTAAAACCTCATATATATTGTAAATATAAATAATAATAATCGTAACATAATTTACACCTCTCTCAATTCTCTAGATAAAAATCACACACGAAGTTTGATGCTAGGTATGTAATGTAATATTCTAATGGCATTGAGTGGATTCAAAAATATAAACAAAAACATAACCCCTCGGAAAAGTTTTAAGTCGGCGTAGTGTTTGTAATTCACTGAGAACATAATGGATTATGCCTTTTTTTGTTAGGTTAGGGTGGTAAAAAATACCATAACAAAGTTCCCATACAAAATTCAAAAGTTTAACGTTGGTACTTGTATGGTAATCCCTCATTCGACTTCATGCTTTGCGGGAACAACCACATTTGTCCGGTAAACACATATTTTCCTCACCAGTATCATAACATTCTACATCGACTAGTGAAACAGTTTGAATGGACGACCAATGGTTTGCCGCAGGTGCTGTGAAGGTGACTCCCGGCCATAGTCCTACAGACTGGGATATTGCGGAAAGACACAACCTCCCCAAACTGTCCATCATCAACAACAACGGTTGTATCTCTACTGTGGACTGCGGTGACACGTTTGAGGTAAACATAGTAGGCCTACTGTAGAGTTTCAGCAACTTGTATATTGCCAAGTTTTTGGAAATGTGAAGTTTCTTAAGATAGTTGTAAACTCAATGATTTTGGATGAAAAGTGAATGAGAACAGTAAAACATTATTCTATCTTTCTATATTTTCCAGGTAAGTCTACATAATGTTGACGGATTGTTTTATTCTGAACGGTTTATTTATCTTTTGTTGTTTAGTAGTGAGAGAAACATTTCGTCCAATTGCGCGAATTGCGAGATAGTTAGAGTATATTCTTTGCCTTCCTCATAGTCACAATCAAGTGATCGAACAAAATTAGGGTTTATGAAATCTAAATTATACTTTGTCTGAAAAAAACACTTTACTTAAGTTTTCCACATGGCGAATTGTTTGTAAGACCTTTTTTAGGGGATACCCTAATCTAAACACCTACCCATTTTTTCAAGTTAAAACCTACTTGGTCGAAATTGTTGCTAATCACAATGAAATGTTCTATTGTTTTAGAATAGTGTAAATTTAGAGTGTGTCTTGTATCAGAATAGACTCTTTCCCATTCAGTTAAGATCCTTGTGAAAATCCCTTAGATACACTTGTGTCATAGTCTTCTGTAACATGTTGCACAAAATAAATTGAAATAGGCAGAACTTGTTGTTGTCTTGTTTCAGGGTATGAAGAGGTTTGATGCCAGAGAAGCCGTGAAGAAGGAACTTGCCAAACTAAAGCTCCTGAAGGGTGTTAGCCCTCACAATATGCAGGTTCCTATATGTAGCAGGTCTGGGGACGTGGTGGAATACATGCTGAAACATCAGTGGTGAGTTTGACTAATTTACCATTCATGTAAAACTCCTATAGGCAATCAAGCTCAAAACCCTAATCTTGAACTTTACATTATCTGGCAAGACGAGTTTATACTTTAAGAATTTTGTAGTGGATAGGCTGAACAACAGGCTTACCTTACTGACAAAAATAGTTTAAGTACGAAAAAACATGATCATAGAATTTTTAGAACTACTAATTCCCTCTTTGGTTGTAGAGTCTTTGTCTTAAGTATCTTGTTTTCCTAAGCCTATAACAAAAACAGAAGAGGGAACTACTTGTTCCGAAAATTCTATGGACGATGTGCTAACCTCATTTTGCATTTGAATAAATTAGTGATGTGTTAAAGCCAAAATCTGATATTTAGCAAACGTCTGTCCATCTCACCATAAACAGTGTGGTCGTTCAAGACATATAAAATGGAATATGAATAATGATAAAAAGGTTAAACATTTTGGTAATTTATCAGACTGTAATTTTTAAGCAATTATGGCATTTTTTGGTGGTAATCGTGGGGAAATTATCACAGAATATGTTGCATAGAAATGTCAACTATTTTGACAAGATTGTGTTTAAAACAACAATATGATCATTAGCTTTGCGTAGCTTTGTGGATGATCACAGTTGTGACCACGATTGTAAGGAAAAAAATTAATGAGAGATATAAGGCCTAAAAATAAAATAGTTCTCCTTTGTAATCACAAAACACAGTTGTAGGAGATGTTAACTATGTAGGTGTGATTGTAGGAAATAATTATGGATGTTGTCACAATCTCAAGAAATATCATTATGTCGGTGTCATACAATGAGATTATCCGGGGTAATAAAGAGAAGAGATCTTTAATATTGCGCAATCATGACATTTCTAGTCATTGACCTTGGTACAGGTTACAAACTGCAAGTTTAAAATCACAGCTTACTCTAACCCACCTAAAACCTAGCCAAACACTGTATTGTATAGCAATAAACCACGTAAAGAACAAAACAAAACATTAAGAGTTTTGTAAGCTACTGCTCGTGATAGGCCGGTAGGCTACTTACAGTACAGTACTGATTTAAGTCACAACAGAGGAATGTCAATACTGTAATAATCATCAACTGTAGCATTGATGTTGCCTTAGTTTCAAACAATCGTATTGAAAATAATAAAAATATTAGATAAGTCGTTATAAAAGTGTATAATTATAGCCAACTTAAAGATAATAAAAACACTTGCAAAAAGAATGTTAAGATAACAATGTTGCTATTCTTTCTCTTTGCTTTGTGCTCTCCCAGGGCTTAATTTCTAATTTGAGAAGTACCGGAGCCATGACTGACCGGGGGGTCTGGGGGGTTTTTGTAAAAATTGCACTTGAATTGGTGCATTTTAAACACATTTGAGCATGGTTAAGAATGCACACAACATTATATTATATACAAAATAGTAATATAACAGGTGTAAAAATTAAAGAAGTTTGCCAGCAACTAAGCAGAAGCACTTAGTATAGTATGCAGTGTATCCACACGACCAAAACAATAATCCCGCTAACTGGGTTGAAAAATGCCATTCCATGCAGTTTTTATTTATTATGAAAACTGTCGTTGTATTTCGCATGCAGATTTTGTTATTTTGTTTATTTCTTCTGAGAGTTAAATTTGACGACATAGGCCTATATTAAATAGAGGTTTAAACATGCTAGTTGTTCAAATATTTGCTGTCACACATCACGTTTTAATCTAGCTCACGGTCTAAAAGTTCCGTTTTCGCGATAATATTCCCATGAATGGAAACACTGATGTTAGTTGACGCTCTCGCCACAGCCACAGGCGTAGCGCTAGCGCAGTGCAGTAGGTTATGTTCGCGCCACATCCACTCCACTGTTCCAATCCAATCCAATCCAATCATGCAGCACGCAGTCAGTGGACTGAGACCATCGATCTGAACGAACAGAGACTCAGACAGTCAGACTCAGTACTCAGTCAGTGGCAGTCGGCTCGGCACCTGGTCGGCAGACGGCACTCGGCACTGTCGGCAGACTGGCTTACAAGTAGGAACACCGTTCCCCGTTGTATAATAAACTTTAAATACATTGCCCTGAAGTAAAGATTTGGTATTTGACACAATTTTTACAAAGAATTGAAAACCATAAGTCAAAAATAGAAAAATAAAAATACTATTTACAGCTAATTAAGATCGAGTCCAAAATAAATTATCGATCCAGATAACCGGAGCTTCGCTCCAGTGTCCTGAGAAGTACCGGAGCTGCGCTCCGGTGTGCTCCGGCTGAAATTAAGCCCTGGCTCTTCTATTCTTTTTCTTTCTTAGGTTTCTCTTCAACCGAAAATTGTATAATTCACCATATTTACTTATCACCCAATCACAGTCTACTAAACATTACGTCGTCATCAGTCCTCAGTGAATGAAATCGACGACAGCAGCAGACAGGGATGTGTAAAACGGAGCAGACGAATGTTAGCGCAATCATTGACGTCACCTTTACATTTCATTTTATGAAGAAACTGATTTTTCAAAAACAATAATGGGGGTGGGGGGTTCGTTGTATCGAGGGAGAAACGTAGACAGTTCATTAAGTAGAGGTTAAATTTGCTATGTAGAGGTTCTGACAATGATAAATTTGTTATATTCAGGTGTCTTATTTTAGCCGGGATCATGAATAATTCGTTAAATCAAGGTCGTTGATATGGTTTGTTCGTTATGTAGAGGTAAAATATACATTGTGTCTTATGGAGAGTTCTAGGGGATTTTAAAAAAATCTTTATATCAAGGAATTCGTTATATCGAGGTTCGTTATATCAAGGTTAGACTGTATTTATTTGTTTTGAAGGTTTATCTCCTGTAAGACAATGGCAGAGAAGGCATCGACAGCTTTGAGGGCTGGACTGCTGCAGATCGAGCCTCCCAACTATCACAATACCTGGTTCACTTTTCTGGATAACATCCGGTAAGTTTACTCACTAAAATGTCCACATTTGTGGGTTACATTAAAATTATTGCATCTTATTGCACCACGTTGTTATTAGCAAAATTCTATAGTTCAAGATATCTTGCTTACCATTTGTTACTGAGTTGTCCGTTTGAGTTTGGGTTTGCGGCATTGTATTCTAATTATAAAGACCATTTTATGTGCGTATCAACTATTGCTTACATTTAAGATTTTCTCCTGACTCCTAGAGGATTTCCAATTGCAAATTCAAAAAATCTTTGAACAACTACCATTTTTGACACAGTTTTCCCTTTTAATTTGTGTTTGCGGCATTGGATACTGTTATTAAAAACTTTTTTGTGATTTGCACCAAACACATAGGTTAAATTTACACCTATGCTCACATTTAAGATTTTCCTCTGACCCTTAACAGGCTGTCCCCTGACTATCACTTAATAATGTGTTAAAATTATTTTTATGCCCACTAACATTGTACCAAGATCTGTCTATTTTTATCATTTTTTAAAGTACTAATCTGCCCCAAGACTTTTTTGCTACCCTATATATTCAGCAGACCATCAACAACAAAACACAAAATCCGAGCAAAACATTTAAATAGAAAAGAAACTATAAATTAGCCTATAGTAAATTCTACATAAGCATAATATTTTTGTCCAATAAATCAAGATGGCTTTCATCTGTTAGTGCTACTTCTGCAGTGTTGTAACATTATAAAGCAGTAGGTGACAGATAAGACTTCACGACCTTGTGAAATCAAATATAGCTCAGTATTTTAGTTTAAAGGTTTTAAAAAGGAAAATAAGCTTTTCACGCAACTAATGGCTGTACAGTGAAAGCGTGCTGATACGACATTTGATGGACTGGCATCGGTCTAAATCTAAAGGTCCAATAATTTTAGATGTTTTAAGCAATTTTTCAGTAGTCTGAAGGCAGCAACATCCAAATAAATCGTATATAAAAATGTCTTGATTAACACTTGAGTTAACGAGTCACAATGATTGTTCTAGAGATTGGTGTATCTCCCGGCAGCTGTGGTGGGGTCACCGTATCCCCATGTATCTTGCAACAGCTGGCCAATCTACTGTGTGGGTGGCGGCCCCGTCACACGCGGAGGCCATGGCCAAGGCCAAGGCGGAGCTGGGCCAGTGGCCGGACACGGTGGTCCAAGACCCAGACGTCCTCGACACTTGGTTCTCATCTGCACTGTACCCCTTATCCGCTCTCGGCTGGCCCAAACAGGTTGGTAGTATAAATAAATGTAGATCAAGAAAGTATAGTTGAAAACGTTGTGTGCGTTGCTCTAAATATCTTGAGTTAGGAACATTTAAAGTAATTTTTATTTTTTAGAAGTGACTGTGAAAGAAGTAACAGGTAATGCAAAATGTCTTGAACATAAGAATTAATCTTCTGTTTGAACAGCAGGTGTATAGTAATTACTGATCAGTTCTGAGTATTAGGTTGAATCAAATTGCTTTATCCATGCCTCACTACTGGAAGAGAAAAATACTTCAAGAAAACACACCGTTCTATTATACTTAGTAGCTGTCCTTCTTTCCTATGGGGTTAAAATACTAAAAAATTAAAATTAGGCCAACAATTTAATTTGTTTGTAAAACAATTATTTTTTTTTTTAAACAGGAATTTGTTAAATTGGAAATTTTATTATTGAGGTTGAACCAAGCAGCAGTCGCGAACAAAGCAGAACCCAACTAAGGTGATTTTGATCCAAGTAGTATTTGAACATTGCTTATAACAATACTATGTAGTATTACTATACTGTACTTTTATACACATTTTTTATTCATAAAAAAAATGAACGAAGGAAATGCTTTCTGCTTTGTGTTGTATCTATGATCTAAAGCCTACCTGTACTTCTTCTAAAATTAGTGAGTTAATTCCCTTATTTCTACAAGTTGAAATGGCCTAGAGCCTTTTTATAACCCTGATTGATAAGTTGGTTGTAATTATCAAGAGGTAAGGTGAACATTTCAACTGTTTGTCTAGACAGAAGATCTGCAGCGCTACTATCCTCTGAGTCTGATGGAGACAGGTCATGACATTTTGTTTTTCTGGGTCGCAAGAATGGTCATGCTAGGAGTCGAGCTAACTGGTGAACTTCCATTCAAGGTAAACATTAGTGGCGAGTGGAAGGCTTACCTGAATGGGAAAGAGTCTTTCCTAACACGAGAAACACAAAAACTTTACCTACCTACAGGTTGTTTTTTTTTCAACCGCAACCCAAATACAATAGAGTCCCGCAAACTCGGCTCTCGATAACCCGGCAGTCTGGATAACTCGGCCATCACCTGGTTCAGAAAATTAGTGATTTTTTGAGTCCGAGTTAAAAATGGACTCAAGCCAAATCATTCGCAAGTCATACCAAGGATTTGTTGTACTATATCTGATGACTTAATACTGACTTGTAATAAAAATATAAATAAAGAGGCAGTTAAAAAGCTTAAAAATTGTATTGTTCTTATTTTTACAAATACTTGACACTATTTTGTACCCATGTACATGTAAGGAAAATAAAGTTGATTTGATTTGATTTGATTTGATTTTTAACCCTAGTTCCTGATAACCCGGCATTTCACAAACTCGGCACCCTTCCAGTCCACATTACGCGAGTTTGCGGGACTCTACTGTATTACATTGAGACCAGGGGTTTACACTGCGTTTTGACAGTGAAATGTCTTCAGTGAGTATCAGTGAAAGTACTGTGAGACACTGGTTATGGACAAAAGAAGCTATGTTGGTATCCCTGATTTCTTCACTTAATTGGTGATCAGCTGATATGCATTGTTGGCATTGTTGCATAGTTATCTGTGAGGTTTAGTGTTGTTGGGAACTTATTGTAAATAAGACTCAACATGATTCGTCGAAGTTTTATGTTTCTTTTGCCAGTGTGAATTCTTTCTCATTAAACGTTAAAGTTGATTAGCTCTAAACACAACATTTTAATTGCACCAATCTTTAAGAATTCATAAAAAAATAATATACTGATTAAATTCAGTCAGCAACAGGTTTTTTCATATTTTCTTTACTGAGTTTTCATATGTTTTATTTTTAGAAAGTTCTACTCCATGGAATCGTCTGTGATGCGATGGGAAGGAAGATGTCTAAAAGTTTGGGAAACGTTGTTCATCCTGAAGACGTTATCCATGGAAAAAGTCTTGAGGTAAGTTTTTCAGCTGTGAGAAAAGGGTGGGATTTTAGTAAAGAACAAAATTCAGGTAAATGGGTTGGGTGAATATAACTGTGCCTTGAACCACTCACAGAGAATGCTAGCGTAAAATATTCTATTTTACCCTTAGTTCTTGTTACTGAGTTAGTCGAAGTGCCATAAAACATGCCATAGTTTGCAACAAGTCGTCCTTTATGTTCAGCTGATTGAAAAATGTTGCTGTATTTTAAAAACTCACTAATTTATCAGTGCACTCTCAGTGCCTCAATTCATCTACGTTAAATGTTATCCTAAAAATATTACAACTTTGACAAAGTAATGCAACGTCAAGTTATATTTATAGCTATTTAGTTTACCACATTACCAAAATGAATGTGGCTTTTGTAAGACTCTATTTACAGGATCTAAGGATAGCTATAGTGAACAACCACAAGGCTGGTCTGATGTCTACCAAAGAGAAGGACATAGCCCTCCAAGGCCAGCAGAAACTCTTTCCTACAGGCATTCCTGAATGTGGCACCGACGCGCTGAGGTTCACTCTTCTGTCACATAAAACCAAGAGTAAGACATTGAGATATCCTTTATGAATGACGTTTAAACCTGTACAATGGTGTAGTTTTAAGTAATAGCTTGTACGAGAATAACTCTAATTATTTTCATTTGTAGACTTAAGCGCTCTCAATGGAAGACCAACAACGTAGTGGTACATGTAATTACTTGCTCGAAATTAGCGTCAACAGTTTATGTAAATTAAATAATTTTGTATTATGTGGGTTCCATTAAGTCCTGTTTTAAAACGGGGGAGAGATCTGGTCTAGTGGATAGTGCGCAGGACTATGGTGCCCGAGGTCCCGGGCTCAAATCCTGCCAAATCACCAATGGATTTTATCTAAGTGATAATGCCCCAACCCCTAGGTCTAGCCTGAAGTAATGTGAAAAACAATCCCGGGCTCGTACCTAGCGTCCTAGGACAAAAGAAAAAAAGTTCTAAAACGGTACTAGTTTACCAATGTGCCAATATAACAGTAAAAAAAAATCATCTAGGAAGAAGTATTTAGAAAATCAACTAAATAAACATGAGATGTGGGAGGATAATGTTTTGGAAGTTAGCTTAGTTACCGTAGGAAATCAGTTTATTAAATATATACTATCACTTTCGGGCAAAAATATTATTTTGGAATCAGTCTAGTAAAGTGTTTTAACTATCATAAGTCATAAGTATTTTATTGCATATAAAACATTCTTCATTACAAAGGCAATGGTGAACAGATGCATGGTCAATCAATAAGTTGTAAAAACTAAAAACTAAAAGTAATAAGTTACAACAAAATACAACAAGAACAGCACAATTGAGAGAAAGTTAACAAGTTAGAAAAAAGACAAATTTAAATGAAGATCTTGAAGCAATATCAGAGAAAAAAACAATTAAAAACATTCTGTGTCATGTTTTACATAAACTAATGGTCAATTAATGTCACGGTCATTTAGGAAATCTACCAGGAAGTAATATGATTTCTCCACCAATAATGATTTAGTCCAAATTTTAAATTTTTGTGGTGTATAGGATTTTATTTTTGAGGGGATCTTATTATATAGACAAATCCCCATATAGATGGGGTTTTTTTCAAAATGAGTGTGTTTATGAATTGGATAATTTAGCAGATTTGGGTTTCGGGTATTATAACTATGAGTGGGTCTAAATTCATCAAAAAGTGTATTATTTAAATGAACAAAATTTACTGTTTCATAGATGTACAAAGAGGTCAATGGCATTATTTTTAATTCCTTAAAAGAACGACGACAGCTTGATCCATATTCTGCCCCTATCATCACTCTAATAATACTAATAATATCTGGGGAACGCTTGTTTGCAAATGAGCTTAGATAAAATTGTACGTGGTTGGACAGTGTCTTAGAAAGCTCAAGTATGGATTGTGTCAATTAAAAATGGCGAAAAGGATTAGCATGTGCACAAGAATCATACCTTCACAACCATCGCTTGTCATTTTGTTTTGTGCTCAACCATTAATTTCCGGATTAATTTAATACCACTAGCATCTATTGGTTTGACTCTCAGTGTTGGTTGGAGTCTTTCCCTCTTCCTTCCTACTCAATCTATAACACTAATTACCTAGGACAGCAGTGTTTTTGTAATATAAGCTAAGTAATCATGCTTGTTGACAGATCACTTGATCAGCTTTGACGTGAGAGAATGTGAGACCAACCATCACTTCATGAACAAGATCTGGCAAGCTAGCAGGTTCTCTCTCCACTGGGCTACTATATTGGGTAAATAAAGACATTCCCTCTAATCTGAACCTCAGTAATCAGAACGTCTAATTCAAACCTCCTTGTTGGTGAAGGAGGTTTACTGTATTTAAATTAAAAACAAAGATATGTGTTGAGTTTTAAGTATCGTGCGAAGTATTAACTGTTCATACAACCTGGAAACCAAGAAAACCGTAAATGTGATTTTTGTTGACTGGGATTAAGTCTGTAAATTGTGTTTGAAGCCAGGATCCTCGGATTATAGCCAATAGCCTATGGTTGAGCATCCATTCAATAATGGCGTTTTTTTTTTTTTGGGTTGTATAAAAATAAGAGGACAAAAGAAATGATCGCGGATGTTGCCGTGATCAGGGTAGATAATCATAGATGTTTCCACGATTTTAAAAGGGTATGATTGTCTCGCTGTCATTACGGAAAACGATCACGAAGTGCCATGAACGTAGTAGACAATCACATTATTGTCATGATTGCAGGAGACAATTACAGTGTTGTCGTGATGGTGTGAACATTATGTGGCCTTTTACAATCATAAAAATACATACATATAGGTTTTTGATGCAATTTCACTGCATTTACGGCTGATTTGAACAATTTGGTACTTAAAACAGTAAGATCAACACATAGAAATATTGATAAGAAATCCTCTTTAGTCTATGCCTTTTCTTTGAGACAGGGTTAAAATGCAAATGAGAATGATTTAAATCTATGTGTGTGAAAAAAAACACAGAACACAACTGTTCTTCGTAACTTGCTTAAGGTACGACATTGCGCTTTCAGCTCTCTAGTATGTTGTGTAGGCGCGTACATACATGCTAGTGTCAATATACTTGCGATGAGAAAGGAAGAGCGAAGCACTATGAGACACCTCTCAGGATGTAGTTGGTTCTTTTTTTAATCTTGCTAAATGTGTGGTTTATTACTTTTTGTGTGATGGATGGACAGACATAGTGCATAGGTCATAGTGCTTGCTTTATTGTCGGAATATTGCAGTTTTAATCTTTATAAAAGTCAGTAGCCTATTGAAGGTTTTAAACTGGACCAAGCTGTCCTTGAGAATTGCTCTTTTTGCCAGTAACAAATCTACAAAAGGCATTTTACTCAACTTAACACTCATCTTTCACTTGTATTCCGGTTAAAATAAGTAGGATTGTCTCTCTGTTGCTACATAATTATGTAATAATTGATATGACATTGCAGTCAGTATAGATGTTTACTTGATTTAACACAACAATAACAACTTTTTGTTGTTTGCAGGTGTAGACAGTACCTCTGAGCCACAGACTCCCAGTATGACGGACAGATGGATTCTCAGTCAGCTGGGACACACAGTTGACACAGTAACAGCTGGTCTGAAATCAGCTGACTTCCACCAGGTCACAGCTGCTATCAAAGACTTCTTGTATTACAAACTCTGTGACTATTATGTGGTAAGTCCTGGTCTTTAATAAACAATTATGAAAGTTTGTGAATCAAAGTTTTGCTAAAAAATCTAAGGTAAATGCCCTCTGTTTGAGTTCTAAAAATATTTTAGGGAAATTATTTTTTAATCGGAGAAATACTTTTAGTTTACGATTTTTCAGTAAAATGATGATGGCAACGTGATCTTGGCAAATGTCCATGATTTCACCGCTATATCAGAAGATGGTGATGTCCCTGTGATTGCGGGAGATGCTAATGTTAGTGCCGCGATCATAGATTACAGTCATGGTTGTGACGCATAGCACTACACAGCTACATGGCGCAACAACCTCGATCATGCGAGCTTACCTTTCACCGTCTGTCACGAGCACCTTTTTGCGATTTTGTTAAGAACGTTACACGACGGTCTCGCTTTTGTCTTCCAGCCCTTTGCGCCTACAAAACGCCTCAAATATGTTGCAACACATAAGTTAAGTTTAAGTGTAGGATATTATTTTAAACCAAAGGTTTACCTACATATTCCTAGGCAATTATTCTTTCTCCAAAAACCAACCTTTTTCTTTTTGTTTCTGGGCAATTGAATTTAATAAGAAACTTTTTATGTGTAAAAATTCCTTCAGTAAGATTCACAAATGTGTTTAGGAAGCTGCCAAGCCGGTTCTCAAGGAAGGAACTGACTCCGAAGCAGTCAACACTTGTCAAACCCTCGCCTACTGTCTGGACATAAGCCTGCGTCTGGCTTCTCCCATCATGCCTTTCATCTCAGAACAGCTGTTCAAACACCTGCCAGGCCGACAAGACCAGAGCTGTATGTTGGCTGCCTTCCCTTCGCAAGACGAGACAGCAGTGAGTCTGATTGGGTTAAAAAATTATATTTTACAATTCTTCGTTTAAGTTCATTGTTGGTAATTTCGAGTTGAAAAAGATACAGGTTCTATTATATATTTTTTGGTTTCATACAAAAGGAAGAGTGTTGGCTGCTTTCCCATCACAGAATGAGACAGCTGTGGATCTGTTTGGTTAAAATATTATTTTTTCAAAACTATTCGTTTTAAGTTCAGTTTTGATGTTAAATTGGAAACAATGAAACAATATTATTATTATTTTATCATTTGTTAACAACAAGAAGAATGGTTCTAGAAATATAAATCACTCTTGTGCCTAACAGCAAAGAGCAAAATAAGGGATGGTCATGCACAATTTGGAAAAAAACTGGTCAATATAGCGTTAAAAAATCTTGCCTTGAAGGTGTGCTTTGCATGCCCAGTAGTCAAAATGTAAATATTTAGCTTTCATAAGTTGACAAATACCAAAATAAAGGTAAAATTTTGGACTATTTTCACTGTTTTCAGTAATTTTTGTAAGTCGGTACTCGGTAGCGCCTTAGACTTTGTACCCAAGGCAGTGATATTTTGGGTTTCGATCCTGGTACCTACTACTAATTTTGATCAGTACAGTTCCTCTCCTCATACTGTTCCGACTCACACCTTGCTTTGCTGGATACATTCCACATTCAGGACGATAGCCTAAGTTGTCGCGCAAATGCAAGGTTTAAAGAAGAAGACCTTTTAATGAAAATCTGATACCCTTCCTGTCCATTATGTGTCATATTATTGGTAATAGTTTTATTTTTAAAACTGTTGTTAATCCCGTTATTGTTGATTATGAGTAATTTTGGTTTGTCCGTTCAGTGCTCAACTTACTTAGGATACTTTAGTGAGTTGACAGGTAGTTTTGTGAGATTTCTGTTTTACTTACAGAAATGGAGAGACTCCGAATTGGACAGAACTGTACAGTTGGGAATAGACGTTTTGTGTGCAGTACGGACTTTGAAGAGCTCCAATGGGTTTTATAAAAAACATGTTCCAGGTAAACTTTTATTTATTTTTATGTATCTTAACATTCGCGTTTACAGTTTTTATAGATGTTTTATAACAAAAACATAAACTTTTACAGTGGAAATAGAGACGAACAAGGCTGATGAAATCAACACCCTGAGAAGATTCATTGAAGTGTTAGCGAACTGTAGCATTCAGATAACGGAGAGAACAGGAGAAGTTCGGAAACAAATGGTTACCAACACTGTAGACGATCACAGCCTAGTTCATATCAGTCTGACGGTGAGTTGAAAACGGAAACATATTTTTACTCTTAATGTTGATGTGAAAATATTGAACATGTTTTGTTATGAATGAAAATCAGTAACGTATACTAGTCCTGAAAATAAGTGTTTACCGGACGAGTGTGGTTGTTCCCGTGCGAGACGAAGTCGAGTACGGGATTACCATACGAGTCCGGTACACACATTTTGGACGAGTTACGTACGATAGTTTACGCCAGCTGTTTTCTGGACTAAATCCTTGCGTGAAAAGCTCGTCAAAATAATGTAGTGTGGCGTAATAGTAGATTACGCAACGATTGCATAAAGATAGTGTTAACGACACGAGTAGAAAATTTAAGGTATAAGCCTTGGCGAGTGCCTTAAAAACTTCTACGAGTGTCGTTAACACTATTTACGCGAGTTGCGTACACTACTTTACCTACGACGGTGTTTTAATTACTAAAAATCACTACTCATAACTTCTAAGAGAGGTTATGTTTTTGTTTATAACCTATAATTGCCAATTCAATAAACATTTAAATCCTATATATTATACTGTTTTTTTTATACTTATTTTTTCAGAACATGAGTAAGGAGCAGCACGAGGAATATTACAAAACACTCATGAAGAAGGAAGCCAAGATCAAGAAAGCTCTGGACAAAATCTATGCCAGAAATAAACAATCAAGCTTAAAGAAAGCCAACAAGGAAATCCAGGATAAGATAGAGGAACAGGTAAGCACTTATGGCCAAATATTTTGTTATTTCTTCAAGTAAATTGTGGATAATAGACACAATCAGATTCAATTGCAAAATTAGATAGAATGCCTGTAAGTCAAAAGTTTTCCCAATTTACTTTAGCTTTTGGCACCTATGTTACAGAACAGGTCAGATTTTTGTTTTTTCATTCAGTTAAAACTAAATGTAATTCTTGGTTTATAGTTGTTTTTTTTTTTTGACGCAGTATAATATGGCTACAACACTGATACAGTTTATTTGATAGGTTTGAATTAATATTTACCCTTTTTCCAGGTGAGAACGCTCGAGGAAGAATTGAATTTGGTGCAAGCTTATATGGAAGCTAATAAACCAACTTAGTGTACGTCTTATGATTAATGTAAAAATAAATATGTATATAGGTATTAATTTATTGTCTAAACCTAAACCTACAATTTGGATGGATTTAACATTGCTGAGATTGATGGGTTTGGCTATAAAATAACAGGACTGGTTTTCTAAGAGACAAACAGTGTGAGCCTCAAGGTAAAACGCTAAATTTCCAAGATACTTGATACATGTCTTCTTTATCTTTGACCATGGTTATGGATTGATAGCGTCAAATTTTTAATACTATATAATAAAAACATATATTACAACATAAACATAAATACTAAATACTAAGGCTGTGGTGGAAATTTCAACCCGGCATGAGAGGTTACTCTATCAACTCTTGCACACTATAGAGGGGCCTTTGCAAGAGAGAATTGCTCACTGTGGCTTTAAAAGCTTTCATTTCTAAGTTCCTGACTGTTTCGCGCAGGGTGTTAAAGATCTTTATAGCAGAGTGCGGGTAGCTCTTTTGTGTTAGACTTAGACGGCAGCGAGGCATGTCCAAGTCATGAGCTCTGCGAGTTCCGTGGTTGTGATGGCTACTTCTGCTATTAAAGCTGGTCAGGTTCTCTTTTAACAGTAATAGGCTGTTCAGACATACTGGCTAACAACGGTGAGGATACCCAATTCTTTAAAAAGGGGTCGGCAGTGTTCTCTTGGGCCGGAGGATGTTATGACTCTTAAGGCTTTCTTTTGCACCAACAGTATATCCTGGGTAGAAGGAGATTGGCCCAGAGTACTATTCAATACAGTATATGGCTATGGAACAAGGAATGGTAGATGGTAATCAAGTAGTTTTTAGTGATAACCTCTCTAAGCTTCCTCTGAGAAGGTAGAGTACTCTTGATAACTTGACGCAAACCTTGTCTGTGTGAATGTTCCAGCCTGATATACCCTCCACATTCCTTGCGGATCGACAATACTACGTTGTTCCCTAACTTATTTGTTGGTTAAAAAAAGGTTAGGCAACGTAATAAAGCAATTTTGTTGAAGCTCAGCAAATCTGGAACAGAGACTTATTCTTTATTACAAGTGTGTGGGTTTAATGTATTCAGGCTGTTGAGTAGCAGAAGGAAGAGGACGTTCTTCAACTTAAAAAACGGAGGTAAACATTGAATAAATATATGCAATCTCATCCATCAAGCCTAATCAAAGGCCATGATAATTTTTTTTTTACATCAATGAAATAATATACGTAAATTGGATCTGTAAAAAAATCATGTAGAACCATACTCATTCACTCTGACTACATTACAAACTGTTTATTTTTTGGGTAAGTATTCACTTTCAAGATAATAATCTGACAAAAATAAATAACCATATTATCTTATCAAGATAATTAATGGACGAGTGTGTTTGCTCTCACTTCATCAGTTAGCAAGTTGCTACAGTTTACAAAATGTAATTTAATGACGCAGAAGTGACAAGAATGACTCTAACACAAATGACTTACTTGGATTACAATTTTCAAGTTTAAAATTGAAACGGATTGAATTTAACACTGAACCTACATTTGAAATGTATGACAAACTCAAAGTAGGCAGATTTTTGAGAGATTACATTGTTGCGGATTTGGACGATCTAGACGCAGTAGCGGACACAACGTTGAGAAAAGTCGCCGATCCTCTCAAGTTTCCGTTGTCTTACGAAGACAAAGAGGACATCCTCGATCTCCATTGGAGGTTTGACAGTGGAAGGGATGGGATCGTGGGGCTCGCCGCACCTCAGGTAGGGTTGTCCAAACGGATAATCATGATAGGAATAAGGGAAGATATGGCTGAACAAATGGAAACTCAAATGTTTGAAAAAACAGTTTGGGTCAATCCGAGATTCTACAGCCCTGACGAAGAAATTGAAGAGGGTTGGGAGCAGTGTAGGTCCGTTAAAAACTACGTCGGCCTCGTGCCCCGTTACAAGAACGTTGTTTACAGCGGGTTTCACGAGGATGGTCGGCCAATCAGAGGTAGAGCTAGTGGGTTCGCAGCAAGAATTATCCAGCATGAGATCGATCACTTGGATGGCAAACTGTTTATTGATCGTATTCCGAGAGAAAAATTGATGACGGAAGACGAGTACATGAAGGAGTTTCATAGTCCAGATGAACGGATGGAGAAAGAAATTGATGGTCCGTCAGTACCAGCGTTCCCTAAGTTTGAATCTAAGTTTGCCCTTTGCTGATTCAGAAGCTGAGTGAATCCAAGACGCTGCAACTACAAATGAAGACAATGGAAAGATCATGGTAAGAGTAAGAGTGGGAACAGTATACTGTACTTGATCAAGAAATGAGCATCAATATTGTCAATACATTCCACTTCCATAAGGGGAAAAGTTATGTCGGTTTGAGTTATATATTATTGCTAAAAATTAAATATGCAGTAAACATTTTTGTGTTTGTGGGTTTTAAAACTACACAATCAAAAATGTTACATTTAGTGAAACGACAAGACCAACTTTACACACAACTTTTTTTAATTCAACTTAAGCTCTAAATCAGATTGAGAAAAAATCTACTTTCCTCGTATGAATTGGTTATGATTTCTTCAATCAGATTAAAAGAACTGGTCATATTAAGGCATTAAACATCATTAACAACATTTAGAAATAGGGATGACCATCATAAAGTTGGACAAATCACTAATAGCACTATGTTAATGATTCTGTATTTCTCATTTATAGGTGGTTATTCAAGAGAATTAAGATACAAATAAAAATTATTTTGTGGGACCAAATAATTCAAGCTTAAAGTAAAAAATATGTGACTTTTTATGTTTTGAGTTGTATCTAGTTCTCAAGACGATTTGTCTACAATATTTATAGTATATTACTAGCAGAAACAATATTAGACTTCTTAAGGACTTTTTTATTTGAACAAACTACAAATAGTTAGTTACTTTCCGCCTCAAAATCAAACATTCAATAGCTGTCTAGATGGATTCAAACATACAGTATTCGCCGAGTCTTGAATTTTTGACTATTGGCAAACATTTCATTATTTCATTGATCAATAATAGTGTAAAACATCTATAAGAATTGTATCTTGATACATATTTCAATTTAGTCCCTTGAACGTTTTACCATTTTGTTCCACTGTAACCACTTTAAATGGGATGGGAACTAAATATTTTATTGTGATTGGGAAATGAACGGTTACAGAAAAAAATCATACCAGTCAGATAAAAACATCTTGAACTAAAAAATCAACACATAATAAAAATACCCCCGCCGCAGCAAACCTGCAGACTAAGCGAATTTCCATTTGCCTGATTGGATTTACACTAAAATGTCTCCTTAAAAATATCACATTTATTCCCTATTTAAATAGAATCAGTTTAACACATACTTAGGTTTGCTGCAACAGGGAGGGTAAAAGTGTTTTTTATGTAAAATGTTAATAGTTAGTAAGAAATAAAAACATTTTCTAAATTTGGGCAAAAAATGTTAATAAACAAGCAAACTACAACAGTTTACTTATTCTCCATAAGAATAACATGGGAATTTTAAATTTACAATTTTTTGAAATTTTCTCCGTAACCATTAGGTGCGTTATAACACTTATAACGCTTTATATACTAAATTATTTGTTTTTTTAAGTTCTACAAAATAGTTTGGAAAGAAATTGCAAAATTTTATGTTTTTTGAGTCAAAAGTGGGAAAAACCCATTTTTACCCCATAAAACCCCCCATAAACCCCCGTTCCCATGGTCCGATCATGCTGGTTCGCGAACTCGTTCGAATAAACGTAGGTTTACACGTTTGTACCAAATTTCATCAAAATCGGATCGTTTTTGCTCGAGTTATCGCGCTAACGGACACATATATAAATATATATATATATATAAATATATATATATGAATTTGAACGGATGGTGTTTTTGGCCTCTAGGGACCTCAAAACGAAAAAAAAAATCGGTCCCGGGTCCAGGTCTTACCATGAGTACTACGGTAATAGCTTATTCCCTATATAGGAAATTCGCTAAAAAAAATAAATGATACAGTGTCAGTGTGTTGGGAAACAAGTTAACTTAAAAATGAAATGTAGACTTGTAGACCAATTAAGATAACTTAGATTACAATTAATGAGATAAAGAGACGATAATATAACAGTGGAACAAGTCTTAGTGTTGAAATCTCAGGTCATTGTCTCGTTTGGTATACAGAATGTATCAGAAAATAGCAGTGATCACATTGTGGGGCTGTCAGTGACTAACTTTGTGTCAAAGTGAACAGTGAAATGGATAAGTTTGAAGTGGACGCTTGGAAAGATCTTCCTCTACCCGACTTAGTTGTCGCCGACGTTAACGACCTTACAGCGATCAAAGACACTACGATAAGATCCAAAGCAGCTCCTTTATCATTCCCTCTCTCTGACGAGGACAAAAGAGATATTTATTTCCTCGTTAAAAAGTTCCAAGGAGAAAATGAAATTGCAGGACTGGCCGCGCCCCAATTAGGTATTCCCAAACGAGTTATCGTTTTTGAAGTGAAGAACATTTACGAGGGACAGAGACCGTTTCCTTTCAGTATTTGGATAAATCCGTCGTTTGAAAGGGTGGGTAACAAAACGGATATTGACTATGAGGAATGTTTCTCGGTGAAGGACTTTGCCGGGCCGGTGCGACGGTGGTCGAGCGTGAACTACCAAGCTTACGACACGGACGGTCGGCTGATAGAAGGTGTGGCACAAGGAGTGGCGGCTCGCGTTATACAACACGAGACCGACCATCTTGATGGCAAACTGTTCATCGACTACGTTCCTAAAGACCAACTAGTTACAAGGGATGAGCTTCTTAAACTAATGGAGCAATTTAAGAACATGGAATAAAAGTATTTAGAAATTATTATTTACGAGAACTATTTATTTTTTCTGGAGTAAATTTAACTAATTTATTTAAACTAGAACATATTAAGACTGACATTTTTGTATTGTTGGTAATATTTTCTGCCTCATACATTTTTTGGTCGGTTTTTATTATTTTACCGATAAAATTAAAGACGTCTTCCAGCATTACTTGATGTATTAAGAGTAACACTGTAATTATTTTGAATACTGTATTTTGTGTAGATATATCAATTATGTGTTTGAAGACATAGTTTTTCCATGTAATATCTCCAACATAATGCTACTAATTAAGTTATTTATTCATTTTGTTTTTTATTTATTATTTTCAAATCTTGGCTGAATGTGATCATGGAATATATATACTCAGTCTGTTACAAGATATTGTATCTCTACCACTAAAAATAATTTCAGGTTCTTTTTTCATACATATAATATTTAGACAAATTTGTTGATTAAATTCAAAGTATTTAAAATGTTCACAAATAATGCATATCAAAGTTTTTAGGCTCAAAACGGTAAAAAATTATTTTTTTGTAAGTTTATGTACATTTATTGTGAGGTTTTAGAATTTCACAAGAGATGTATAAACCCTCTCAGTTTTGATACATGTTTATTTTATAAGGTAGGTATTGCAGATTACGAAACGGCACACGGAAGATTTCTCAGGTGCCATTTGACGTCACTAACAGCTGACGTCACTTTGAGGGAACACCAATACCGCAACGATACGGTTAGAGCAATCGGCCACGGTGGAGCAGTGGATAGCGTTGCGGGCTGATAATCAGAACGTTCCGGGTTCGAATTCCGCCGGCGGCACTATCTTTTTATCAACAATTTTTTCATATCAGCAAGTTTGGTTAGGTTATGAAAGTTTAATTTTATAATTGAAAAATTATAAAATTGAATTTTAGGCAATTATAATTTTATTTTATTAACAAAGATATTTTTTAGATTAGTAAACCTTTATTCGATTTTTCCATTATCAGCACGTTTGGTTAGGTTATGACAGTTTAATTTAATAATAGAAAATTATAAAACTGTCTGTTTCTTCAGACGCAGCAGTTAGTGACGTCAAACGGCACCTGAGAAATCTTCCGTGTGCCCCACCGTTGCAGATTATATGTGTGTACAGTACTTTGACTGCTAAATACTTTTGCCTTATTAAACACATTCAAAGATATTTTTAACCTTTTTAATGTCAACAAATAAATAAGTTTTATAAAAAGTTTGCTTATTTATATGTCCTTATAGTTCCACTTTCTTCTCTTTTTTTCTCTCGGAAAACTCTAGTTTTCTGTTCGGTTGATTCTTTTATATAGAAAACGGCAACACTAAGTAGAACTGTGTGTTTATCCATTTTAACTTTACTGTTAGTAGGTCCATTATCTTAATTATCATACGATCTTCAGTAAAATTAGTTAAAAGATATCTTTTGACATTGGTTCATTTTAAAACAAAATTGCGAGATGTAAGTGAAGAAGAGTGCTTATGTATTAATTAGCATTTCAAACTATTTTATGATTAAATGCTCTATTGCACTTATTATTAGGTATTAAAACACATCAGTTATGTATACTTTCATTAATGTATATTTTAAATTTATTAGATCTACAAATAAAATTGTTGCAGATAAATTACTCAGCAATAAAATTATGTGTTTGTAAAATATAAAACTGGAAGTAAATTCAATTTTGTTACTTCTGTCTCTACAATCAAATGCAAAATGAAAAGAAAGAGAAGAAAACTGGAATACATTAAGGCTGACTTGGAAAACCCAGACTCAATCAACAACAAAATACTCCGAACTGCCGCATCGCCACTTGAGTTCCCACTGAAAAAAGAAGACAAGAAAGATATCAAAGCGTTAATAGAGAAATTCATTGACAACGATCAACACGAAGGATTAGCTGCAACTCAGTTTGGAATTTTCAAACAAATAATCGTCTTCGGCTTTGAGAAAGGCTCCTACCACAATCACGGTGCGCCCCGTACGGTTTGGATCAATCCTTCGTACGAGAAAGTGAACGAGAAGATGTCGGCGGAGAGCGAAGTGTGCTACTCGGTCTGGGGGAAGGTCGGACCAGTGAGGCGTCATAGGAGGGTGAATTACAAGGCGTACACACCTGACGGAGAACTGATCGAGGGACAGGCTAAAGGGTACATGGCACGAGTGATTCAACATGAAATTGATCACTTGAACGGGATATTGTTCATCGACAAGGTGATTGAAGGCAAACTGTTCAGCCTGAGGGAATGGCTCTTCAAGCATGATAAGTTGGGTGAGAACGACACGGATGAAGATTTATACTTAAGATGGTGATTCGGTGTTTACAAGTGGACATAGTGAAGTGAATAGAACACAATACTTCCAAGATAAAAAAATGTTTAAATACCTGGATGTAGTAATCTCTGTTACTGTGTTAGCAACTAATTTTGATTTCTAAGAGGAACTATCTTCGAGCAATACTTGTCTAAATTAATCACAATTGAAGGTTACATTGATGGTTTTGAAGGTTGAAGATGTTCATGTATTACAGAAAAATTAAAAAAAGAATTACACAAGTGACGTGACTGTGCAGGATATAAATTCTAGAGAATTCTTTTCTATTTTATTTTAAATATTAGTCTTTTGATGATTTTAAGCCTAATTTGGTCAAATTTTAAGAAAACCGTTGTTACATTACATTTGGGTACCTACGGACCAGATCTTTTGTGCGAAGTAAGACATGTCCAATAAATCATAAAACAGAATGGACGCATTAAAAAACTACGCCTGTCCTTACACAAAATTATTAAAACACAGTTGTATAAGGAACAATTAATTATGTTCTTTTATTGTGTATCTGTTAGCACTTGGACTGTTGTTTTCACAGTTAAGCAAGCTACTCTTTCCTTTTCTATTCCTCAATACAATAATAATATCTGTATAGCACCAAACAAACAGGTACTTAATGAAATATAATTAAATTTATAAGTTCAACAAGGCCATTATATAATAATTTTATTTTATTAATAATAATGGTTTAATTTACCTCTGTCAATATGGTCCTTGCGTGTAGTTTGTCACTACTGCAGTTTCGTGCTCGTGGAGCACATCTTCAGGTGAAGGTCAAAAAGTTAAAACATTTTCCTCACGTGAAGGTCGTCAATTTTTGAAAACACACCGAAAAACACATAACACACGAACGGTACGAAAAAAAACATTTATAAACTTGGCCAATACATTAAAAACGTTACACACGGGGTCCGGCGCCGGTAGAAGACAAGTCATGACTGACGTGTGCCGTAGTCGGTAGCCCCTTTAAATTGGGCAAACATCACGCTCTTTTGCAACTAGATTTAAGGAACATTTACCTAGAAAGAACTCCAAATCAGCTTTTGCCAACCATATCATTGATTCAAACCATAGCTATACCGACATACAAACAAATTTAGAAGTAATGCATACTTGTCATAAAAGTAAATACATGGATACCATCGAGGAATTTGAGATTTACCGAGCAGCTAAAGTACATCCAAACCATATTTTAAACGAACAACTCTCATTCCAGTCTAACATTATTTATAATACCGCCATTCACATCCTGGAACAAGACCAAAGAAAATGTTCTGATAAGAGAAGTGAGGATGGAAGGGCTACCGACTACGGCACACGTCAGTCATGACTTGTCTTCTACCGGCGCCGGACCCCGTGTGTAACGTTTTTAATGTATTGGCCAAGTTTATGTTTTTTTTTCGTACCGTTCGTGTGTTATATGTTTTTCGGTGTGTTTTCAAAAATTGACGACCTTCACGTGAGGAAAATGTTTTAACTTTATGACCTTCCCCTGAAGTTGTGATCCACGAGCACGAAACTGCAGTAGTGACAAACTACACGCAAGGACCATATTGACAGAGGTAAATTAAACCATTATTATTGTTGCTGTATGGTCCAGAGACCACATCATGAAATTTATTTTATTCACTAGCGCTTTCAGAAACTATGTTTCCATCTTCAGGCACTAAGATGGAAACATAGTTTCTGAAAGCGCTAGTGAATAAAATAAAATTATTATATATTGGCCTCGTTGAACTTATAAATTTAATTATATATTTCGTTATCAATTGCCAATATCTCCAATATAAGTTATTAAACAGGTACTTGTTTCTTTACTTGGCTTGTGGACAAAGTGGTGTCACAAGTTGTATTTTCACTCATACACAAGGTGTTATATGAACCAAACAAATCCTTACAAGAGAAAATCTAATCCAACCAAACAAATTTAATAAAAAATGGAAAGCAATAACAATCATAGTTAAGTAAAGGCTACTTGCTAATGTAATAAATTTGTTATAAGTTAGTGTAGTTAATATATTTCTCTGCAACAATGTTTTAGTTTTTTGGGAATGGACTCCTATTTTGACAAAACATGTCATCATGATTGACATTGACAAGTTTAGTCCACAAAAGTATTTGATAATTGATAAATAAGTAATTTAATCACGCAGTAATGACGAAGACGGGTATGGAAAAACATTCAACACTTCTGAGTCAAAACTGTTTTATTCACAACTTTAACATGTTTATATTTTATAGAAAATAAAAAAGTAACAAAACTTGTACTACTACTAACCTAATACTAATAAACTAATAACCTAGATCATGTTTGAGTACACACTTGTGGTTAACAGACGTCGAACATTCAAACTTAAAATATCTTTGGTGTTACTTTTTTTTATTTGACTTAGTAATCTGTAAGCTGCTTCAAAAGAAAGTACCTGCTGTCAAGGCCAAGTTGATGGCACGTCTTCAGTCGTACAAGGAAGAAACTGGCCGAGACTTCTTGTACTATGGTGAGCCTCTGGAGCTCACAATTGAGGTGAAGGAGCTTGAAAGAGAGAGCTCCAAATCGACTGAGAGAGTTCTACGGAAAGCAGCAAATAATGCTGACAACTTAATGAAAAGTCGAGTAGGACACCAAACAATGGCAGGAGTAAAGCGACGAGCTGCGGTGACTCCCCAAACTCAAGACCAAACAAAAGCAAGGAGGATTGAAACTGCTGTTTCGTCATCGGCTAAGTCAACATCATCTGCCTCTTCATGCAAAGCAACTTTGGTACGAAAAGAAGAGAACACAGCGGGAGTTAGAGCCTACCTCACTACTCCAACTCCGAGGAAAAACCGAATGGCAGCCACGAGCACTCCACAAAACGGAGCATATTGAGAAATCCAAATATATGGCACACAACTCAACGAGATGTGAGCGTCAAAGAGCTTTAAGACCAAAAAATCTCAACCAGACTCGAACAGTTGTGGAAAAAACAATATTGTAAAGAATGTAAATAATAGAATATAGTTATCATTGTTTTTATACACATAAATTTAATGTAGAATAGAAATAAAACCTATGAACGTTTAAAAAAAAAAAAAAAAAAAAATCTCTAGGAATATTTCCGCAGAATATTCCAATACAGTATTAATTAATACATTTTTTACATAAAGATTTGGTCTATTGTCTATTGTAATAAACTTAGTACTAAGTAATGATAACTATGTAATGTAATGACTAAGTTAATGAAAATACTGTGAAATTAGACCGGAAAACATAAATAAGACGGATGAAACCTTTTTACTAACCCTTTTAATCAAAAAGGCTATATTAATTATGATGAAAATAATGAATTAAGTCTAAAATACGGTATTTATTTATCAGGAGGAACTCTTAATTTAATATTTTAAGAGATCAAGCACAGACCAACTTGCACAAAGAAAACTTTTGCTAAGCACTAAGTATAACATTATGACAAGTAACTTTTTACTGTGAAAACGTAAACTAAACTGGAAAACATAAAGGACGGATGAAACCTTTTATTTACTAACCCTTTTAATCAAAAAGGCACTAATTATCACCTAACAAGTAATGACTTAAGTCTAAAATAGTTGCGTTTCAGAAGGAACACTTATCCATATTCCAGGAGAGAGATAAGGCACAACTAACATCCACAAAGAAAACTCTAAATAAAAACATTCTCAATAGCATTTCACAAACGAAACAATTTAGCCTACTTTTTTCAAGAAACAATCTATAATATATTCCAAGAAGTTTGTACCCTCTTTTAACCATTTCCTTATCCAGATTGGAATTATACCTTTGTGGAGACTAAACTTATTCACTTATAGGCCTTACTCATTTAGCTTACCGGATACCTCTCTCCATAATACAATTTGACTAAACGACATTGGTGGTGATGAAGTTCGGGTCCAGATAGTTGGTGCTCTTGAAAGAGTCTGGAGTGTAGTCCGGATCCCAGTGGGTGAGAGACGGGTTGGACAGAGGTTCCAGGGGGTGCGAGGGCGGGTGGATGGGAGAAGTGATCTTCAGTTGGTGGATGGCACAGTCGGAACACAGACTGACAGCGGAGCACACCAGACAGCGCCAACGAGTTCCAGGCAATGGAATTTTAGAACATCCGGCGCACTGCAAAATGAAATTAGATCACCAAAATGTAGAGTTGATAATGTTGTTATGTAATGCGTTCTTGTCATGTCTGGAGTGTTCTGTTTGGTGTTCCCCAGGGTACAGTTCTCGGTCCTATTATTATTTTTATAATTTTATTTACTACACCAGTTAAAAACCATAGTTTCCATATTATGATCATACAAAATCTCTGTAGCTGTTATTTAAATAATTGAGGGTAGCAAAGAACAGGAAGAATGATTTCATACTAAGAAAGAAAACTGAAATCTGACCAGATGAAAAATTTATGGGAGAATAGAAGACAGATTAAAATTACTTAAAGTCGTCCGATGTTGGCTATAAATTAGAAAAAAATAAACAGGAATTTTTAGTTGGTTTACAAACAGTACTAAGGACGAATCCTACAAAAACCTATGGCTGGCTGCTCATCATAGTTGGTTAAATGGACTGGATACAAAACTGATTCATTGTGCAAAACAAACATTGCAGTATTGCATAGTTTAATTTCTAGGCACTAAAGCTGTATGAAACATCACAAAGGTACATTTTCTACAACAAGTCCTTCTGCAAGATTAAAGAGACACATGAATGGCAATTAGTTCATTTTTATTAAAGTGGTATTTTATTTTGTAACCTCAGTTTTTAGATGACTGGCCAAAATAACTAAGACAATAAAATGAAACGGAGTGCAACTTATGAGACAACCATGTAAATAATCCTGTGTATTTAATAATTTTTTTTTTAATTGTTTGTAAGATAAAAAATTATCTAATACCTTGATTCCTGCATGGGAGTACGGGGACAATACAGCATCCTTCTTTTTGAAACCAAGAATTTTTTCAATCAATTCCGCTTTCATGGCGGTGGTCAAAACTGTCAATTCCGTCATTTCTTCTATTTCTTCTTGACAGCCGTCTAGTAGCTGGGGAGCTCCAAGGTGCTGAGTTGGGAAAAATGTAGATTTCCGTCCATGTGAATGGTTCTTTCTTCTTTTCTAAAAGCGTTTGATGGTTTTAAAAACAGTAAGCCTATAGGCCTATAATTGAAACACTTCATGTTACCTAGTTTTAGCACCTACTTTGGATGAAGTAATATACATTTTTGATGTTGAACAGTCTTATCTACTTTTTATCTCAAAGAAAACACTGTTGGTGAGCCCTCCAGAGTGCAATTGAGGCTGCAGCTGCTAAACTGGCCTATCTTAAAAACTGATGTTTTGAGATAATCGCTGTTAAAAGTTTATAGGTTATGTTTGGCTCTCTGAGTTGGTAGTTGTCTATGATAACAGGGCCTGGTGACACCAGCTGTCTTTCAGAGTCATACCAACCAATCAAACTGAAATACAACATTCCAAGTAATCAAACATTATACTAGAAGACACGAAGAAGCAAAATGTCGATTCTCCTCTCAAACTGGCTGTCCAAAGTTTTACACAAAAGCCCTTGGTTAGGTTATGTTTGGCTGCTGTCAGCGTTGGCACTCTCCATGCTAAAAGGGCCTAGTGACACGAGCTGTCTTTCAGAGTCATACCAACCAATCAAACTGAAATACACCATTCCAAGTGATCAAAGATTATACTATAAGACATAAGGAAGCGAAATAGCGAATCTCATCTATAAGGGCCCATCTCAACATAGGCCCCTTTAGCATCCAGTGGCGTAACTACGGGGGGGGATGAGGGGGATAGAACCCCCCCCAAAGGCAAAAAAAAAAAAAAAAAAAAAAAAAAACTTAATAACCTACTCCATAATGAACATTGTTCTCAGAGGGTGGATCAGGAATTGTTGCGGGTAGTTTCATAATCTTTGCGAATAAAATCGGGGATTTCCAGTGGCAATTACGTGGGAAGTCATCATATTAGGTTGGCAACACTGCCGCTCATGCGCTGTAACTGTAAGTTTAGTTAAGTTCCCGCTCAGTCTGTTCTGGGTCTGGCGCGTTTCCCTGTGCTTGTCGCCTGTGTGTTACTTGTTGTTCAGTGATGATGTGTTCTGTTGTTCTGTTCACAATGTCTAAGAGGAAAGCATCATCATAGCAAAGCTTAATAACAGATTTGTTTAGAAAGCGTATGGTAACTAAAACCATTGACTAAGGAAATTTCCCTTGTCTGTGCTAAAACTGAGCATTGAGCATACTGAAAGTGATGACAGTTCCTGATAACAAACAAAAACATTCTGCCTTGCTTACTTTGCGAAGACGCGTGGTGTAGGGGCGGGTGGGGGAGGGGAGGGGTATCTGGTGCCTGGGGAGGTTCACTCTTTCCACCCGATAATTTTACCTACAGTCAGGGTCATCGCACGAAAAAAAATATTTTGGGGGAGAAACTGAATTTCCCAACTATTTTACTCGAACTAACCCAACTTTAATAGGCTACACGAATTTCACAACTATATTAATATCAAGTTTTAACAGTTAGTAGCCGAAGGATATTATTTTACGTTTAAATCCTCTTTACAGCTGACATACACAAATAACAAGAAATTAAGGGCTTTCTCACAATACTGGTTTTGACTGTCAATCTTCATTGTTGATTGTGTTTTAAGTGTCTTAACAAATGTCTCAACAAACTGTAGGTCTACTGATCAATAATACATTAAGTTTTCAGCCTGTCAAAATCGATTTGAAATAAAAATTCAGTAGATACGGCTCTTCGCGCGCAGCACAGAAGGCTACAGTACAAAAACAACTTAACGATAATTTGTTCGTTTGTTGTGTTGTGGTTTTGATTTATTAGTTACTTACTATTTCCTGATACTGACCGGCCAGAAACAGCCTCAACTGGGTAGATTTTTGGAGTTCTTTTGAACGTTCTTTACACCTCATGAATGCCTGAAAAAGCGAGTTTGGAGTTCGAATTTTTCAAAATTTTCCCCGGACCCCCCTTTTTGCTGGGGGGTATTCCATACCCCCCAGGCCCCCCGGTATTGGGGCTCCTCCATCCCCCCCCAAAGCCATGTTCTAGTTACGCCACTGTTAGCATCTACACCCTCAATTATTGAATTTTACTACTCTCTTCAGTTACTATGGCTGTAATGAGTACAAAATATACTATAATTCATTAAGTTTCCCTTTTAGTTGGAAGTTTTCTAGAGTTGGAGTAACAAAACTTGTTCAGCATCACTCTAGTGGTTAAACGAAACTAGTTTTATTTCAATAATTGCCGCAACTTTAACACAGTATATGGAAAGTCAACTTTGTATCTTGAATCTCAAGAGTTGAAGTTTAAAAATAGCTTAAGACATTAATCTGTTACATTACTATCACTCCTAGACATTATCATTATATACTTGGTTTTTTCTTGACTGTTTTGTTTGATTTTTATGGTCGTTTTATTTGCTTGAAGGATTCTTCCTAACAACTATCCAACGAATGTTCAAAATATTTTTCCTACAGTCACCCGACAAATTTGCCTTCCTTGTACTGTTTATAGTACAGAAAGCTGCTAATTGCTGCATATTTATACTTTGTCGTACGGTTTATATTGACAATGTCACCTGTTTTTGTAGCTTATGCTATGTAATCTGTAAAACGTTTATGTGACAATAAAGATATATTTATTTATTTATGTTTATACTTTGTCGTACGGTTTATACTTTGGCGCACATCAGGATTCCAACGAAAAAACACAAAAAAGCGTGGTTCTATTATGCACGTAATCCGTGTACGCTTGGAAATAGGTTGGCAACACTTAAAGATAATAATACTATGAGCAGCTGATTGACTATTATAACTACGATTTAACCTGTCATTTTGTGTTTATAGTTTCAGTATTTCTGAACTTTCTGGACTTTTCTTTTAAACGTTTTTAAAACATTCTTACGATCTTAATAAACAAGAAAATACCTTCGAAGCATTTTTTTAGGCGCGGAAACCACTGTAAATTACAAAAACTTACGGAACTATATTCTCAAGTCGCGGAGCACATTTCTTGCCGAGGAAAAATAGCGGAGTGATACGGACCAGGTACTACTTTCTCTAGGGCACCTATTTGTGTTGCCAGCTGAACCTAAAAACGTGTTGTATAGTGTTAGAAAGACTAATTATTTTTATGCTCTATAGTGACTGTAGGAAAAATATGTAACACGAGTGCAAAAGGCCTTTGCCCACTAGTTACACAAATAACTATTGAGGAATATAATGTCAGTAAAAATTAATCACAGTTTTTTTCCACAACCTCCATTGTTCACCACAAGCAAGGCATAAATTTAAGTTCTTACACAGTTTATTTAATTACCACAAACTTTTATTAGGCAAGATGTGTCATTCGCTTATAATAAGAAGCAGCTTTAATTGTAGGCCTATTCACTCACCTTGCACATAGTCATGTAGTTTGTTTTCAACTGGTGACCTGGAATCGGCAAACCCGCTTTGTTGAGTTTCTTAAAGTATTTCTGCACCCTGCTGCAGACCTGCTTGGTAGTTCTGTTACCTAAATTCAACATATCATGTGAAAATTCAACGTCAGATCTCTGTAATCGTTTGGATGCCTTTAATTTTGAAAAAGAGTGTCATTAAAACAAGAATATAATAATTAACGCAGAACAAGTCGTTGTTGGCATTAGCAATTAATTGACAAATAGAATACATTAAGCTTGTATTTTTATAAGGCGACACAAAAACCTAATATAACAGATTTATTTTCAGACAACCACACAAAAATTCTGAAAACAAAAATTTAAGATTTTAAAATCTATTATCATTTTGTTCATTACCTAAAGCTTGAGCTATTTTCCTCCAGCGGTTGTTTTCCTTCTTTTCTGGGGGGAATTCAACCAGCAATTCCTCTAACCGCAGTTGCTCTTCGGCCGTCCACAGCTGGAATAACAGATATAAGAATTATGCAAGTTAAAATATATTCCAATAATAGTACAATGCTCTACCACTAGATTAGTTCGCTCCCCAAATTTGCAGCAAATTGATTGGAGGGAATAACAAGATCATAAAAAATAATTAAAACACCATTGACAGGGATTCAGATTTAGTTATATTTTCAAATAGATTTTTATTCTTAACTCTATTCAGTTGAAAAAATGTTAAGTTGTACATGGATTGAAAATATAGAAATACCACTTTTTTAATACTTTTTAATCATGAAGAATGTTTACAAGAATAATGTGAACTAGAACTAATTTAGTACAAAATATACCAGCGCCTTCCAGAAAATTTGATAACTGAAATAATTTGCTTGAGATGATTCATGATAAATCACTATCTTAATCTACTAAAACATCCAATAATTTCAGAATTAAATTCCAAAGTAGCATTGACCTAAGTTACTGCAAAGTCAATTAAAACCCTTACTTGATTGAAGGTTTGAGGTTTAGTCTCATCATAAACTCTTCCTCGAACAGTGAGTTTGTCCGAACCTTCCTCCGTTACGTCACTGGTCACGTCTTCCTCCGTCTTCGTACACGATACTGACGGGTTGTTGGTTTCTCTTGCGCTGTCTCCTTCGGTGGGTTTGACACTGTATTTCGACCAATCTATCTCTGGAATCTGTAACAAAGAGTCTTAGACCTTAATCTTGTTTTCATTTTTAGTTAGTTTTCAACCATCTTTTATTATACTCTGATGTATTTCTTCGACAAACTTTTAAATTAACGGTGTAAAATGTTGTGTTGACATTTTAAACAGTGATGTAGTAAAAACATTTAATATTAAACCAGGTTACTGTACCTTAGCCATAGTTATTCGAGGAGGAATATCAGAACTTTCACCATTTACAAATTTACGTAAATACTCTCGGGGATTTTCTACCACTTTACGTTTCATGTTCTGTAGTTTTTCTATGTCCTGAAAAATAAAAATTATGAAATTGTTGTTAAAACATTAGAGGAAAATAAAGACAAATTCCCTTAAGCTGACAATAACTTACTGTATATAGGCCTACAAATAAAATAGACTTAATATTTGAGATTATTCAAATACCTGCATTTATGCAATCCAGAGTAATGCAATACCTAATACATCTAGTTTTTACTTACATCGTAGTCAACTTCAAGCTAGTACCGGCTACGAACTGGCTTAAAGATTACTACCATGTGACTCAAAACTAGTTGCCTATTTCAAAATTCTGGATTGTACGGATGAAGGTATTAGACTAATTCTTAGAGTTACAATCTGGAAACTAAAATTCAATAAAATAAAATAATATACTACTGGAATTCATACCTCTATTGTTTTAGCTCTCTGAGCTTCAAGCAGAGCTAGAGTCTTGAGCAGACTACGATAGTCCGAATTGCCCTTTAATGCCGCGGCGGCAGTTTGAAATTCAAATGCTCTTTCACTGTTGTTTTTAATCAACTCTATATCGTCTTCATCAGGCCCGTAATCTCCTTTAGTATACCAATCCGAGCCGGTGCTTTCATTGCCAGAGTTGTCCGACCCATCTTGACTCCGATCCTTTTCCATAGCTTCAGCCATTTTCAAATTAATGGCTTTATCTGTAAAGTAAGAAACAGGTGTTATTCTTTACTACTGTAGCAAAATTCATTTCTGCTTTTATATATGATTGTTACGGGGAAATTTTATAGCGTTTCTAAGTAGCTTTGTCAAGTGGTATGTTAACAAAAGTATCCATATTAAAAAAATGAAAATTATTTTGTAAGTTCATTAATAGTAGGTTAACTGGTAATATGGGATTCCTCCAGATTTTGTACATAAAAAAAGGTTCACAAGCTCTCGTCATTTGAGAAAGACTCTATTTTTACTAGGCCTCATCATAGTCGGCTACACTTTCAGATGCCCTTTACTATAGAAAACAGTATCAGTCAGGTTGAGTCCACTTCTGGCAGGTTACTAATTTTCTTAAATTTTTCCATCTCACGGTCACCATTAAATTAATTGGCCCTATTTCCTGGTTAATTATGTCTACAAAAAACTACTCTACGTAAAATTTGGGAACACCCCAAAGAAAAAATTCATACAAGCTCAAATCAGGTGACCTTGGGGCCACAAGATATCAAAGAACAGTAAAATTACCCTTCCTAGAAACACAATACGGCTGTTGAAGCCCTTGCAGTGTGCGCAGTGGATCTTGTTGAAAACAAATATAGGGTTCTGTCCCAACTGTGTCCTCAAAAAAGTGCTTAAGCATAGCAACACTTACAATTCACATCTTGGCAACAGTTTAAACACACAAGTTACAGAGTCCTAGGCCTAGCCTAAATCGTTATTCTTTGGATGGATCCCATTTTCCTCCAATTGTCAATTCATCTGAGCATTGAATTTGGTTGGAAACTATACCATGTCGTCTTAGATGAGAGGGAACTAAAATTAAGTTGCCTCTTTGCCATGATAACTTAAGCTTGCCATTACACACATACCCATCACATCATAGGCTTACATACAGTGTTTACCTTCCAATGTTCCATTGCTAACAAAATGGCACAACATAACTTCCAGCAATGAATTACAAACCTAACTTAACTCCGCCTCAAAAATTGTCGTAGGCCTACGTACATAGGCTACTAGGACTATCCACTAAAATAGACTGATTCCTGTCGTTCATCCTGTACTTAAGTTAGGCCTACTAATTTAAGTTAAAATAAATATAAATTTTCTTCATACTAGTTTCGATGGTATCGTTTGGTTAGTTAGGTTAGGTTAACCTAACTTAACTAGGCCTAACCAAACAATATATCAAATGAAACAATTGAATAATCGATATTTTCATTTGGTTGTTTTTGACAACAGATATGGAAGTCTACCATTGGTGTGAACCTGTCAATAACTCAGCAATAAGTAGTGTGCGCGCCTTATAAAATCTATTGCTGGCCGTTTTGTGGGAAAATACGGCTGCGTACCATACTTGGGAATAACGGATAGAAATTCTAACGAATAGCGCTATTCGTTCGTTTTTTTGACTAACTTCTATTTTATTCGTTAGTTTTTAAAAAGAGCTGGAAATAACTTCTACTCAGTTAGTTTAGTAGACAACGAATAGATAATATATTCGCTACGGTAGTTTTAAATCGTTAGCTTTTCTGGTCAGGCGAAAGTATTTCCAGTATGGGCGTGTTGCGTGCATACGTGAGAGGTCAGCGCTCTTGTGACAAACAACGTGGGGGGTGGGGAAAGAGAAAGTCAAAGTCCAGTCGCTTTGGTATGCAGCGGACCCGTGGGGCGAGCCAATGGCAGCCAATAACAATACCCCAAGCACCGAAGGGTGGGAAGGGGAAATGTTTGTTTGGTGATTGATATGTACTGTAATCTCAAGTGTCAAAACAATGTCTTCACTTCAGTCGATGATCAATATCTGACCGTAACAGGTGTTATTTTTTTGTTAGTTTCTTAGTTGTCTTGTTGTTATACAGGGTGTTTTTTTTAAAAACTTGCGTCTTTATTTATGTAAAAACCGCAATAGATAGAAATATGCAGTTTGCGGGAATCATCTATTGACGTAGGGGGCCCAATTGTTTTGAATTCTACGTTACATTCACATTCCCCCCTTTCCCCCCCTGCCCCCAACTTAATTTTTTTAAATAGCAAGGTACCCCTTGTGACATATCAAATAAAAGAGCATGAAAAAAGAAAATGTTTGATGAAAAAAAATTGAAAATCGGTTCACAAATTTGCGAGATATTTCCCCCTCCCCCTCCCCGGAACTTAATTTTTTTTTAATAGCAAGGTACCCCTTGTGACATATCAAATGAAAGAGCATGAAAAAAGAAATTTTTTGGTGAAAACAAAATTAAAATCGGCTCATGAATTTGTGAGATAATCCCCCCCTTTTCCCCTACCCATAACTTGTTTTTTAATAGCAAGGTACCCGCCCTTGTGACATATCAAATGAAAAATAAATTTCACCAAACATTTTCTTTTTTCATGCTCTTTCATTTGATATGTCACAAGGGGTATCTTGCTATTAAAAAAAATAAAGTTCCGGGGAGGGGGAGGGGGAAATATCTCGCAAATTTATGGGCCGATTTTCAATTTTTTTTCATCAAACATTTTCTTTTTTCATGCTCTTTCATTTGATATGTCACAAGGGGTACCTTGCTATTTAAAAAAATTAAGTTGGGGGCAGGGGGGGAAAGGGGGGGAATGTGAATGTAATATAGTCAATGATGTAACGTAGAATTCAAAACAATTGGGCCCCCTACGTCAATAGATGATTCCCGCAAATTGCATATTTCTATCTATTGCGGTTTTTACATAAATGAAGATGCAAGTTTTTAAAAAAACACCCTGTATATATTTTAGTGATAGTTAAATATTTTAAATACATAAGTTATTAAGATGAACAGTTTTAATTAAGTCGGAGAAGATTAATAATATTTGTTTGTAATGGCGGGCGAGTGTGATGTCAAGTGACCAATCTTAAGTGACATATTTCAACAAGTTGAAAAAATGAAAAGGGTGGAAACATGTTAAAATGTTTATTGTGTTTGTACCCAAAACAAAAATAATTAATAGTACGTTTAATAGTAGTTACATAGTAGTTACATAGTTAGTTAATAGTTAGTTAAACATAGTAAGGTATAGTAGTACGTTTTCTGTGCTTAGGCCCTAGGCCTATGTTAGAGAGTGAATATTAATAGTAGGCATATTTTAGCTAAAATATTGCTATATTTTTGTATATTTTGGAATAAAAGCAATATCACTTAGGCATACCTGTGAAAACAAGTCCGTTGAAACTGTAATTGTATTGTAATTCAATGCTTTAGGTTAGGTTTACTTGTTATCTTTCTTATCTGCTGATATGCTAATTTTTTTTTTATTCTTCATCTCTTTGTAATTTGTAGCCTAAAAGTTTTTTCTGTTGTCAACAAGTCACCACTGCCACTGACTGACTGTTGTCATTGTCACAGATTTAATATGATATGACATGTAGTTTCCTCAAAAGTTAATTTTGCATAGCCTCGGGCATAGATTAATAAAGCAAACTCTGCCCTTTTTCCGATGGATATATGTTTTTGACTAACTGATAGTTACATATAATTCAAGATCTAAAAACTCAGATAGACATACTTAACAAAACAATAAAATTGTAAACTATTTAAGTTATTGCGATTTTATTTTTTTTTATTTGTGAGTCTGCGTGATAAATATAATAAAATGCCTCATGCCTTGCCACTTATTTGTTTGATTATTTATAGTATGTTTTACCTATGAGTTTATTCACGGCGACCTTTAACTACAGGCCGCGGCCTGGTAGAATTGGCAACGTCGCAAGTGGTGTTGTTTAAGGACAGAAGTCCCATAAGATAACATGGCAGACAGGTGACATCAGCTAATTTAATTCGCACTTTATTGATTTAAATTCAAATTTATGAACATGAATTTATTAAAATATTGAAAATAAAACATACAGAATTGAAAACCAAAACAATATGAATTAAAAATATATATCTGTTCATTTTAAGCGGAGTCAATATTGTCATAGTCCAGTAACCAATCTATCGTAAATACACAAATAACATTAGCTGCTCCCAAGCAAAACAACTGTTACAACACCACTTGCGACGTTGCCACTTCGAAGGCCGCGGCCTGGGGCCCATTTCATAATAAAGTACAAACTAATATTATTAGTAAATCAGCTATGCAAATCTAATGGAAATTACAAGTTACAAGTTGTAGCTTGTAACTTGTAGTTTATTATGAAATGGGCCCCAGGGCCCTGTTTCATAAAACTACTAGTCTAGTAATTACTAGTTTAGTAAATACTAGTCCCGTATTTACTTGCCCTACTAATTTGTGTTTCATAAACGTTTTCATACCACTAGTAGATACTAGTGAATTTTACTAGTCACGTGACCAAAACTACTAGTCACGTGACCAACTTTACAAGGTAAACTTTCAAAACAAATTTCTAACCTCAATCACGGGTTTTCAAACCCTTTATAAAGGGGTTTAATTTTGTTTTCATTTGATACAAAAAGTAAATAGTTGTAGAAACGCAGTGTTTTCTTTTAATTAATAACTATATAAACACATAAGCAAAACAATCACACATTATTTATCAAACCGCTATTATTTATGTTCGCGGCGCGGCGTCGCGTCGCTGCAATCAACATGGCGATTGTGGTAGCCGGGTAGGCCTAGTTGCGGCGCTCAACAGAGTTGGGTAAAAAAGTTGATCTGTTGCTGCCGCATTCGCTGTGATTTGTATAGTTTTTGTTTTATTCTGACATATAAGATTATGCTAACTATGAGTAAAGAAAAGAATGCTCGGATTTTGAATGTAATTAAATCGTGTAAGGACATTTTGTTTGGAACGTTTTCAAGTACCCTAACCTATGTTTTCAAATATTCGAATGCATAAGAATATTTGGGTTAAAAACCATTTGGTGATATTCTAATTTTGAGTCTACAAACCATGCCTAAACGTTTATTGATGTAACAAATAATTGCAACGCCGTTACAAGCAATGGAGAAGTAGGTTTTCAAGTATAGTAAAACATGGCATATGCGCTGTTGCAGGGCGTAGCTCAGAGGTAAAGTTTTCGCTTCTCATGTGGTAGGGTCCCTGGTTCAAATCCGCACCACTCACTATACTTTTTGTTCCATTAATTAAACTTTTACGTGTTTTTACATTTAAATAACAGCTCTAATCAACATCTAATTTTTTTATTACTTTGAATAACAAATTCAGAATACCAAAATGGATTAAAAGTAATGTTTTTATGTTAAGCAGTTCAGTTCAACGCCCAAAAATCAAATATAGGCCTACACAATTGTTCGTACATCACAGGGTTTTAGCTATTTAGGGAAGCAAATAATAAGCACCTCAAAAAATACAATAAAACTCCTCTTTAAAATTGTTTTACTATTATTTCATATTACAATGTCTTTAAATAAAACCGAGGGCCTTGGGTGTAAAATAATCTGATTAATGTTGCAATGTTGGATACATTTTTGTACATCTTTGTACGCAATACGGTATGCGGTTTTAATTTGGTTTCTCTCAAAGATTAAAAATCTTTTATCTGTGATAACTAAATAGTTGATATAACCATGAAATTTAACTCAAGTAAATTTAGAATAAAATTTCACAGAAATTGATAACTTATAATTATAATTATTATAATAGGGCGATTGTACATACATTATAAAATTCAATTTCACTCATTTTGTACTACGCCACATTTATTGATTGTAATTTACATTTAATAATTATCATTTTAACACTCACAGATCTATTTTTATCTTAAATTGCAAACTTGAGCCAATTCGCACTTGAAAAAAGAATTCACTAATTCATTTTTTTTAAGGATGTGAGTAATGAAATAACTCTCTTCCCGAAAATACTAGTCTACTTCAAATAATACGGGTGTAGAGAGGTTGTTAGAAAATGGCAAGTATTTACCAGTGTAATTTACAAGAGTAAAACTTTATGAAACACATTGCTGTCTACACTAGTAAAAACCACTAGTAATACTAGTCCCTACACTAGTAACTAGTATTTTACACTAGTAGGTTTTTGAAACGTAGACTTGTAAAATACACTAGTATTACTAGTCCGTGGACTCGTAAATACTAGACTAGTATTTTTATGAAACAGGGCCCTGGAGTTAAAGGCGGCCTAGGTTTTACAAGTCACATCAATGCGTTGTGATAGGGGTTCACTTAAACGAGAAAACGGTTGAAATGATTCCCTAACTTAAGCTAGTTATGGGACATTGGGACATATCCCTACATTTGTATCGGCACCTTAAAACAGCTTTTGGTAACAAAAATCCTATCAGTTTAAAACTATTCATGTTTCAAGATTATGTGTTATAGAGGCCCTAGATTATGCATTTGTAAATAATTAAGCGTATTACGAAAGGCGGCCGTGGTATTACACGTATTCAGTATTCACCAATACCTTTGCGTGGGATTACAGAAATAGCAGAGATTAGATTGTGGACAACCTTCAGAAATTGTCAGCCGATAGGACTTTATGCAACCGTAATTCGTTTTTGCCTAAAAGTGCATGAAAAAAGTATGGTTGTAAAAGAAAGTGGGAATGAGAAACTCTTGAAACGAAACATACAAAACAAACAACAAGAACAAACATGCCATCCGCACCCTTGCAAAGCTATCTAAGCCCGATGTCCTTCTTTCTGCTTATTACGGTCTCATCTTCCCTCATCTCGTGTACGCCTTGCCTATCTGGGGGTGTGAGAACAAAAGAACTCTATTTTTATTCCGCCTTCAAAAGAGGGCAATCAGAGCCATCTTTTCAATGAATAGACGTCAGACTTGTAAACCAGTTTTTCTATCATCCGAAATATTAACGTTCCCATGTCTCTACATCTACAAGACATTATCCTTTCTGCACCAAAACACTGGCAAGTTTAACACTCCAACAGACCATCATTATAGTTTGAGATCCACAAATACCCTCCCAGTTCCTAGACACCACACTTCCTTCTTTCAAAACCATCTCCGATATAATGCAATAAAAATGTTCAACCATCTTCCCTCTCACCTCAAAGCAGTATCAAACCATCTGAAATTTAAAAAAACCCTAAAATCTTTTCTTTTAAAAAAAGCTTATTACAGCGTCCGTAAGTTCCTGGCTGACGGCTAAAATAAACTATCAAACTTGTTTGATCATAGGTATCCTTAGTGTAAAAAAAAAGAACAGTTATTATTTCTTATTTAAGTCAAGAAACTGTATGTTTTGCTAAATGACATGACCAATGCATGTAATTGTTATTTTTGGTTAAATAAATGAGTTATTGAGTTATTGAGTTAATCTCCTAGATTAGGTTAGGTTTAGGTTTTAGCTAGCTAGCTGCAAGCGGCTGCTAGCTTAGCTATTAAATTATATAAAAAGCGCAGCTCAAAAACTATAGGCTATTGGTATATTTGTTTGAGTAACACGTTATTTTAATTTTATTTAACTTATTCGAGTAAACACAGTACAGTTAACTTAATGTATTTTTTTTATTACAGTTTTCAATTTTGTGTCTGAAATGGAAGATTTGCCTTTGACAATCGAATTTGGGTATGTATTCAAATTGTTGGTCAGTATGAAGACAGTTTATGTAGCCGATGTAATATTACACTTTGGTAACTATTATTTTTTCATTTCAGTGGAGGAGCAGAACTGCTTTTTAACAAAGTGAAGAAACATTCTGTCAATCTTCCTGGAAATATACGGCCATGTAAGTATTATTTCTTATAGGCCTATTCATAAGGCACTAGGGTAGGCTAAGGCTACAATATAATAAAATTAGACCAACAATTAACTTACAAGACAAAAATGTGGTTTGGAATCTACCTACTATAAACTATAAACTATGGGCCCCTAAGCCGTGTTTACACTGGAGTTAGGAACACGTGTTTACAACTAAGGTTAATGATTCTAAAAACGAAGAAACACTTTTTTGGGTCAGAAACATTTTGTTTCACTAAAACCAGTTTTTTAGTGTTTACAAGTAGGCCTACAACAACAATTTTTTCCAATCAGAAGTCAATAGGGTAAAGATTACTTAAAGGGTGTTCCAAACATAAGGAAACTTTTGGAAATTATTGCGATGAGGGTGACCAAGAGTACTATAGTAATTTATATATCATTAGAAACTAGATTTTTACCTGAAAACAATGGTGCAAAAATTTTTCTGCTGTCACAAAACTGAACTACGGTAACTAAGATTTTTTGAATTTTATTACTGTAATGCCTCTTATTCGCTGGTCGCTATTACTGTGAACTGACTGACTAACACAAACATGAACGATTGAAATGATCGTCTAGGGAGAAGAGGAAACCTAACAGACACAACAGTAATCGACAAACAGTAAGTTTATACAAAGGGACAGAGGCATTTGTAAATTCAACTGAACGTTGATTATGAACTACTTTAGTTCTTATTTAGACATGTGAGGTTGGTAGGTTGGGTGTTATGCGGATTCGTGACTGTATTAAGTTAAGTGTTTTGAAGTTAGGTTAGATTAGGAAGGCAAAGTTTAGGTTATAATGAATCAAGTTGTTGATTTATATTATCACTGTTTAGAACACTTCCCCGCTACCCATCGAGCCTACCCACCACCACATGACTATCTAGAGAGGGACTGATCTGGTGTCCTCGGGAACGGTGATTAAATTGTTTCCAACAAAATCAAAGAATAGTGCACTATCGGTTGTAGCTTAGGCCTAAAATGTTGTTTTAGAAACAGGTGTTACTCACAAAAACTTCCAAAAATTTGTTCCAAACTCCGGTGTAAAAGCGGCTTTAGTTGCCATTGGCTGTATGCTATTAATTAACAATCCTAAGGAACATGTCGACCTTAGTTAGTAACAAGACTACAAGATCGCGCTACTCATCTCCATTCATACTAGGCTTAAAATACCTACCTTCATATGGTAGCCATTTTAGTTAAAAGTATTTAAGTAGGCCATTATATTTAAAAATATGTAAGTATGTTTGTTTTTTTTATTGTTAGATTTGATTTTCTATCCAGGGACTTTAAGAAAACTTCTTGTCTGGCTGAAGGACAATCTACTGACCGAGAGACCAGAATTATTCTTACAAGGAGATACTGTGTAAGTACTATAAATAATACTCATTTGCAATCCTAGATAAACTTAGCAGTAAGTAGTTGAATCTTTAGGTTGTGTGATTAGTTACAGAAAATTAAGGTACCTTTTGATCCTCAAACGCCAGTATAGCGGTACGTCCAGAGTGCACGCCGATTCAGATTCAGATTTTCTGCACTTGGTTAATCTGAGTCAGATATTTTGTTGGTGGCCACAGAGGAAGCAGGAAATATGCCGCCGGTACTGACTCGGTTAGCAAAGAAGCAAGTCATTCGTTGTTATGGAATTGTCGGATGAGGAATTAATGTGTAAAATTATAGCGTATGAAAATGGTGTGAAGTTACAACCAGTGAAAAATGGTGTTTATGATATTATATACCTATTTTCCTATCGAAACCACCGAAACTTATTATTAAAATTGGACACCGTATTGTAAGAAACTGGTGTAACCTATAGCCTATAAACAAAAAAATCCTGAAGACAGTTTAGTGGTAACCCTAAAATTAAGAATGAAAAAATATATATTTTACTATAAAATAGTTATTTGTGCAACTAGTGAGAAAAGTGAGGAATGGTTTCTCGAGTGAGGCAATTGTACTTTGAACTCGAGTTGCACATTATACTTTTCCTACAGTTACCATAAAACAAATAAATTGGTGAAGAAACATAACCTATTTTTACACAGAAGTGAACTTCAAATATAACATTTAATGTGAAGTGACGATTGACAAATACAACAGCACAACAGCTGACCAGCTGATTTACAACCAGTGCTGCCAACGTATTTCGCGCGCATACGACGTTGCCTGCATGTTACGCGCTCACTATTTCGTGCCTTCACGTTGCAAATCTGGAGTGAGACAAAGTAATTAGAGTGAGACAATGTTAACATTGTCTCACTGATGAGCGAATTGGCCATTTTGCTTTCTCAAATCAGTAAGAGAACATGTACATTGTTAGGTAACTGTAGGAAAACATAATTTTAACTAAATAGTATGCGTACGAGCAAAATCTGAATCGGAATCTGAAACCAGAATGAAGAATTCATTCCGGTAAGCAGGTGCCTGTGCGCGGGCTCGGAAACCGGCAGCCACTATAGCCACTTCCATTTGAATGCAAGTGCCATTACTGCTGCCGAAAATCTGAATCTGATTCGGCGTGCACTCTGGACGTACCGTAAGGTATTAGCTGTCATGAGCAATTAAACAAAAAGCAGAAATGTTGAGGTTACAACCTTTGAAAAACCACATTGACTTACCTTTGAAGGGTAAGATTAGTCTACACCTAGGCGGATACAGTTCACATGGGCCTACTGTGATTCTTATGATTTGGCCACCGAACATTAAGGTGACCAAGATTGTTTTCTCTTTCACTCTTCACAAAAGAAAACATCCCATGGACTGGGATGTTTGGACTGAAGAAATGGTTCTTAGTTTCTATTCTTTTGAAAATTTAATTCATTTAACACATGTAATATATATGTAGACTATAGCCTATTTTTTGTATACAGGAGACCTGGAATACTGGTCCTAGTTAACGAATCAGATTGGGAATTGTTGGTGAGTAACTTTTTATGATTATGTTTAAGGAATCCTTGATAGTTATTGAAATAATATATATACAAACTTCCTCTTTTATAAATATAGATATTCTTTGTCTACGTTTTTATGTCTGGTGCATATTTCGATACAAATACTAGTATTAAACCAATACTGTACAGAAAAACCTGACTTACTGGATTAATTTGTGGACCCAGAGGTTGTCGAGTTATCCAAAAGATTACAATTTTTAATGGGTTTTAATAAATTAATGTACATAACAGGCTAATGTTTACACATACATATATTACATGAGTACTTTTACGTATTAAGTAAACAATATTCAAAGAAATATTGAAAACTCAACACTTAAAACTTGAAAAGTCGGTAACAATAAGACCAAGCCAGCTAGACGTACCCCTGTCAGCTGTTAACTGTCGAGTTACCAGGTGTCGAGTTAGTGAGGTTTTATTGTACTAGTGAGTTTTTATATTGGAATTTTGAAACCCATTTAATTGTTGTATTTTATGGCATTTTTATTATTGTTTTAATTTTACTGATGAAATCTAATGAATGTAGACCTATGTATTGATACTCATTTTTATTTTTTTTATCACACCTTTTTGTTATAAAATTAACCAGCTGATGTCACAAAAATAGGCTTAGTCTTTTTTGGTGGGAAACACTTGCATTTTATTTATTCAAACTTATTATCAAACCTAAATTAAGCATGCAGTTTGCTATATTCTTCGTAGACTAACCGCAAGATGTGTGATGTAGGGTCAACTCGATTACGAACTTCAAGACAAAGACAACGTCCTTTTCATTTCCACTCTACATGGCGGATAGTGTGTTTTTCTTAAAGTTTCTCATGCTGTAAATATTTTAAATATATACATTTTAATATTTTTAATCAATGTTCATATTTTACCCCAGTCCTCACTAATACTTCGCTTTCAGATAGAGCCGAGTTAAAGATTTTAAAATCAATAACTTGAGAGCGGGAAGCGTCTTTATATATATTGTTTATCTGAATTTACTCAAATTAAAAACAATCTCCCATTTCACTATCACTATCACTGTAACTATAGCTTGAACTGCTTTCTTTTTCGTCTTTTGATATTTGAAGTGATTCTGTAATGTTATTCCATAAGTTTTCAATCCCACTGAAAACCGTATTGAAATCACGAGTTTGATATTGACCCCAGCCGAAAGTAACTGCTAGTCGAGTCAGATTGTAATCGTATTGCAACATCTTCGGTCCACCGTGTTGAACGAGATTTCTCACATAGGCGATCACTTTACGATTGTTTGCTATTATCATGTTGAACATATCTAGGAGATCGCTGTAGTATCGGAGCATGTTTTGATACAGGTTTCTTCCGTTGATTGTGACAGGGTGTTTCAAGTCTTGTAGGATTCGTTGATCAAAGTTTTCAATGAAAGTGTCTTCCTCACTGATGGTTGGATGGAAAATAACTATAAATAAATATATAAGCTTCATTACACTGATTAAGTTGGCATTAATGACTTGTCAAGTATAGCTGATCACAAAACAATGTCCCATCATGTAAACTTATGATTGATCAGTTATGACTGTTTTTCATGCCTCACTCTCCAGTAAATAGGCTGGATCTTGCTATGTTGTAAAGATTATAGAAGCGATGAACACGGATAACAAATAAAATACACTCTCTAAGTAAAGATTTACAACCCTGAAATGTGAAGATGTTATTAAATGTGTCTCTAAGATCATAGAACCTTTGTTTTGTCTCCCAAAAGAGAACTTTACATTTGAAGCAGTCTATTAAAAATTGACTTTTGAATGTGGAATCAAATTAAAGAGGCTGCTCTAAATTCGTTTTCTTGAAATGTTTCCTGTGAAAGAAAGATGAATGTTGTGTTGCTTTTCTTACTTTGATTTAAAAAATATTACAAATTGGCGAGAAATGTATTTATTCTATTCCATATTTTTTTATTTTGTGTTTTTGGTGAATGTATTTGGTTTGATCTTCCCTTAAAGTAAAATAAAGTCAAATTCAATAGTCTCTGGGAGGAGGACATATACCAAAATTCTAACCCATATAACCTCTGTCTAAGCTTGCTTTATGTCATCAGGGTGAAATCAAGGCCCCATTAGAAAATAAGGTCATGCGGGAAGCGCAACACTAGCGTAGACACTTGTACTAAAGTTGCCAGAAGTTAATATAAAATTGTAAACAGATAATTTACCTAAAACATATGGGATATGGCAGTGCATCCATCCACAAGTGTGTCGTCATGGATCCTGCAGCATGGCCTGTTTTCTAGTGGGGTATTGGTAAAATCCTCCCAAAAAAGGGGTATAGAGAGAAAAACTTAATATTTTATGTGGTAATTTTCTGCACACCCAATTCAAAAATTGCTGAGCTAGATTTTGAAGGGTTGGTTTTAATCATTTTTTAAAGATCCGAGCCTCCAAAAACTATGTCATAACTTTGAATCTTTACAACCCCCTCCCCAAATTGTTTATATTTATTGTGTTTCAAAATAGATTTTAACTTGATGGTTGCACAACAACACGCCTTCTAGTCATGACACAGTTTCTATCTTGATGTTGATTAGATAACCTATATTGTCTCCAACGTCATAGATTCAGGTCAAGCTATTGTACAACTGTTTTATAATGTTTTATGTAACAAGCTTGACGTAAAATGTTAGTCCCCATACTAATTTTAACTTTACCTTATTCACTTAAGTGCTTTCAACCCTGGATTCTGACTATTGAATTGTCTGGTCCTAGTAACAAAGCTAACCTAGACACATCCATTCACGATGTATTAATTTGGTCTAACACATGCTAGAAATACAAAATATTTAAAAGTTATTGATTAATGATACCAGTAAAACATTGTTTTATGGTCTTTTACATAGTCTACTTGTGATGGTTTAAATTGAACAGAGATTTAGGAACTTTGTCATGTTTATAAAATTACTTCGACTCGCCTATTATTTAAAGAAATGTTGCTGAGTAATACCTTTGACTATTGGATACTGAAGTAGATGTCTCATCCATATGGACCTATGTCGCCATTTTTTATATAAAAAACGTACTTGTGTGACCCAGTCACAGAATGTGCTAGTGTCTAAAATTCTATTTTCTACATTATTTTGTTGTTGTTGACCAAGTTGGTTGCTCATAACAGTTGTCATAGCTCACAATGAGTCATTTCATTAGTTTAACTAGGTGAAATGTTTGTGTTTTCAACAGTAATTTGTAATATTTAGATCAGCACAATCTGTCGGTTTCATCATATCAGGGACGGTGTACCAGGAATCAGAAGAAAATCTTTAATGAGAGCAGGTCGAATAGTACAATCAAATTAACACTTCTTTAGGAGAACACAGTGCTGCAAACCTGGCTCAAAAAGGTTCATTTTAACTAAAACACTGGCAGTTGAAAATCTTTCATGTTCGTAATTTTAAACCACTGCCGTTTCAGCTGGGACGCACCTTTTTGCGGCACTGTGTTTTTCCAATATACAGACTTTTAATTTAATGTACTACTCGACATTTTCTCTCATTTAAGATTTCTTTTTGACTTTTTGTAGGCCTATATCTATCAACATCAAAAAGAGGGATTTTTGGTAGGAGTATTAATTTTCAAAGCTTTGTTGTGTTAGGTACTACAATAGTTCAATAAAGTAAAATGCCGTTTGCAGACTTTTTGATGACTCTGTATATTCTTGGACAAACCACACTTCAACAAAAGATAACAGTTTACCAGAAGAATGTTTCAATACCTACAAAACGTCATTGTAGCCTTTAAAAGAAAAGACAAATCATGGGATTATAGGGGGGAAATGTTTTTTCATATTTATATGAAATTCTTTAATTAATAGTTTTGTTCGAAGTAAAAAAAGGGTAAAAAATAAATACAAAATTATCATAAAGATGTGTGTTCTACTGAACTTGTATAACAAATAAAAAACTGGCAATGGATATGGAAATGTCACATCATAAATGATTATGTGGTTATTTTTGGCACTTTGATCACAAAAGAAGTGCGTCAGAGCCGACCAGCGTCATAACAGTTATGTAATGAGACATTGAACCATAATTAACCGATGCTTACGTCAATAAGTCAAATATATAGAGAAGTCCCGCAAACAATAGTCCACTACATCTCGACTGCTTGATCGATATGTTTTCACTCAGATCCGTCGAGATGGGTCTTCACAGGATCGGAGATTTTAACATCTTATCTTTGAGGTTTGTGTTGGTGTTTTTAGTTCTATGTCACTTTTCCAAACTCAAACCAGTTCTCGACGTGAAAAACCCGAGTGTGGCTCTCGACTTTGGACAAAACCTAACAAGGAGGTTGACGGATAGTCCGGCGGGGAAGAAAGAAGACATTATTAACGATTTGACCGACTACTACATCTTGCTCAACACCGCTTACCGAGTTGTCGACAAGAGTTTTCCCAAGGGTAAGCAAACTCTACTAGAACTGAAAGCTCAAGGTGGACCTCCCTTTCTGGATCTGAACGTGAAAGAAGACCTGCTGCGGAGTAAGTATGAGATGGAAGAAGTGGAAATCGATCATGTGAAGGAAGTGATTGAAGACATCAGCAGACTTTGGAAAGAAATACGAATGGAACTAGTATAGTCTGAGGTAAAATCTGTGTACGTCGTGTTTTAGTTGTAAGTTATTTATTTTGTAAATATCACTCGACTGAGTAGTTGATAAGTGTAAATAGTTTTTTATATGAGATTGGTTTGGGAATCGTATATAATAAATTAATTCACATACTTATTGTTTTCATTTACTGACTGTCTACAATCAAAATTAGAGTGTGCTTTTTAATACTCTAAAGATTCCATTTTCTTGACAGACTTGAGAAATTTATTGTGTCTGGAATGCAAGGAAAGTACTTTTAGGAAACTCAAAAGACGGTTTAACTCAGGGCTCAGTGCTCACACCACTGTAATTTAACAAGCATATAGTTGACAAACTTGTAAACATTTAACCCTTTCTATTAATAAATATGATGATATTGCCCTTGCTTGTACTATGAGGATGTACAAATGACGTTTCAACATACATAAAGTATTTTAGAATCCAAAAGGTGAATTAAAGCCCAAGTAAAATTGAAATCCCTCTTTCCCACTTGAATTTAAAGTCTGGTATATAATATCATGTATTCAAAGCTTTACCACAATGACCATCCAAGTTTCAAAGAGTTGTTCAAGAGCAGACAATGTTCAAAAGACAGCAGCCAAGATACGAATTAGTCCCAACATCATATATCACCTTGCTGATTCTAGTGATTCTACACTCGGTTGCATAAATTTCATGCACTACTGCACTGACTAAAAAATACTGTGTTGCCTGATTGTACTACTTTTTTTATGAACAGTATTTATGTTCGTGAGATAGATGCCTAACTAAATAATGCCATGAGAGCAATTGTGATATTCCTAAGGGAAAGAGTGCATAATATACAATCTTCACAGCTCCTTTTTTTGGGAAAATAAACATCAAATATATTGTATTTCATTTTTTAAATCAGCTGAATTGATACAGCGGTATTGACCGTGTCAATTAAATAACAGAATATGCATGCTCACAGCACACAAGAATCTTTCCCCATTACCATCACTTTTGTATTTTGTATAGTCATCTCAATATCAATTATCAATTAATTGAGATGGGAGACTACCTAGGTGTGTATTTTAACCCAAATGTTGAGATGATCTGTGTAGCTTTGTTACTAAACAGCTGTTTCATCAGTCAGGATCATTTATTGTCCAATTAGGGACAGCTGGGTCAAGTTTTGAACCATCCAACAGCTACTGACTTCTCGGGAGAAACCTGTTGATTGTTAGGCACCATACCACTCAGTTACCCAACCAGTTATAAGATTAATTTAATAGCACCCATCAACTTGAAAGTTAAAAACAACGATCTGGATCGGATTACAGATAAGAAATTAATGGCTAGACATGGAGTAAGTCCTTCGGGCATAGGCAAACTCGGCCTAGTTCTGATGAAGTACGATAAGTGTTCTCAGGCTAGTGTCCAAAGAGTAGAGAAGGTTTTTAGTGGGTTAATTGGGACTTAATCCTATTGGCGTATCAAACTACAGGCTAGCCACCTGTGTGCGTAAATGAATTTTACCACCTCTCCCTCAAAAAAAAAAAAAAATAAATAAATAAATAAAATAAGTATTATGACTTTTGGTGTTATTGGAATAGCCCTCGCACACACCATCCTAATCTATACCATCTTTGATTAGTTAGTAGCATGTCTACAATAAAACAGCTAACTGAAAAGGCTGGATGATTATCAAAGCACATTTGAAAATTGTTGGGACAATAATGTATATAACTTTTGCTACCGTATACCTTAATTAAAATCCGTAATGCTAAATCACCTGAAATAAAACATATTTTAGGAATTAGGATGTAAAACTGTAATTGTGTAAGTCTGTATTTTGTCATTTACAAGTAATCCTTGCCTTAGTAGTCCGTAGAGGGGGTATCTCCGATCTAGATAGTGCTAAGAGAATCACTAGCCAGCGGTTGATTGGAAACTATTGGACGAATTGGGAAAATCTTATTGAACTCAAATTCTTCCAACGAAATAACAGAAAAGTTGTTCAAGAGTTAGTGGTTTTTGAGATCTTCCAGAAATTAGTACAACACTTTAAAAATTCTCTTTAGATGTTTTTGATGTTCTGCTTATAACCAAGCCTTGTAAACAAAAGATCAAGGTTTGAATCCAACGATGCAGCTACATTGCCGCTGCTGAAGACTTATTGTTGTTGCTGCTATTAGACTTGTTATTGCTATGGGTTAGTGGCGAGGGTGGTCCTCAGGGTCGCTGTCGGAGCTGACCTCTCGGAGGAATGGCGTCCAGTCGATGGTAGACTCCTCGACTGGCGGAGGCTCAGTCTGTCCGGACCTAAGGTGAGCAGCTCGATCTTGTATGTCCTCCCACAGTTCTTGAGTCAATGTCATAATCTGCAAGCCAACATAACGTTTTTTATGTCCCTTCTTGACATCCTATTACGCCAGGATCTGTTTACACTGACTTCTAATAATTCATTATAAATATATCTTCAGGATAATTACACAGTCTTAATTGTTGTCAGAGGTTAATTGCTCATCTAGTAGTTCAAAGGTTTTGTTTTAGTTTTAATTCTGTAAAATATTTGAAGTTCAAAAATTTAAAGCAAGTCGTGTAGGAACTATAAAGAGCAGCTATCAATGGCTTTCAATAAATATTCTTGACTAAAAAAACCGTGAGGGTACAATTATTGCTTTATCTGAGATCGAACATTTCATGCCCATAAATTATGTAGCATTTGAGTATGAGATTAGTCTAAATTCTTTTAAAATTTTGATTTCCTAAAATGTGTGTAAATCTTCAAAATAATATTTTTCAATAAATAGAGAATTTTATGACATTTGCCCAAATTTATGAAAAAATAATGTGAAAGAAAGTGTTAAATGTTAAAAGAGATACAAACAATTATTCTAACATACAATAAAATCTACGGTTATATTTATTTTACCTGCTTGACATCGTACACCTCTCCGCTGTCACTCCATTTATATTTTTTCTTCAACGTGAAAAAGTCGAGAGTCAAATTCAAATGAGGCGGGCCTCCCATCTTGACTATTTGGTCGTAAACTTTCCATCCTTTCACAATTTCCACGACGTCTCTTCGTTTCAAAAACCTGTAAACATCTGAGAGAAGGTTGTAATATCTCTGGAGGTCTTTGTAAAGAAGAGTTCCGAACGGGCAAGACACGGAGGTTAGTCTGTGCACCAAACTGTTTCCGAGATTTACGAGCGGATGAGGGTCGCCACTCTCCCGTAGTTCTTGTGAGAAAAGTCTATCACTTTCTCCCGTAAGTATGATGTCTACAACGGCTGAGACAGTTACTAAACATAATGCCAGCTTCACCCTCATTCCATCTGTCTATCTTATCAATTAAAGAAATTTAATCTGTACATATCAGACCATCTTGATGTTGAGTCTAATATGGGTTTCAGTGGTTTTAAGTACATATTGTTTTTTTTTTTTTTACTCAACCGGGGAAATATAATTTGCTAAATTATCAAATCAGTATCTGTTTTACTTTTGTTATTTTTTTTTCAGTTCATTTATTTATTTATTTATTTATTCATTTCGACGGCAATCGCCATTTTTATAATTTTTTACAAACATACATAGTTTATATGGGCGAAATTCAATTCCCCACAATTTAACTAATTAAAATATTATCTGCTTTGATTTAATTGAATAATCAATTAATTGGTCAGTAAGTAGGGCCTACACCAAGACATAGATTGTAAAAACTCAAAAAGAAAATAAGAAGCAAGCCTGCTCAATAACATGTATGTTTTTTAAATAGCAAAACTATTTCTAAAGTTCTATTGTATAAAGAGAATTTTTCTAATGCCGTACAAGCATTTATTTATCGTTGTATTTGAGATGCAATTTAAAAATTGATAGCACGTATAATTTCTAAAGTATAAATATGAAATTTTTACAGGTGTTACAGTCAAGAATATTTTCTTTAAATATTGACACATAAATATTATAAGTGAATTCTTTAGGAAATCTTAAAGAAATTATTCATAAAAAACTTCAAAAACATTATATGTTATACACAACTTTTTGTTGGTATTTGATCCAGTATTCGCCATCAAGGAAAAAGAACAGTAGATAGTTTTACAATTGTACCAATTCTGCTTATCATTTTATATCTTGAGTTTTTAAAACAGTTTTCAGCTTGAATGAATGTACTGTAATACAATTCTTTCATCTTACTTGATTAAACTATTTTAATACATTCAAAAAGTTGCTTAAACATTTATTATATCAGTTTCAGTTTAAAAAAGCTCTATTATTAAGTAAAACCTGTATTAAATAGTTAGGTTTGTTTAAATGTACAAACACCATAACACTTATCAATCTAAAATCGTACATAATTTATTCTATCCACGACTTTGTTCCACAAATATTCAGTTTCATTGAATAATTCTCTAGCATGCAAAACTCTATTGTCATAGCTCCAGTAATACTTTTCTTTCAACTTGTTGAAGTCAAGATCTTGTTTGAAATGAAGTGAACTTCTCGTTGTATTTAACGCCTCAAAATCTTTAATTCCTTCCTTGATGATGTCCCAGTCCTGTTCGCTGACTTTTTCATAAATTTCATACAACTCTCCGATGTATGCTTGTAAATCCGCTAGAAATTCTCTACTCTGGTTTTCTGGGTCTTGTAAACGTTCCGTTAAACTTTTTCCGAGTTCCACCAAGCTTCTGATCTTAGCGATACAATTAAACGGCCCGAGTAGTGCCAAACCAATGAATATCAAGGTGGATTGCATAGTTCTTCTTAAAACAAAATTAAAATTTGTTGGTTACTTTTGAGTATTAGTAATTGTTGTCAACAGAAGATATAGCGTTTTTAAGTGGCAAAAAAGAGATTCCCAAGCAATACATATGTAATCTCATCTTGGTTTAATAATAAGACATATTTTGATTACATAATGTTAAGAGATCAACAACCTCATAAAAAATACTTAAAAAATAAATTTGATTTTTAAACTTATTTTTTTATATAGGGGTTGTACAAACATTATGTATTCAGTTATTGAATGTTGGCAGAGGCTTATACAGTTTATGGTAACTCAACAAAAGTTATAATTAAATGCAGCAAGTTGGTTTATTTAGAGAATTAAAACTACTAACAATGGTAGAAATCAGTCAAAATTTACTGCTAACAATTTTATAACAAAGTAGATATGGACACTTTTTATCCAGTCATTATTTTATAATGTGCAAATCATTTAGAATTTCTATCTGTTGAATTAACTATACTGATGGAAATGTTGTATTTGGACATTACAAAACAACTTAAATTTTGTTTTTGACATCTAACCTTCAGACTAAATCATACTTAAATTTTCATGCCTTAAGAGCAAGTTTGGAATAGTTCATTTAAATAAAGCTTGTACAGTTTTCACCAAAGCATTTATTAAACTTTGGTCAAATGTCCTGATTTGAACTACTATCACAGTTCCCTAATTGATCTGAAGCAAAATTATGACAAATTATTTTCCACATGCGTGAAATAAATTTGACATATTGTTTTTTAAAACAGCTATCCTAAGCAGACAAACAATACCTCCTCTAGTGGTTTAATGAATTAAGTATTTTAAGGGTCAAGAATTGTTAAAATTTACTTACATTATAAACACAGACTCACAAAAAACTGTCTATAAAATGAACCTTTATATTTCAAAATCAATCAAATAGAAGAACACCTGTACCGCATTGGTTGACATTTTGTTTCTCTCTAAAGCCACGTTAACACAAGGCTAGAAGGCAGGCAGTTTACCTCAGGTAATTTGAAATACACTTACTGAGGCAAGTACCCTTTCTGCCTTCTAACCTCTTTTAACATGGCTAGAAGCCCTTAAATTCACCTTATCACACAGTAGAACCTTAAACATATTCTAATAGGTATTATATTTCTGAGTTCTCCATCTTCAAGAACACCTTCAAAGAAAACTTTTACTTACATTGGACGATATTTCAAATATTATCTGCTTAATGAAGGTCTCCGTCACTATCTTCTTGTCCGGGAGACAAAGTTTCATCCTCAACTTTACTATCAACACCCCACGTTCCGATTCTCAGACGGTTTGCACGATCTTTAACCGCTTCCCAAAGCAGTTTCGTTTCACTCACTACACTTTTTACATGTTCGACTTCACTGCCTTTCCAGTTGAGTTTTACCGCTAAAAGTTTGTAGTCCAAATCGTCAATCAAGTGTGGAGGTCCCCCTGCTTCCTCTAGATCGTCAAATATCTTCATTCCTTTTATAACAATCTCTCCATCTTTTGACCAGATAAGATCATTTATGTCTTTTAAACTTTTTAGGTAAGTCGAAAAGTTATTGTAAAGTCCACCAGCGTTGTCTCTTGTCAAGTTTTTCAGTTGTCCGTTGAGAGTGTTTCCTAAATTCACTATTTCTGGTACAGGTTTTGCCTCTGATAAATTAGATTTGTAAATGATTGAACCAATAAAAATCAATAGGATTGGTACCATTTTATAAATTTATTTTTTTGTAATCGTAAACTTGTAATTAAACTTTTGGTGATTACATGTTAAATAGCCATTTTAAAAGTCATCCACATTGTGAAAATTGTAATAAGTGCTAATTGGGGTTTTGCTGTAATTAGCTAATAACTCGATAAGTACAAACTAATTCACAATTAATCTTATCAATCCATCAATGGGATATTACGAATAACCTTCAAGTTTGCAGAAAAACATTTAAACCAATCATCTCAGTTAGGAATTAATTAATTGGATATTTTTATTGTTTACCTTTTTTAGTTCATTTTCTGATAATTTTGTATTAATTTATATTAGTCACTAACAAAACTACAAGATCGTGCCACTCATCCTACACCCCTACACTCATCTCCATTCATACTTGGTTTAAAATACCTACCTTTTTTATGGTTGCCATTTCAAAAGAAAAAGTATAAAAAGAAGTAATTAGTCAATGAGTACATGAGGTTGAAATTTTAAGTAAGATCAACTCATAGTACATCAAACATTTAGTACTACTGTTAATTTGATAGTATTTCAAAATACTGTACACTGGTTTTAGGATACCATTTTTGTTTTGTTTTGTTGGATCGTTTAACAATAAATATTTCTTTTTTATTGGAAATAGAACTTTTCAGAATAAAAAATAAATTTACGAAGAATTTTTGTTATGCACATGTCATTCTAGCTTTAATTTTGTTCTTATAAAAATAATTAGGAATCAATTAAAGCACTCTCAACACACACATCTTATTTTTTTAAGTCACTAAAACATTCACTTATCATTAGCATTCACACTTTTCCATCTTCCTTCTTCAGTAACATCGTTGACAACGTATATGTATTTTACAATTAAATTCATACATGAGCGTATATTTCATACAATTTTTTAACTTTCTCCCACAACTTTTTGTTATCCTTGAGGACATTGTGGATGGTTTGGACGTCACGATCGTTTTTGAATATTTTAAACAAAAACTCGTCGAAGTCCACTTCTATTTTGAGATGGGGTGGTCCACCGCTCTCTATGATCTCTTGGACGAGATCGTAACCTTCCTTGGCCAAATCTGCGTCACCACTCGTGATGTTAGCGTGAATCTCTTCCAAGTGGTTGTTGTAATCGTAAAGATCCCTCATAAGCGTTTCACTACCGGGTCCTGGGTTCTTGAATCTCTTTGCAATGGATCTACTCAAATCGTCAAGGTATTCTCCGACATCCTTCTGTGATGAAAGGTTTACGGAAACTAAAACTATAAGTGAAAAAAGCAGAATATATGTGTTACCGAAATTCTTCATCGTAGAGAAACTATTATCACAGTAACATTTGTGGAATATTTGTCAAGACAATTTAGATTACTTTTTGATTATTCATATTGAGAACCAATTTATGTTTGAATTAGCTAATTATTTTGTGCAAGGTCAAGGGTTTAGATTCGTACTTAAATATTTCACACATTTAGTAAACAAATTATGGTTCTGAGTGGGTCCAGTTGAACCCTTGAGTATTGATAGAAGATTCAGTTTCCAAAAGTCGATGGTTGTACATTCTTTTATGGAATATCTCAAATAATTCAACATTTGGTCTATACTTAATAACAATACATAATAACAATTCAAAGAGAGTTTAAAATATATATATATATATTTTTTTTTTTCATGGGAAAATTAAAAAGGATTAGTAATAATTAATTACGCATATTAGTAGCCCCCTTATCTAACATATACAAGTCAGGTTTTCTTTTCAAACTTAAGTTTTTCAATTTTGAATTAAAATTTTTTTAAATTTCCAAGCCCAAAGCACAAACTAATAAGGAAGAAAAATATTCACATTTACCAATACTTTCATTTATTTAGGAAGTATATTGTAGAATTTATATCACAAAAACACTAAAGACAAAACATAAATTTGTTGAAATCATTCAAACAATATTTTATTTTGACTTTTTTTTTAATGAGTATTGATTTATATCTTTGCGAACATTAATACTGTGTAATTAAATACTCGACAATGGAATAATCAATCTGTTTCAATATTATTTAGAAGCTAAACATGTTTTAACATGAAAACTGCTGCTCCTGCTTAACACTCTAACTTTCACGTTTTCTGAAGTTCTCAATATTTTTCCATTGGGTTTTGAGCGATTTAATCACATCAAACAGTTCCTGTGTGCTTCGATCATTCCACTCAAACATAACTTTCAGGTGGTCAAAGCTAATCTCTTGTTTTAGAAAGGATGGCACACCACAGTCTAAAAGTTGAACCAGAAGGCTAGTGCTGTTGAATATCTTTTCTTGGCTGCGAGTTTGGGGAACGGACAAATAATCGTCAAGATTATTGCTGTACTCGTAAAGCGTCTTTAATAATAAGTTGCCATTTTTCCGAACTGGAGCTTTTAAGCAGTCCTCGATAGTTTTTGTCAACTTTAGGAAAAAGCTAACTACGCCCTCTGGTGTTTCTTGTTGTAAAACCTCGTCTTGAGCAATCACAGTCATTATTCCAAAAAGTACAATTGAGTAACTAAGATACATTACAGTGGGTGATGGAATGTTGAAAAGTGGAAGATGTAGTTTTAATATAACAGATAAACTCTAATTAATTTTTCTTAAGTGTCATTTTATGGTATTTTAACATTTTAATTTGTTTAAAATGTTTACAAAATAACAAAACAAAACTGTAAGTATGTTAATAAATGTATGTACATACAAAACCTTGGTAATGTTAGCCTCTACCTTACTTTTAACCTCTTAATGTCCATCAAAAAGGCAAAATTATATTTATCATGAGTTAGAAAAAGATATTAACCTAACTACATTCACAATCAAACCTTTAGGGAATCTGTTGTGTTCTGTGTAGGCACTGCAAACTCGTCAAAAGCCATTTCATTGTATAAAAACTCACAATTCTCCCACAAAGATTGCGTGGATTTGACAACTTCTTTTATTTCTCGTACGTTATTGTCATCCCAGGCAAATTTGAATTGTAGATTTTTGTAATCTATCTTGTCCTTCACGTGAGTGGGTTGTCCGTCATCTATTATTCGAGCCATGAGGCGAGTGCCATTTTGTTTTACCCCCTCCTCTTGATCAGTCAGCATACAGTAAATGTCATCAAGATTGTTGTAATATTCGTAGAGATGCTTGAGCAACACGTCGTAATTTTCTCCTGTCGCGTTATCAAAGTCGGCTTTAATGTTTTCTGATAACCTGAAGAGAAATGTCACTGTTTCATCTGTCGGTAATAGATCTCTCTCGGTTAGTTGTGGTTTTTTTGCTGATATGAGGAGAAAGAAAATGTTTGTAAGCAATGCAGGAATTATCAACCAAACTGTTTTCATATGTGTTGTGTGTTTGTGACTGTAAAACAAAATTATACACAGGTTTTATTTTTATGATGGGCAGTGATTATAATGCCAATTATATAGGAATAACTTTATTTATAGACACTAAATGAATAGATTAAAACTTTTTCCCTATTCTTGTCAAACTTAAAACTAACTACATTGCTAATTAGTAATTACAATTTGACTTAAATCCTTTTAAAAATTATATAACAGTACATTTTTGGCTACAAACTGTTACAACATTTTCAATTTTTAAATTTGAACTAAGAAAACATTCGTTTTCTATAAGAAATATTTATTGGAAAACAATAACAGTTTTTACAATCGATCTCAAATGATAAAGAAGTCAAATATGAATAAACGGTTGTACATGTATTTTGTTACAGTAAAGGACTTACTTTTACTATTTTCTATTTACACATTTTCTTGTGCTACCCAAGACTTCAACACAACGATGAATGCGGAAACCGATCTTCATCAGGGAACGCCAAATATTTTGGTCTCACTTGGCAATACTTTGAAAGAACAACTTTTGAAACCAGTGTCCGACGCCAAAATAGGTCAACAAGTTGTCGAAGATCTTTTGCAATATTATAGACACCTTCGAGATGTATTGGACATGTTGAAGAGCAAAGACGCCATAGAGAAGAAGTTAGGGATGAAGCTGTTCAGTGGACTTCTGGTGTCCGGTGGCCCTCCACACTTGGACGAGGATTTCGACATGGAGTATGCAATGGAGAAGTACCAGTGGAACAATAAAGTTGTATTCTCTGTGCGGAAAGTGCTGGACGAAACTGACATCCTGTGGCAGGACTTGCAGCAAGAGGTGGAGAAACCCTCGGTGAATGTGGCAGAGACGGAGTAGTGAACTGTTTGAGAGATATAAGGTGTTGCAAAAGTTGCATCTTCATGTCTTCAGAGAATAATACCTGAAAAAAGTGTTGAACTATAAATAAAGTAATGAAGTGTGCTCCAAAAGCTATTAGTACTCAATTGTTATTAGGTTCATCGAGACAGCTTTTTGAGAGTGCTACCAATATTTAAAAAAATGTTGCATACAAAATAGAGATTTTACAAATGTGTGTGACAATAAGAAGGCACAAAATTGGTAGCGCTCAGATATTTTCAATAGAAAGTTAGGTTAAGAATGTTGTGTAAATTTTAGTAGCAGTAAAACTTTCAAATGTACAGTCATTTCGGTTTTAATACTTCCAGAACCAATCTCTGAATTCAAGTAGATATTATCTGTATTATTGTACGAGCAAAACGAGCAAAATATTTTCTTTCGGCCTCACAATTTACAATAAATGTAGGGGGAAACCCCCTTTTCAGACAAAACTTGAAGAGTTGTGCAATACCTTGATTTACTTGGACAAAAACTGAAATTTGTAAAATCTGATGGGTTTTTTTTGTGCTAGGACGCTAGGCTCTAGCTAGCCCAAGATTGTTTTTACAATACTTCAGGCTAGACCTACGGTTTAAAGCATTATCACTGATATATAGTCGATTGGTGATTTTGCGGAATTGAACCCAGGACCTCAGGGACTGAAGTCCCGCGCTCTACCACTAGGTTAGCTCGCTTTCAAATTATCTGGCAGTGAATTTTATTAGAGTTATATTTTAATTACTAGCTTTGTATTCAACTATCCAGGACTATGATGAGACATCTACTGTGGTAACTTTTGAACAAAAAAGGGATATTTTATGTGGAGATAAGGGAATAACATAATGTTAAAAACTGTATCGGTAAATAACTATTGAGTTTGAAAGCTTTAAACTGTTTTAGTTCAGACTAATAATTACGATTCTAACTTAAGAAACCAGAGCAAGGAATATTACATGAGCAAATCTCAACTCTACAAGCACAACTGTTTGTTAGAAATCCACTGAATCTAAATTATAACAACTTCTAATAGACGATTCACAATTTCACTCTGTTTATCAAATGTGAACATCCTTATCAATCCTCTCCATCATCTTCGGGTCCCGTGAACACTTCCTCTTTCCCCAGCACGTCCACCCGAAGTTCGTCCCACACTCTTCGGGTGTGAGTGACAATCGTGTGATAGTTTGAGATCTCCTCCCCTTCCCAGGTGTACAAGTCGATGAACTTGTTGTAAGGTATCTTATTGAGGTGTTTTGGTCCTCCGTCTTCGTCAAGTTTCACCAAAAGGTCTTTTGCCGTCTTCTGGTGCGCTTTTTCCGTCAGAGCTTCTTGCAACCTCGTCAACTCATGCAGGTAAAACACAGCTGAACATAGAACCTGAAAATATTAATGTGTGAATCAACAAAAATAGTGTTGTATATTATTTTATAAATTCTTATATTCACTAATTCATAGTTGCAGTGTCTTTTTTATATTTGAAACTAGACCCATCTGTCCTTGATAATTGGGAAATGGGATTTTAACCAATGGTACTGTCTAAAGAAATTGCTGTTCTTGGTCAGTAACTCACACAAATAACACACACAAAGTCACACATACATACACACTACATGGATTATCCACTTCATTCATGTTCAGCTTGTAACATGTAACATAAATTGTGTCCTGTCCTTAGTAAAGTGAGTAATTGTATAAGGTTCCGTATGAAAACATGTGGCTAGTATTTTTTATGGATGAAAATATTCCGCTATTATATTGGAACAAGCAATAGTGTCAATACAGTTATTTAGTTACAAGTATGCACAAAATCGTGTTATTTTAACGTTTATGAAAGTATTAAAAAGGTTTGAATACCTGCTATCAAGCAATCCATTTAATTGTAGTTGCAAATAGTTTCGACTCCTATGTGGAGTCATCATCGGTACAAGGACTTCTTCTTTCTTCATATGAAGAGCGCCATATGAAGACAGAAGAAGTCTTTGTACCTCCTGATGATGACTCCACAGGAGTCGAAACTAGTTGCAATTGCAATTAAATGGATTGCTTGATAGCAGGTATTTAAACCTTTTTTAATATTATTTGGCAATCCGGAGGCTACATTCACAATGAAGTTTATGAAAGGTTTAAAATTATCTTACCTCACTCCCGGTTTGTGGGGGGTTGGCGTAATAATCAACCAATCTCCTCTTCAGGGAAAACAAAGGTGATTCTTTTTCTTCTTCCGCTAAAGTACTGACAATAAATATTGCAAACAATAAAAACATTTTAAACATGACACAACCTGGCATACAATTTTTCATAACACACTCACAGCCACAACTTTCTGCTAAAGTATTTTATTGCAATAAAAACATATTTTAAACTAATTTAATAGACCAATTTATAAGCATTTTCACTTTCTTAAAAGACTAGCGGAAAGTCCTAAACTCTGTAAGATCGAGAGATAGGACTGTGTATGTGTAATAAGTAGAGATCACTCATGATTCTACATCGTCCATAAACTTATATAATCTCTAAAAACTAAATTGGTGTGTTTTTTTATTCATATTTAACTTGTGGTCTTTATTTTATGGTATTTATAAAATAAGATTATATGTTGATTTTTATTTGTGAAAACAATTAAGGTTAGTTAAGGTACTAAGGTACTAATACTACTAAGGTACTACTAAGGTACTAAGGTACAATTAAGGTACTAGTGATTGTCAATAATTGAGGTTGGTAATGTCAGCTTATTTTTTGTTTAACAATCAAAGAAGACTCCAATCAGACTAGCATAACTTACTTTAGATTGAATATTACATTATTGGATGTATACACAACAATTAATTAGCTGTAGAGGCTTAACCAGAGCTTTATTTTGTTCTAAAATGACATCTTAGAACCTTTTCCTCCAACAAAAAGTTTTGGAAGAGAGTTTTTAGTTAGAGCTTTGGATGAGCAGGGTACGTTACTGGGGAGGGCTCGCCTCTCAAAGCTGAGCAGCAACTTTTGAATATAGGTAAGACTGAGCAGAGCCCTTGATTAATGAAGCGATCAATCTATAAATTCTCTATTACAAACACTTGGGTCTATATTTTAAACGGATTAAGAATTCAGGTTGAGGATAGAATCAAATTGAGTGATAATAGTCCAGTGGGGTGGGAATGTGTTGAACTCGTTTTCCCCAAAGAACCTATATGATAATAGAGACCCGTATTTTTCCGTGACCTTGGTAAATGTTACGACACTGGAAAATTTACGACTGCACCACTGATACAGTCTAGTTTTGTTGCTGACTAAAAAGACTGTTTCTTTTAAGTCAAGTATTAAATGCACAATGATCAAGAAATGCTGGGATCCAGTTCCAGTGTCCAACCAGTAAATACAGATTTTTAATGATTGATCCAACTGGCAACCTACTGATTTGATTACTAAGCAGGCATTAAGCCGGGCTTACATGATGCCAGTTGGTGAGATGGTCTTCGCCAATTGTTATTACGGCATTGTCGGACGCCAGTAGTCCTCAGGCTGCTCTCGGAGACAACTAAATTTCAGGGCAGTTGACAAGGTCTGAAATTTTTAAACAAAGCCAATAATTTCATGCCAGTTAGTTGTCTTCTGACAATATATCGCTTACCATCGTGTAAACCAGGCTTTAAAACCATTCAACTACCCGCAAAAGTGTAGAAAAAAAACTAACTCAAGGCACTTTTAAAATCTGCATTACAGCACTAGAAATAACTTAAAATCCAATCACTAACATGAGTTGAAAATAAAACACGTTGTAATGTATATTTTAATTCTAATATACCCTGACTCTTCACAATTTAGAAACAACTGAACTTGTTTGAAGAATTTTTAACAGTTAAAACCACATTTTATCATAACAATTTAGAACCACCATGATTTCGTGGGTCTTGTATATTTAGGGAAGATGTAATCCGGATCCTCCGTCATATCCTCGTAATCTGGTGGTAGTTGCGGAGTCGTCGTCTCTTTACCAAACGATCCGTATTCCACTTCATCTAAAAAGTAATTCCAGAACTCTTTAGACCGATGAACGATATTTTCATACTCGCCCACCTCCAGACTGTTCCAGTCGAAATGGCTCGTCAGAGTTTTGAAGTTAACTTTTTTCAACTGGTCGTACGCTCCTTCCTTATAAAGCTCACGGATTAACCTGAAAAATAGTTCATGTTTATGATACACTTTTTGTACAAGTTTGGGGTACATGAGCCAACATCTTTTTTGGTCACTGACACAGTGTATTCTTTCCCCATAAACATCAGTATCAGTGCTGTCTGGTTGATTTAGAAGGTGTTTCCTGATATTTAATAAACAAATTTAAAACTATTTGAACTAAAACTTAAACTAAACTCAATTTTTAAACTCTAGCTTGTTCGTAGGTAACATATCCAAAGAGTAAAGCACAAATCGAATCAACCTCTAAAATTAGAGAGAAAGATTAAGTCAACATCAAAAGTGACCATTATAAAACACACATCAAAATCCTAATATTTCTCAATAGAATGAGAATTCAATACACTTTCCCAAGTAAATTGTAATACTAAACTTTGATCTTAAGACATAACTGTATTTAAGGAAACTTTACGACAAAAAACATAGTTAAAAATACCTTTCTATTTAAGGAAACTTTATGACAAAAAACACAAAATTTAAGGTTAAAAATACCTCTCCGCTTTGACAACCCCGGCCTTAACATCCATATCAAGCAACTCCAGCTTATCCAAGTAGAGAATCCCAGCCTCTAGTAGTTGTCTGTGTGTTGCCAGGCTCGGATCATCATGTATCCTAGACAGGTTGGATATCACCTCCCGAATATCATCGTATCCCTTTTTCTCTTCCTCAACATTGTTGCCCCGGCAGCAAATGAGCAGAGAAAACAAGACAAACCAAATCATTGCAACTTGTAATTAGTTGTTAATCATTTTTGCAAGTTTTAAGTGAGGTTGCCATCTGTTATGTAACCAATTACGTAAGTATTGGAGCCGAGTTTGTAGAGGTTGAACCAATGTGAACGTTAAGATGTTTCGAATATATGTTAGATCTACGCATTTAAAAGATTTGGTTTTTGGGTATAACAAAATTACTGATTGGTTGCAATAGCTAAACACACAATTTTTTTAGTGGGTTAGGTTAAACAATAAATCAATTTTATGTTTCAATATAGGTGTTACAGATACCATGGTGTGTATTTAAGTTGAAGGATGAATGTTAAATGAGAATAAAGCTTTGTTTGTTAATAACTAAGAACAGCTGGTTAATTAATCATTTATCATAAGCCCCAATGATAAAGGACAGCTGAGCACAGTTTCAAAACATTGAAAACCTACTGACTTTTCTCTGGATCAAATCAATGAGAACCAACAAGTTTCTTGTCATTGTTACCCAGTCATACTTTTCTTTACCTTTAAGGTTAAGTAATTTTGCCAAGCTCTGAACATACATTTTACTTTACAATTTAGTAAGATTTTATTTTTACAAAAGCATTGGTTCTAATGCTGATCAATGACGAATTTATAACTTTTGATAAACGTGGTGCCACGTTCCTTTTTCTCAAAATAACTCAAATTCATGTATTAGTGTTTTTTTAGAATTGCCGTTGAATATATCGACTCCTAAAAGACCCATATCATAACACTAGATCCCAGATACCCTGACCCAGTAAAACCAAATTATAACCTGCAAATTAAATTATTTAATAATTTATTTTTGAACACATTTAATTACTGTGTTTAGTTTTTAGAACACATTAATTTGCAAAGATAAGAAGTTATGTGCTACTGAACATAGTTTATTTTGATATTTTCATGATCAGTTGATGTATTGTTGCGGTCCTTCAAGATTTCAAGGATGTTATTCCACACCCTCTGAGTCTTGGACATTGTTATCATGAATCTGTCCAAAGTATCTTCGTTCCACTTGTATGCTTCCGATATTTCCGCAACGGGTATCTTCACGAGATGTCTGGCCAAATTTCCTTTCTTGACACTCAAGAAGTCTTTTGTGAACTGTGACGACCTACTGGATGGGTTTTTGAAGGTCGATTCGATATTTGTCAAGTGTACAAGATACATTTCACTGTTACGGAGCAACAAATCAGAAGTGAAAGCGGCCGGGCGACTATAAATCGAGGTTATGTTCTTCGCAAGTTCTTGAAGTTGTTTTAAGTCCTCCGAGTCGACAAGTTTAAAAACTAAAACTATCAAAATACATTTGAACATTTCAGCTAAGTATGAAGTGCAATAATAAGCTAAACAACGTTACTAAACTGTCTTATCTACACTGTAACTTAACACTAGTGAATACATTTAATTAGAAACACGTTTGTGATAGGGTTCTAACAATTAAGTTGTTTACAATGTTTATCTCTTTAGAAATTTCCACTTGATTCAGGCTCCAACTCATCATGGTCCTTGACATTCACTTTAAGCTTGTCCCACACTTTTATTGTTTTATTCATCAAGTCCTCATAGCCCAGTTTCTCCTTCTCTGTCCAGTTGTAGTGTTTTGTGATTTGTTGGTAAGGAGGATTGTACGCATGTAATGGTCCGCCTTCATCACAAAGTCTCCGTAACATTATATCAGCCTCAATGTCGTGGTAATCCATAACGTTTACACCGAAAGTTAACTCTTTTAGTTCATCGTAGTATAAAACTGCCGTGTCCAATAGAATGGAATAGTTGTACTTATCCAAGTCATTGTAGATCGCGGTTATATTCTGTTCCAACTCTGGTAGGTCTTCGAATACCCAGAACATTGAGAGACTTAATATTATTTGTAGACATAGAACTGCCAGTTGCAATACTTTACAAAGTGCCATCGCATTACGTTCTCAAAATATCACTGATTAAATAACTGTGAACTGTTGCTTTCAGTCATGAAATAATGTGGGGTGAATTAGATGGTGATTACATACTCAGTGTTGTAATATAGTAGAAACTTTGGTTATTAGTAGTCACATAAATAATTAATTATGTAATGGTTTAGTAAGTTGTATGTTTATTCAGATTTAGAATTTTCATGTGTTGCTATCCTAAAGACACAATGCCTTTGACAGAGTATAGTTTAACATAAGGAAGTAACTTGTAATTTAATAAACAATTGGAATAGGTAATATACTAAACACTATCAACAATGTAATGTCTTAGAATAATTTATAAGAAGTGTGAAACCCGGTGTATTGCAATTTCCAAATGACTTTGAGAGAAAAATATTGAGTTTTCTTTATTTTATTAAAGCTGTTTATCTCTAATATAATCAAACACTCAAAGCCATGATCGAATCAAGTAAGCTTTGGTTTCTAGTTTTGCTGATTCAATGGTGTCTAGCTAGTCATATTAGTTTCTACGTTCGTTACTTGGATAAGAAGATCTGTGACGGAATTGAAAACCCAGTTTTACGCGGTGGAAAATATCTCTACAGGGAACTATTGGACATGGCCATCTACCTGCAACGAATAGAACACGGGATAAAAGATGAGAAGGACGAGGCATTCGCGGAAGCCAAGGAAATCATAGAAGAAGGAGGAATAAGATTTCCAAACATCACCCAGAATGACGACAGGATTATGTTCGCTTTCAATTGGACGAAAGAACAGGCGGATGAGTTGAGAGAGAAAACTAAGGAAGTGGGGTGGGTGTGGGAGAAGATCTTGAAATGTTTGGTGCGAACGCCGGTTTATCCGATCGATTATGATATGGAATCTGATAGGTTTGTTAACGTAAATACAACAAGATGAGAAATAGTTTATTTAATTTTACCTGCTTATTACACTTCCAACTGAAGGTGAGATTCCTAAGATATGATTTTTATTTAAATCTAGCTGAGCAGATGCAAAATCAGCTGGTAAAAAAGATTAAATGCTGATTTCTCAGCCGTACAGCTAGAGTTTAAATCATACCGTTTGTACGGTTTTGGGTTAATTTCTTTCTAAACCATTTTGTAGGGCTGAAAAAACAAATAATTTAGTATAATTAAGCATTATAGATATCTAACAGTCTTGGAGAAAATAAAAAAAATTTAAATTTAAAATTCCACGTTATTTTTATAAAGAATAAATAAACTGGTGTACTTTGCTTGTTTATGGATATATTTCAACAAAATTTGGCACTTTTGTTTATTTCATACTAAGCTATCAACATTTCAATAATAAAAAAAAACCTCATTACCTTCCCTGTCGCAGCAAACCTCGTTGATCTAATATTTTTTAATAAGGAAATAAATATAATATTTTTTAAGAAGATATTTCAGTGAAAATCCAATCAGGCAAATGGAAATTCGCTTAATCTGCAGGTTTGCTGCGCCAGGAGTATTTTTTAAAGACAGCAGAATGTGTCATGAGCTATTTACATGAATAGGTAACTATCTAGAATATTTTTTTAATTATATTTGATAAATTATCTTGACAAGACACAACCGTATAAAACATTAAAAAACTATACCACTGGTGATGCAGAAACAATGGGATAAATTACTCAGAGTTTTACCAATTAAAATAAAATTTGTTTTTTCATTTGAAATTTTATTTTCACCGTTCCTCTATTCACTATTCAAATCACTCATCATCGTTTATGGAATATATACCACTACTCCAACTTTTATGTTCCTACCTGTATTTTCACAATCTTACAAGATAACTCTGCAAAGTATCACAAAAATCACTTTCATTGTTTATTATTTATCACTTTTAAATTTTATGCCTTCGATAGAAAGTTGGCGGTTCAGTCTCACTTTCATGAAGCTCTGAGTAAATTTCAACATGTGACCAAAACAAATCAATCTCATAAAGTATTTGCCTCACTTCCTTCACTTCTTTCTTCGTCCAGTTTTTGAAAGCATCGAGCAATTGAGAATCTTCTAATTCAATGTTTAAGAACGGAGGTCCTCTCTGTCGTTTGATTGCACGGTAAACCGTTCGTCCTTCCGTTCGATTCTCAATGACGTAAGCTCTCAACCACGTTAGATCTTCTCTGTACTTGATCAAGTCTCGTAAAAACGCTGAGTCAGAGACGGAAAGATTGTGGAATGTGTTTGCAATCGTTCTACCTAGTTTTACCAAGTCAAATATTGCAGGTCTGTAAATAAATCGTCTTGTTGTTTCGTTTTTAAAAGTGTTATTGCTTGCGTTTAAAATTCTTACTGATATGTAGTATAAAAAACAAGTGTGTAGTAAAGTTTTAAACATTCTCCAATATATAATAAATGCTCACGTTGATAGTGTAAGATGCACTGATAAGGGGGTGTGTAGTCTTCAGCACCCATTTTCAACAAGAAAACATTAACGTTTGACTTTTCAAAGTTTGGTTCACTGTGTTTTGTTTCATAAAATCTTCCAAATTTTCAACAAGATTTTAAATATACTTAGTTAAACTAAAACCGTTCGTCACCAAAAAATAGTAAGTTTAATTTTAATGCTAGTTCAGTATAGGATCATTGATCCAATTTTTCCCCTTCTCCCTCATTTCCATGAACAGTTCGAGATTTCGCCAAATGTCGAAGGTGTACTCTACAAATCCACCGAATTGTGCTAAGTCAAACTCGTTCCATTTGTAGACGTCGACTAGTGTGGTGCAGTTTATCGGATGTAACAGTAAATGTTTTGGACCGTAACTATCTCTCAGTGTGCCAAGAAATTTGAGTGCCTCGGTCTCGTTCTTCTCGACCGCAAACATAAGTCTCTCCAGTTTCTGGTAGTAACTGTGAACGTCCTCGATCAAGTCTAGTCCGTCTCCAGAGGGATTTGTGATTTTTTCAAATATTTTGTCAGCCAATGGAAACATCTCTTCCCAGTTCACCTTTCCGAGTGGTGGATTCGATTGACATGTGGAAAAACTCGTTATCACTTTAAAAACTAAATAAGTAACCAAAAACTTCTGTGATCTAAAATTATACATGTGTATGTGTATTCAATAGGTGGGTTGGCTAAAAATAGTAACT